CCGCAACCGCAAACGCTACCGCAACCGCAACTGCAACCACAACCACAAACACCACTCCTCTCACAATCACACTCAACGCCACAACAACTTCCATCACACCAGCATCACAATCTGCACCAATCAATACAAGCACAACAACAACTCAAACTCAAACTCCAACAAACATCACCACTACAACTGGTCCAAATGCATCTACCCAAACTACTCCATCCAGCGCATCAACCACAGCCACAACCACAACCACAACCACAACCACAACCACAACCACCAATCCAAACATAACCACCATCACTCTACCCACAACACCCTACACATCTATCAACACGTCCACAACAACATCCACCAGCATCACAACCACACCATCCACACTCAACGCAACCACTCTTACAACAACCCTCAACACCGCAACCGCAAACGCTACCGCAACCGCAACTGCAACCACAACCACAAACACCACTCCTCTCACAATCACACTCAACGCCACAACAACTTCCATCACACCAGCATCACAATCTGCACCAATCAATACAAGCACAACAACAATTCAAACTCAAACTCCAACAAACATCACCACTACAACTGGTCCAAATGCATCTACCCAAACTACTCCATCCAGCGCATCAACCACAGCCACAACCACAACCACAACCACAACCACAACCACAACCACCAATCCAAACATAACCACCATAACTATATCCACAACACCCTACACATCTATCAACACGTCCACAACAACATCCACCAGCATCACAACCACACCATCCACACTCAACGCAACCACTCTTACAACAACCCTCAACACCGCAACCGCAAACGCTACCGCAACCGCAACTGCAACCACAACCACAAACACCACTCCTCTCACAATCACACTCAACGCCACAACAACTTCCATCACACCAGCATCACAATCTGCACCAATCAATACAAGCACAACAACAACTCAAACTCAAACTCCAACAAACATCACCACTACAACTGGTCCAAATGCATCTACTGAAACTACTCCATCCAGCGCATCAACCACAGCCACAACCACAACCACAACCACAACCACAACCACAACCACCAATCCAAACATAACCACCATCACTCTACCCACAACACCCTACACATCTATCAACACGTCCACAACAACATCCACCAGCATCACAACTACACCATCCACACTCAACGCAACCACTCTTACAACAACCCTCAACACCGCAACCGCAAACGCTACCGCAACCGCAACTGCAACCACAACCACAAACACCACTCCTCTCACAATCACACTCAACGCCACAACAACTTCCATCACACCAGCATCACAATCTGCACCAATCAATACAAGCACAACAACAACTCAAACTCAAACTCCAACAAACATCACAAACACAACTGGTCCAAATGCATCTACTGAAACTACTCCATCCAGCGCATCAACCACAGCCACAACCACAACCACAACCACAACCACAACCACAACCACCAATCCAAACTTAACCACCATCACTCTACCCACAACACCCTACACATCTATCAACACGTCCACAACAACATCCACCAGCATCACAACCACACCATCCACACTCAACGCAACCACTCTTACAACAACCCTCAACACCGCAACCGCAAACGCTACCGCAACCGCAACTGCAACCACAACCACAAACACCACTCCTCTCACAATCACACTCAACGCCACAACAACTTCCATCACACCAGCATCACAATCTGCACCAATCAATACAAGCACAACAACAACTCAAACTCAAACTCCAACAAACATCACCACTACAACTGGTCCAAATGCATCTACTGAAACTACAACATCCAGCGCATCAACCACAGCCACAACCACAACCACAACCACAACCACCAATCCAAACATAACCACCATCACTCTACCCACAACACCCTACACATCTATCAACACGTCCACAACAACATCCACCAGCATCACAACCACACCATCCACACTCAACGCAACCACTCTTACAACAACCCTCAACACCGCAACCGCAAACGCTACCGCAACCGCAACTGCAACCACAACCACAAACACCACTCCTCTCACAATCACACTCAACGCCACAACAACTTCCATCACACCAGCATCACAATCTGCACCAATCAATACAAGCACAACAACAACTCAAACTCAAACTCCAACAAACATCACCGCTACAACTGGTCCAAATGCATCTACTGAAAATACTCCATCCAGCGCATCAACCACAGCCACAACCACAACCACAACCACAACCACAACCACAACCACCAATCCAAACATAACCACCATCACTCTACCCACAACACCCTACACATCTATCAACACGTCCACAACAACATCCACCAGCATCACAACCACACCATCCACACTCAACGCAACCACTCTTACAACAACCCTCAACACCGCAACCGCAAACGCTACCGCAACCGCAACTGCAACCACAACCACAAACACCACTCCTCTCACAATCACACTCAACGCCACAACAACTTCCATCACACCAGCATTACAATCTGCGCCAATCTATTTCAACACATCTCAGACTTCAATTCCCCTCAGTACCTCAAGTATTTCTACTCTCTCTACATCTGTTCTCGCTAGTACATCATTTTCTCCTCACAATAATTTTTCGGGTGAGTCCACACATTTTGGTTTTTTTCAATGCATTATAATTTTATTTTGTGTAGTTACGAACTCACCTGTTTTATTCCCTTTAGTTTTCCAGGTATATGTTTTTTGTCGTCGTCACTGTTTCTTATTTCCTATATGCGCTCCTTAAATCTTATGTGTAGATGATGACTTCAAGTAAAAAATGTATTATGCATATTGTTCAATACCCGTATCATATGTTCATTGGTGAAATATTCAAACTGATCATTTATACTGTTTAACTAATCTCAGTTTGTGATGTTTATAATCCACATTATAACTAACTGAATGGTACATTATTATATATTGTGCACAAGACTTTGATCATTATTCACTCTGCATATTTGGTGGATACATGAACTAAGAATGATGATTGGTAACATTTATAAAATGATGTATTCTCTTATTAGATAATTGAAACAATATGCTCTGATAATCATGTTCTATATTCGAACCCTGTCTTGTCTATTTTGACTTTTGCAACCACTTAGTATATCTTTATTCTTTAATACAATGCACATTTACCTGATTAGTGATTTTGTTAGAAACTTCATTTTTATTCAGTCGCAGCAGTGTTTAGATGACTTCATTTCTTCCGATGTAACTCAGCTTTCACGAAGAGGTGTCATAACTCTTCTAAATGAAGACTTCCTATCTCCCAGGGCAGAGTTTAAATGGTTCGACTTAGACTTTCTTATTAGCGTTTTTTAGCGAGTTATTTTTCGACGGAATTATGTCACTAACTCCATGCCAAACTGTCCTGCTTTATACGGGCTCGGAACTGGCAGAAGCCTCAAAGGGGCTGTAGGCGGAGTGAAATACATATAACCTTATTATTAGGCATTAAAGTGATAATATTTCACTATGGTTGATCCGATCAATACAGTGAAACTTTCAATCAAAAAACTCAACTAATCAATTTCAATCATTAACATAAAAATAACAATAAAATATCAAGGAAAATTAAATCAATCAATGAAGACAATGTTGGAATGATGATAATACTGAATACCCAGTAATTAATGTCTGTTTTCTTTCCTTCTTTTATTTAAAAAGAATGAACGAATTCATTAAAACAATATTCTGATGAACAAGTTTTAATCATGCAAGTGAAATTACTGTTAACAATCTCTAATCCTACTTCTTTGATGCTTTATGCATCTTAATCTCGGTCAAGATGATACATTTTTACTATACATAGATATATTACTTGTATTACTTATGAGTAGTCGAAAAGTATACGCCAAATCTATTCATAATATCAAGCATGTGGTTTTTATTTGTTTGACAGGAAAAGTGAGTGATATGCCTATTAGACTTGATGATGTGTTAAAATTCTAAATAGATTTGTTGTAAGTTGAATAATATCATTCTTGTTAAACTGACTTTAAATCTAAATTCATTGGGTATCGTTTTCTCGTATATCTATCCATTCATGTTTAGGAACGCAATTGATCGATCTCTTGTTGGTATATGTGTATTCTGTCCGGATTGCCTCGATATTGCCTTAATTCACAAGCTTTATAAGCAAAGATGGATGGTGGATAGTAGTGTCATTCAGGATGTACGCTACTTCATCCTAGTTGGGACTCGTCAGCTGGATAGACCGGCATCAATTGCAGTCCTAAACAACGATGGGAAGATAAAAGTAAACAATACCAAATGAATTTAAACTTCATCTCATTGAACAAGCATGTGACTATTAGGAGTCATTAGCTAAGTGGACAACGCGATGATGTTTGAGGCGAACAGCATTGTATTTAAGTCTCTGAGTGAACATCAACTCTTGAATGAAGATGTATGAAGTGGCATGCGTCCCGGATTACACTGCTAACCACCATCTATCACTCATTATGATGCTTATGACTTCATGCAATATCAAGGTAATTTGTATAGGATGTATATATGCCAATTAGAAATTGATCAATTATAGTCCTGAACATCAATGTGAGGATTCGAACAACCAATGAAAATTTTAGTATTATTATAATTATTATTATCCAGTCAAGTGATTGAGGAGTATTCGTTCCGTTTCGATGCCGATGACAACAAACAATCATTGTATATGCACCAGAAATAGATTTTCTAAAATATTCTGAACTATGTCAACAGATTTATTGATGTGGTCAGTTGTCTAATTTAAGCAGATTGAATTGAAGAGTATTTGAGATAAAGTATTGAATGACATAATTTGTGTGCTTGGCCTAACAGATACATAATTAGACTACTGAATTCGATTATTATTTCTTGTTAAAACATTAGTAATGAAAACAATCTAGAGAAAAGCATGATTTAGATTAAAGCTATATCAATTGCATTATCTGTGAATTGTTCATTATCTAATTGTAACAATATGTTTTACCTTAAACCAGGGGAAATTATACCTACTACTCCTGCTCCTCCTACTAATACTACGACTACTACTCAGTCAACGACAAAACCAACAACAGTAACAGCACAACCGCAGGTAGACGTGTTATCGACGACGACGACGACTACAACGACAACAAAATCGTCTGACACAACAACACCAACCTATGATGGAGTACCTACATACAGTTTTGTTGAATTTTCTCTGGCAACGAGACCGTCAACAGCAATCGCACCGGTTATGCTACCACTCGGTTAGTTAACTTGTACAATTTTGTCGACTATGAACTGTTTAGAATAATATTTATGTCAACTGACTGAAATAGATGAATAAGATAGCATGACCGGGATAATAATAATCGATTATTTGTTCTGTTTGTTGACAATAGTCTCTTCATTGAACATTTGAAAGAATTATATTTTCTATTGACCGTTGAAGCAAAAGAACGGACAGTAAATAATAAAAACTGCAAACTCTGAAAAATACAATTCCTCTTTCCGATGCCTAACTTTATTATTATCACTTTTTCTTATGATTGTACTTGTTAATGCTCGAACTTTTACTGTGAACTATTAAAACTATATGATTCTAGTCAGCTAGTCACTAACTTGATAAACTGACTATCAGTTTACTCAATTACACCTTGTTATAACTTGTAGCCTGTGTGCCTTATTAATGTATAATGTAAAGATGCCGCCAATTTGATAGCAATGAATTATCATCGGACCAATGACACCTAAAACTCGTACGAGCAGTCTAGAATACTTATTGGTCCTGCTTCCTGCCTAGCTCAACCAGTTAAGTCCAGAAAACCAATCACAGCCTCTGCAATACGAACCATTTATTTCAAGCATACTGGGTTTATATAGCAACCAGACAGACCACATCGTAGCATAAAATATAAAAAAACATTTGTACAAGATTTAGACAAATGCGGCTAGCCAGAAGTGGCTGTGAATGTGGAAGATAGTGATTGATAGATTGGGTATAACTCATGAATGGCAAATCGTATAATAATAGCTCATAGGTCAAAATTAAGCTCACAATAAGATGGACATGAATATGAATAGTTTATTTACATAACAATTATACGACAAAAATATACGCATAGTATTGGTCCATAAATAGATCCCAACAGTTACCATTCATTATGCTTTTGGGGATATAACACATCTGTTACCTCACGTGAAACTCAGGCTCCTTATCGGGAATCTCCTAAATAATCTGTTCTAGCCACTTTTATCCAATTGTTTCCAAGTACTATAAACTACTAATATTTGAATTCGATTTTGTATTGGTTATTCAAATCTTACCATTAATTTGTCTCTAATCGGTATATGTGCATTCTGTACAGATCACCTTGATATTGCCTTAAGTCATAAGCATTATAAAGATAAATACATGATAACTAGTAGTGAAATCCAAGATGCATGCACTATTTCATCTTATTTAAGATTTATCATCTAAGATATACCTTCATCACACAGTTGATATTCACTTCGGGACTCGAACCCAGAAACAGTTTATGATAACAAATTTTAAAATGTTCCATCATTATTTCTTATTTCATTTCAATTCTATTTCAGTTTCTACCAAATTCAATGTTAAATCAAATTTATATAATCAAGTTAATGATACACCAGTTGAATGGATTGAAGAATATGCCAATACAAGTTCACCTGGTTATGCTAATTTAAAATCAAAATATTGTGATTTAGTATGTTTAAGTCTTTAATAACAGTCTCTCTCTTTTCTTTGTATTTCATCATGTTCTTTTTTTTTATATTTTATTGTACTATACATAGTTACGTAACTGATTACTTTCAGATGATTTACCTATAACGTGAAGATTAGTAGGGACAATCAAATGTTGGTCTCCAAGAAGTATATTCTGAAGTTCTAGTGAGAAACCGTGACCAGTGGAGTTCAACCGGGTCTGTTGTAAGATAGTAAATCACTGACGATAATGGTGGACGGTGGAGCGACTTCATGGGTTGGTTGAAGTTAAACATTAACACTGTTGGATACCAGCCTGTTCAATGGTCTAGTGGTTAAGCGCTTACACGCGAGACTGATAGGTCCTGGGTTTGAATCTCACGAGGTGGGATCGTGGATGCGCACTGCTGATAAGTCCGACCAGTAGGACGAAACGGCCGTAAGATTCGAATAATCAATACAGAAATGAATTAAAGTTATATAAGAGGTTAAGCTTTGATGAGTTCTTTAGTCCTGATCTGATTCTATTAGTATAATTAATTCAACACTACATGTCCAATTACAGAAGATAGTCGGTCGACAAACTTCGCACTGAGTGTCATGTGATTTCTAAACGTTTCAGTCCTACAGAACTTCATTGACGACATGGATATCTCAGTAGTTATATCATAGACTGTGAAGCTGTTTAGTTGAGAGCTCGATCCACTAGGAAACATCAGTTCCTTCAAGGTTTCTACATTCAACAGGCCAATATCAAATTGAATAAGTCTGGATAACTCATCAGTTTACTTAATAAAGTCGTGATTTTGTAATTGAGCCATTTCCAAACTGACAAAGATTCGAATTATTTCTATTGATCAGTCTTAAATAATAAGATATCACAAATGACCACCACTCATAATCCTTTGAAATATGTTCTTAGAAGGATTATGAAAAAGAGAATTTACAAACTTAATGATGAATTCCAAGATTTCACAAATCAGAAATAATGGAATGTTACTATTCGCATCCTAATTCTGATAGTAATTTACTATTGTACTTACAACATTATTGACATTATACATCAAAAATCTCCGACCATCTTTCTATTAGACGCTAATAAACCCATTGACTTTCATTATTACTATAATTGATCCCAATCTTTGGGGTGAACAAACTTTAAAAGTTATTATGCTTAATGTTTTAATCGTATTGTTTCATTTTTTTCCCCTGCTTTTGAAATATATATTACTAACAACGATAGTTAACATACTACTTAAAACAAGGTGATAGTAATGCAGCAGATGGTGCAAGTTGTGAACAAGTGACTTTTACACCAGTAACTAGTACTAGACCAGATGGTACAGTGGTACGAACTGTAAAAGGTGATTCAACGATTAATGTACCGACAACAACAGGAACACAATTAACGGGTAGTCAACTTTATGGATTATTTATAAATGGATATAATAAAACTAGTACAGCACCATCATCTATTAAACTAAATGCATTAGATGTTCAACGTAAGTAAAATCATTTAATTCTATGTGTTATATTTCTGTTAAAATTTGTCTTTATTTGTTATTGAGATTCATATCCTATTCAGTCAGTTCGTTAGTTGCTATGCAGAACCTGGTACATATGTATATCCGCTCAGATTATTATACCCCATTAATACAATGAGATGAAATTGTCAAAACTAATCCCAGAGCAGTAGAGACAGTAATAGTATTAATGGTAATCAAAAAGATTAAACAATCAAGATTCAATACAAGAAGAAAATATAGATTAATGAAATAATGATAGAAGTTTATGAGGAATTAAGAAAGTTAGGATCCAAAAGAAGATGAATAAAAGATTACAGTAAATGTATCTGAGCCGTTGTGGACGATTTTGAGCTATGTCACTCAAAGTCTCGAACTATTGGTCACGAGAAACATACAGATCCTAAGGAGGTAATATGTGTCTACTTACTGTTGGAGCTACTTATATCATCATTATATATTGAATAGATAAGTCTATTGTTGTGTTTCTATGTTGTTGTTCTTACTGCAATTGGATTGTGTTATGGCTTTATATTGCGGTCGATTTTTACCCTGTACTAATTGTTGTGTCCTTGACTGGAAAAATTAGAGAGCAGTGTACTTATCGATCGATTACAGTGACACGTAAACACGAACGGACGGCCTAGAGTCTCGATTGGTCTCGCTTCCCTATCTAGCCCAGTCAGTTGAGTCCAGAACACAAGTCACAACCTCTGAGATATGAATCACTGTATTTCAGACATACTCTATTTATATACTAACCAAACATACCACATCGTACCATAAAAATAGAAAACAACATTTGTACAATATTCAATAAGTGAACAGATACCGACCAATAGGAAATGTCCATTTAAAGTCCAAGGACATCATTGGACTTAACATGATAATTATTAGTCTATTCCTCCACATTCACAACAGATTGCATTATATATTTTCCTAGTCTCTAATAACTTCTAGCTAATCATGTGCCTTTTGCTCCAGCCTCTACCTTTTATGGTATGGTTGTATTAAAGATGTGGTTTCTTATTCAATGTACTGTGTGGTGAAGTATTCCAGCTCCTTCCAGTTGTTATTCATCCTTTCCATATCTGCTTTTATTTCCAGACGTAATGTGTTCTTTAGCCTTCTTATTTTCTGCTTCCCTTCAGGATTCCAAGTTAGGGCTTGCCTCGTGATGCAGTTTGACGATGTGCGTAATGTGTGTCCTATCCACTTCCAACAACTTTTCCTAATTTCCTCTTCAGCTGGAAGTCGGTTATAGACAAAGAAAACAGAGTATTATAACAGAAATAATTTGTTTTTAATCAACCTAAAACTTTGTCAAGCAAAACTATCAAACTGGTATACTTTGTTTTCATTTGAGTTATAACATTTCGCAATATTGATTTTGTCTTTTATTAAAAACACTTACTATAATAGGCACTTCAGGTACAGTTACATGTTCACAATTTACTAATCCATGTGGAGAACATGCCACATGCCGTGATTCTCCTCCAGGAATTACTTGCTTTTGTAATTCTATGTGGAAAGATATGAATCCAAATGATCCTGGAAAACAATGTGCTTGTAAGTAATGCAGATTTGATTATTCATATTATATATCTAAACATTTTTGAATCCAAGTTAATTTTGTTAAGTTGATTGTTTCCCATTTAAAAACACCGATTGAAAGCATAACATAATATATATAATATTTGATTAACATTGATATGTCACCGATGAAAATCTGGAAGCACTGGACGGCCGTTTCTTCCTAGTGTGGGACCCCTCGGCAGTGTGCATCCACGATCCCGCTCGCGGGATCCGAACACAGGACCTCCGGTCTCGTATGCGAACGCTTAACCTCTAGACCGCCGACGCGGTATCCAACAGTGTTAATGTCCAACCTCAACCAATTCACAAAATCGCGTGACCATCTATCATTGTACTGAAGTAGATATCTGTCTCTACCTAACACGGATTAGCTCCGATAATCAATTTTTAATGAAAGCAAGATATTTAGCATTTTTCGACCATTTTCCGTTCATTTAACGTGTCACTGTTATGTAACAGAGTAATTTTCAACGGGGACCTAATTTTCATCATCTAAAGTTAACTACATAGTTTCTTCTGTGAACAGTCTACTGTAGCGCATCCCAGTCTGCCGGATTTAAAAAATCAAATGAAGCTAAAGTTAGGGCATGAAATGAAGTCCTCAATGAAAATTATTCTCCTAGATCTTCCACATTTATTGAACATTTTGAGGCAGATACGCCATCAGTTCACAGGTATGTATCCTGATACACATTGCCAAGTCAAATAACACTCAATTGTTTCAGATATACATTGTCTTAATGACCTTGGATGGTCATTGAATGAACGCACAAATAATAAATACAATGATAAATTCCTTGAGCTGTATAGATCTAATATTTTGACAACCTCAATCTTTCACCTACTATATACCTTATTATCTCATCAGTTATAAATTAAAAGTATGTGATCATTACCATTAGAATTAACAACCAAAATTGGACAGAGTAACCTGATTCCTGGAGTTGTATTTGATTTCGGTTGTGTGTACTTAAATCATTGATATTAAGAATTTGGACAAAAGATTTTCCAACATTTTCTTACCAGTTACCCATTCACAAGTATCTTTTTCAATCTGGAAACGTATAAGGAGTGTGTTTGACGCTCGTTTCTTAACTATGATTCTCTCTTTGACACTATACCAAGACCACTAGTACTTCATAAGTTCACCATCGTTAACACTGACAGCTGAATATACCGACACACTGCGTTCTTACGTGTCTGGAAAAGAACAGCACATTGTACTTTGCGTAACCTTCACCCATTACCTGAGGTGAATAACTATCTGACACACAAAACGGACTGAACTCTTTTGGTTATGGCTTGTCAATAGAAATACAGGAGTTACCTATTGTTCAACTAACTCATATCATACAAATAATTCACTAGTGACTTTGTATTTTGATAGAAAGTAGTTTAACATAATGATGTCAAATTGAGATTTCCAGTCATTTGTAGCGTAGTGTCGAGTTGAAATTGACTATGAACACCGTTACAAAGGATCGCGTGCCAAACAAATCAGAAGCCAAAGGTTGAATGTAACTAAATAAATCCATAAAATCCCCAAGAAGCCAAATATCAGAAGGCAGTTAATGGACCAAATCGAGATATATTTGCTGGCCATCTTGTGGTATCGAAAGGATACCGAGATCGTGCCATGATACAAGCTTGGTTACAGAACGTAACCGAGTTCGCGTGGAGTTACAATCAAAGTGTAAGAATAAGAATGGAAGCACAATATAGCTGTCATTAGCACAGTTAAACAAAAGCACATTAAAACAAACACTGGTACAGTTGGTTATAATAATAATTGTTTTTATTAAACCAGTCGTGTGCTCGTGATAAATGTGAGTCACTACACATTAATCAGACTGATATTAGTTGGGTCAGCATTAAAAACCAAAGAACACTTGGGATCTATTATAACTTGTGGTGTTCAGATATGTTAGAAGTGAAATTATTGTATTACCGATGGTGTTGAATGACTGTAGCACACATCACAAACTGACTAAGGATGAAAATGTACCTGTGGTTGAAGGTTCACTACGAGACATAAGGGTCCTGAGTTTAGTTCTTGAAAGGATCATAGATGCATATTGTTCAGGAATCTAATACTAATACGAAATAACTAACTACCCAGTATTTAGTCATTTGAACTTGAATGCAGATATCAAAAGAGTTATTAGCACTTAGAAATAACCAAAAAGTAGGGTTAAAGGTTCCTGATAAGTGGGTTATGTTACACGAAGAGTTACAGATATAAGTAGGTAGTCAAGTAAAACTTGGCAATTTACAAGACTCTCTCCAATTCCGATTAGCCTATGATGAATACAATCTATATTATTAAAACTTAACTATTATGTAATATGATCTAATCTATGTAACTAAAATAGAATTCTTTATTTACTTTTTATCTTATATTTTCATTGTAGTACATCCAGCTGCAATTGCATTAATTGTTTTAGCATCATTACTATTATTGGCTGCATTGATCTTATTACTTATTTGTTTATTACGTAGACGTCGACGAAGGAATAGTTCCATTTTAGCATCAACTGATTTAGCAACATTGAATAAATTAAAAGAAACTAAATCATGGAAATCAAAATTAGATAAAAATAAAATTCAACTTGATGGAGATCAGTAAGTGTTCTGTATGAATAGGAAATAGATATATACATAGATGGGTGTGATTATTTTTCTCTAGAGAGATAGAGTTACGCCTATTACTCCTTGTGGAGGAGCATAAGCCTCCCACTAGCACTAATTATTTTTTCTGGTTAGTGTTTTTTTAACGAGTTGGTTTTCTATGGGATGTGGTCGCTAACTCCATGTCCAATCCTCCTCTTTTACCCGAGCTTGGAACCGGCAAAAACTCTAGAAGAGCTAAAGGCGGGGTTGATTATTTTTTCTAGCTTACAGATAATAAATGATGTGACATATAATATCCAACACTTGGATTACTCTAATTCAAACACAATTGAATTCATGAGTCAGTTAAAACTAAACCATCATGGAAAACTTGAAAGCACTGGACAACCGTTTTGTCCTAGTAAGGCACTTTTTAGTGGTAGTGCGCATCCACGATCTCGCTCGCAGGATTCGGACCCAGGGCGTATCGGCCTCGCACGCGAACATTTATCCTCTAGACCACTGATTCGACCAGCATCCAACATTGTTAATGTTATCTTCAACCAATCCAGGATATTGTGCGACCATCCACCATTGTCTTCATTGAATTATTATCTCATGACAGACCTGGTTGAACTCCATTGGTCACGGCTTCTCACTAGAACTCTAGGAAATACCTCTTTCTTATTGAGTTCTACAATTATATATCCAACTTAATAATCTATAAAATTGTCTAGGTCCTAGGCAAAGTACATTCAAAATTGTAACATGTGAATCAAGGATCGTTTGCCATCGTTATTGTTAGGATGACTTGAATCAGTTTATAAGTTAAATGAATGATCAGAATAAATACGGTCAACATAGTGTGAGAGAGAGAATAGTGTAATTACAAATCGAAAATTACGTAATACGTATAATAAGATAGATTAGGCAAGAATTGATGTATGACAACTTGAACATACTGTGGGAGAGAACAAACCAGATTCCAGTGAAGGAAGAAATCAGAAAGAAGCAGTGGAAGTGGATAAGACACAGATTGAGGAAAGCACCCAACTGCGTCACAAAGCAAGCCCTCACATGAAACCCTCAAGGCCAAAGAAGAAGAGGAAGACCAAAGAACATATTAAGTCGAGACACGGAGACAGACATGAGAAGAACGAACAACAATTGTATAGAAGTGTAAAGGAAGGTCCAGGACAGAGTGAGTTGGATAATGGTGGTCGGTGGCCTATGCTTTATTGTGGGTAACAGGCGTAAGTAAATAAGTACGTAAGTAATTAATATTACCTCGATTAACGAGACGAAATTCCCCTACTATGTATTTTATTCACATGATTTATTGTATTATTATAATATTGAGAACAACTTGACACTTTATTACGAATCATTCTGATCTTTATTAAATGACCTTTCTAAATTATAAATAACACAACATTGAAGTACTTATGCTGTATTATATGATAAAGTTCACAATTTTTTACGCATAATTACTTAATGTATCCCTTATTTTGGCTGTCGAAAGTTAATACATTGACCTAACATTGATCAGTCCATGAAACTATGCTTCACCAGATGTTTGTAGAGTAGTTTTAAAACGGATACTAACCGCTTTGCCACAGCATGATAAGAGGAATCGTGCATGTCCAAAATTAGTCTCAAAGGGATATCCGGTTTGTGTACCTTCAGTAGTTCGTCTAACCTAGTTAAATAGGTAACTATCGGCTTAACATATCGTGTTAACAGCAGTTTATCTAATTCGGTCAGAGTGAGAATCCTACAGACGACTGAAGCAATTGCTATTCGGATAAAAAACAATCAGAGTTTTTTCATCTGAAAGAAATATGTTCAACCGCTCCTTTTACTCTGGCAAACTTCGGGCTTAACTAGTTAAAAATCAATTTTATGATATGATGATATAATTTGAATGATGTCCATTTTTATATCTTAAACTTATCTTATTCACACATCTTACCATTGTCATCATTATCATTACACTTAATAACCTTTCTGAGACACTTATTCAGCATTCGCTCTTATCTGCTAATGCGTGCCCTACTTACTTACTTACGTACTCACTTGTTTACTTACTCCTCTCACCCACAATGGAGGATAGGCCACCGACCACCATTCTACAACTCACTCTGTCTCACGGTAGGTTGTTGCTGATAATTTCTGGTCAACGGATCCGAAGTATCTTGAGTAGACAACTGTTAATAAACAGTTGTATCTTCTGGATGATGGCTTTCATAGTTCTCCAAGTTTCCGCTCCATACAGCAGAACCATGGATATAATATGTCAAAGTAATTATTATAGATAACTCATGTGAATTGGAAAATCTGAATGGGTAGATTAAAAAAGTTATAAGCACTTAAGCTATTCAGAGGTGTGATACGACGTTTATAACATCCAGTTTATGTATCTAGTGATCTAGTTGTGGACGAAGATAAACATAGGGGCCAGATATACCTCTTTTGGATACATAAGTTAGATTTTCAGGAGTTGATCCAGGGGGCTTCAGGTGTGTAGAAGAATTGTAACCTCGCTCCGTTATGTAGATTGTTAAGAGCTTGATAAAAAATAGGGAAAGCTTCGTCTATTTTTATATTCTGTTCACTATCTGTCAAATGAGAAAAAATGACGCTGTTAACAGACTTCGTGATTCCTTTTGCCAAACATGCTGGTACATGTTCACCAGCAAGCAAGGATAAAGCCCTCTGAGTATGCCCTGTGTAACTATCTCCACAGGAGCAGTTAAATTGATGTACACAAATGGAGGAACTCATTATCAGTAACCTATCCTTAATTTGTTGTGTAAGTACTAGTTTGTTTGAGAAGATTATATGTAACTCGGTGCTATAAAATACCATTTAATTAGATTGTTTGAGTCGACTTGTTAAAATATTACTCGCTATGTCCCCATTAAAATCAAGTTTTTTGGCCGGAGTTTGTTCTGTTTTTACCTTCTGACAGAAATTTCATACATAATTATCTGGATATCCATTATTTCGTAACGCGTTCTTTAATTTATCTATTTCGCCATCTACATTGTCCTCAGGATATAATAGTTTGATTTTGTGACCTTTTGGTTTACCAGTATGGGGTTGTGGAAATCGTTGAATTTAATTGAGATTGATGACCAGTCTAAGTTAAACACAAACACTGGATAGCTGTTTCGTTCAGGGATGAAGCTGTTCATCGATGTGTATCCACGGACCCACACCTGAAGACCAAATGAAAGAACCACGATTTCGCGAACGGACGCTTATCCTTGAAACTACAGGGCTAGAATTCAATAGTGTACAGATTTAACTTCAATCGACTGACGATATTGAGTTACTTTGTCCAATTTTCTTCCATAAGTACCTTAGTCATAACCAACACAGCTGAAATTCATTAGAACTGTTGAGATTTCCTCTCAGAGCTAGTCACTAGTGAGCACACGATAATTATCACTACAGCACTGTGGAGATCGTTCAATGTGATAAGATTACGAATCGATCTGGTGAGATACATCTACCAAGACACATTTGCATGAGATTCTTACTTTATTATGTTTTTGTAGGTCCATTTCAATGGCTCGTGCTTCAGTGACAGATAGCCCAATAGCATTAACATCTATTCCAGCGTCGTGAGTTATAAGTTGATTTGATTTTATGATTAACTGGAGTATTTATGCCGTTAACTAATGTAATTGGATAAATTTTGTTATACCAGCATAGGAAAATGATAAACCAACTTATCCACTATTATGAAAATATGGTTTTCTTATATGTTGGATAAGAATCCGGGCTGTGATTCTGTATACATGTAATAAACGTTTTCATTAACAGACAAACAGCCTGAGCTTTGACATATGATATGCTTCGATAGACAACAGCCAACATTAAACTGCCACTAGTGGATCATCATGCACGCCTTTCTTCTATCCTAAAATCTAGTCCAAAATGAAAATATAGTGAGCAAGAAAAATTATTATATTTCAAACCATCATGGATTTATCAAGATGATCATTTAAACCACGACGGATCCTAAGCAAAGGAACATACTTTTTGCAATGAGATGATCACTGGGTAGTAATCAATGTTATGTATGTCAGGTCCTTCTTAGTGCGTATCGAATTTTATCGATCAAGTTGTGATGTGACTACCAGTATAGGTGACTCAATATCGTGTACACTATGCTGAGATACGAGGTGGTGGTTGGAGGTAGTTGACAAAAACCCTGGACCTAGGCCTTATGTTACTTGTCGCTCGTTACGATGGTGTACCTGTATCTGTCATAGCCCATTGATTGGTCAATTATAGATACATCTCAGTCTTGCAAAAAGTGAGTCGGTGTCTGGATAGTTTTGTGAAAAAGTCTCTGATTGTGGAGTAGGGTGGCGTGGCTTCCAATCCATCGAATTTCATCAATTTTCTTGATGCTACGTGTACGTCTTGCTGATGAGTATCAAATAGCACAAAACCTATGTTCATAGTTTCTTGTTGACTTCCTGTAACCACTTCCTTAAAAATCGTACTTTTCATACAATCGAACTACAGTATTTTAAAGACATGAACCAATAAGTGAATAATCAGTGAACACCAATTAGAATACTGGCAAACGCCTGAATATAGTTACGCTATCTGACAGTCACTTAAAGTTTATAGAATATGAGCATATAATAGTCTATTTCATTAGAAAACTGTCTAACAGTAATAATAATAATAATCAGTAAAATGGTTAGGAGAATTTAATACTCAATCCGTTTCAACGTTTGGAATTTCTTTCATTGAGATCATGAATCAATTGGCGTTAGATCACCATTGATAACCTGGAAGCACTGGACGACCGTTTCAACTCATTATGGGACTCCTCAGCAGTTCGTATCCATGACCCCGCTCGCGGGATTCAGACCCAAGACCTACGCTCAACTTCCAGACCACTGAGCCGGCATTCCATAGTATAAATGTTTAACTTCAACTAATCCACAAAATTGATCACCCATCTTCCTTTGTATTAAGGTAGATACCTGTCTGTTGAATAAACTACTTAGACAATTGTTAATTTTAATCATGATTCACTGTCGAATAATTGAATGACTTGTCATTTTTGGTTTACTGGCATTTGTCACTTCTCAAAAATTAAAATATAAATTAAACTAGAAAACTTTTTGGATTATTTCCTAAAATTAAATATTCACTTTAAATGTCCAGTATAGGCTGATACATTGAACTATAGCTTACATAATATCCACTAAACTATTTCATATGAGTTAGAGAATATACTCTCATCAAAATTATATTCATTCCGTTGTCAATATCTGATGAATGTGTTATGGTAATTGGTTGAAGATCACAAACGAAAAACTTCATTACATTATCGGATTATATGATTAATTTAAATTCATGGACCAATCCACGTGGGATCACCATTGAAAACCTGTATGCACTGAGTAGCTTTTTCATTGGCACTGTGCACCCACGACTCGGCACGTAGGAATCGAATCCACAATCTTAGATCTCGCGCATGAACACAACACTTCTAGATCACCAAGCCGGCATCAAATGGTGTTAACCACTTATTTCAATCAATCTATGGTGTTCCACGAGCATCTTCTCTTTTCTTCGACAGATAACTATCTCACACCTGACACAGTCGAACTCCACTTTTCATGGCTTCTCACGAGAACTCATCTCGAAACTAGTCACCAATGAGTACATGATTGTTGGATTCATATTTTTATGAATTTACGATTTTTTTTTTCAACAGGCCAATTCCACTAACAGGCTTACCAATGCCACTTACTCCAACAGCGAGTAACATGATTGACGGTCTTCCACAAAGAGTTGGAAGGTAAGTCACACAGTTTTTGTCAAAACATTTCGTTACTATGGAAACACAAAATAATTCTTTCTTTCACCTTCTTTTCCTAATGAAGAATGATCCATGTTTGTAGTATACATTCATCTATGGATTAACATAATGCATATTTTTTTGGATTAACACAGATGCAGTAAGGAAATTTTGTTGTAATATTGTATACTGTCCTAACACTTATAATCGCATTAACCCAGTTAATACTTGATTACCTAAGACAATTCTTCTTGTCCCTAAACTACCGATCAGAACACTTAAAATCGTCCTCAAGTAACTTGTATTATTTAGACTATTGTGATTATATAAACTGGAATGGAACAGAATATATGATGAATTAGAAATAAGTGACAAGTTTAGAATTTTGAAGAGAGTCAGAATTCAGATTTGGTCAAAACAACATGAATTCATTATTATTTGATTAGCTTCTCCTCAGATCCTAACAAACTATAATTTATGTATACACATATATTCACTTAAGGTGTACCTCAGAAGTACATAAATCTTGTGAGGGCTCTTAACTCGAACACTCCTATTCGGATGAGAGCTTATGGGGAATCGTTCCAAGATAAATGAAGTTGTCAACGCGTTCTACTACTTCACTCCGTATCCTTAGTTCAAGTGTTGACGCAGACCAGTCCTGAAGCAACAACTTGCATTTCGAGAGAGAGAGAGAGAGAGAGAAACGCATTCCAAACATTCTGGCATTATTGCATAGTGCTATCAAAAGTTTCTGAATTTTATCAGCATCTTCACCAAACAGCACTATATCATCTGCGTATTCTAATTTGATAAATCAACCTCCAGGTAGCAGATCGATACCCGAAGATTCAGTCGGTGAGAATGTTATTTGCATCAGTAGGTCTGTGACGACGTTAAACAAAAATGGAGAAAGTGGACAGCCTTGACGGACACCACATGGGTAGGTGTCTGTCGAAATCTCAGCACGGATTCGAAAAGCTCGTCTGGCTTTCGACAACTTACGTGACCTATCACGAAGGCGAGATATCCGCCTATCAGTTAAGGGATGAGTATACTTCGCGGCAGTTCGTTCTGTTCTACTTTACGACTGCGAAACGTGACCATTAACAGTAGAAAATATTCGTAAGATACTAGTATTTGACCACAGATGTCTTAGAAATAATGCTCGGATTGGCCGGGATCACTGGGTAAGTAAAAGTGAGGTTAGACGTAGGGTATTAGGGGATGATGTAAATCAGTTGATGAGGTTGTAAATATTCATCGACTGAGATCGTTGAGCCGCGTGTTACGTATGCTTGAACACCGATTACCATGACGCACAACACTGACTAGTGTGGTAGACATGTGGCAGAAAGATTGGCGCGGACACACTAAAACGCGAAATCAATACTTCAAGTCACTAACTCCTAGTCTGACTCATGTCAGTAGATAAAGACTAGTTGGTTGGGGTCCATGTGGCAATCGTAACCAATGGTTGGAGATTCTGTGTGACATGGTTGAGAATCGATCACAATGGTATAGATGTGTACACTAGTTGTCTACCCTTAAATTTAGAGATGAAAATTGATTTATATCTTTCTTTCTACGAACTAATTCTTTCTTCCTGCATCATAACCTTGTATACAATCTTTCTTTTAGGCATTACTACCATTGAAGTGACTAATTTTATGAATCGGTGTTCATCTTGTTGTGCTAATGAAGTGTGCCAACTTGGACCGTTTCGTAAATGTGCCTGTTCCTAGGTTGTATCTGATTGACTGAATGACTCACTAAAGAACAATTGTCCAAGTTCCACTTTATATTTATTTACTCACTCTTAGCAAATACAAACGATTCTACTTTAACCACTAATTCCATAGATTCATTCGATTGTCAGTTTTTTGTTTGATGAGAAGATAATTGTCCATACTAAATATCTGTTTCATATATTTACCACTTTTCTTCAGTCCCTATTGTCTTGATATCCTGTGTTTTTCTTTGCAGTGCATTGCCTCTTACAGGAACTGCACTCCCCTTGTCTGCGCTCAGAGGTAGTATGCCGATTAACGGCATTCAACAAATTCCAGCATCGTAAGTCATAATTCATTGATTTTTTTCTTTGAAGTGTTAGACGTTTCGGTACGTCTATAGTTTATGGACGAGCTAATCGGATTTAGGGTAACGGGTCTCAGATTTTGGCACAAACTGCATTCACTTCATTTATTTAAAAAGAATTTCGGCATTATGACTGATGTCAGTTTGTGATGAAAACCATTAAATCTAATTCCTAACCCTAATCATCAACTTTGAATTAGAATCTTTATTGTTATCACTTCATCATAGACCTACTGATAGAAATAACGTTCTCATCAACCGTAAATATTAATCTTAATTTCTCAAACCGGTTTATAACCCTGATTTGGACGTAGTATGTACGTGGACATTCTCAAGGTCTTTTTTTACCATTGCTCAAAGGTCGTCCATAAATTATAGTCTCACCGTAGAATAAACACTTGTATCTTCGGAATGATAGCTTTTGTAGTTCTCCAAGTTTCTGCCCCATACAGTAGAACTGTCTCGACATTCGTATTGAAAATCCTGACCTTTGTGTTGTTTGACAGTTGTTTTGAATTCCAGATGTTCTTCAGTATTAGATATGCTGCTCTCTATATGCCTATCCGCGGCTTCACATCTGCATCAGATCCACTGTGTTCATCAATGATGCTTCCCAGATATGTAAATGTTTTTACATCTTCCAACTCTTCTATGTCAAGTGTGATTCGATTGGCATATGCTGTTTTGTTTCAGAGAATATTGCTTTACCCTTTGTGTATATTGAGACCTACTGCTGCTGAAGCCGCTGCTACACTGGTCTTCTTCACCTGCACTTGTTGTTGCGTATGCGATAGAAGAACCAGATCATCTGTGAAGTCTAGATCGTCGAACTGCATCCTAGATGGCCACTGTACCCCATGCTTCCCTCCAGATGTTGACGTCTTCATGATCCAGTCGATCACCGGGAGAAAGAGGAAGGGTGGTAGTAAGCAACCTTGCCTGACATCGGTCTTTACTTCGAACGAGTCTGTCAACCGTCGTCCATGCATTATTCTGCAGTTTGATCCATCATAGGAATTCCGTATGATATTGGTTATCTTCTCAGGCACGCCGTAGTGTCGAAGAAGCCTCCATATTGTTTTCCTGTTCACGCTGTCAAATGCCAACATCGATTGGGAGGTCCGTGGTAGCTACTTCGATGTTGGGTGGGTTCAGTGGGGCTGGTCGGTTCAAGAGTTCTTTGAAGTGTTCTACCCACCTGTTTCGTTGCTCTTCAATGTTGGTGATTACCTCGCCTTCTTTGCTTTTCACTGGTCGTTCTGGTTTACGATGATTTTCAGAGAGTTTCTTTGTTATGTCATACAGTTGTCTCATGTTTCCTTCCCTTGCAACCTTTTCCGCCGTCATTGCTAGATCCTCCACATATTTACGTTTGTCGGTTCTAATGCTCCTCTTCACTTGCTTGTTTAGTTCTGTGTATTCAGCTTGTGCCTTGGCTTTTTCTGCTCTTGTTCGGCTGGTATTGATTGCTGCCTTCTTGTCCCTCCTTTCTTGAATTCTAACCAGTGTATCAACAGTGATCCATTCCTTGTGATGGTGCTTCTTGTGGCCCAGAACCTCATGACATGTTGAAGTGATTGCTTCTTTGATCCCCTTCCAGTTGCTCTCCATAGTAGTTCCTTCTCCATCGAGTAGATCATGAAAGGTCTGGAACTTGTTGCTGAGGACTATCTTGAATTTGTTGAGTTTGTTAGTATCCTGAAGAAAGGCCGTATTGAACTTTTGTGATATTGTCCGCCCCGTTGTCCAGTGCTTCTTCAGTTTAAATTTCACCTTGGTGACCAGCAAGTGATGATCTGAGGCTATATCAGCTCCTCTCTTGCTTCTCACATCCTCCATCGTCCTCCTGAACGTTTTGTTGATGCAGATATGGTCGATTTGGCTCTGCGTAGTATGGTCCGGTGAAGTTCATGTGGTTTTGTGAATGCGTTTATATGTGAATATGGTGCCGCCTATGATCATTTTTTTGAAGGCACATAGGTTTGCAAATCTCTCACCATTTTCGTTTCTTTCTATCAGTCCATGTCGTCTCATGATGTCTTCATATCCAGTGTTGTCCATCCCAACCTTGACATTTAGGTCTCCCATCAGAATGGTCAAGTCCATCGTTGGGCACTTCTCGACGATTGACTGCAGCCTATCGTAGAATTGATCTTTAGCGTCTTCATTGTAGTCGTTGGTAGGCGCATAGCATTGGATGACGTTCATTCAAATGCCTCCTTTTTTGTTTTGAAAGGGCATTTGATGATCCTTCGTCCATGAGATTCCCTTTCTATAAGTGCATTTTGTGCTTGTTTGGACAGCACCAATGCAACTCCTTGTGTACGAGGGGCATTTTCTTCTTCATAGCCGAAAAATAACAGAAGCTCCCCTGACACTAGTCGTTGTTGTCCAGCTTGTGTCCAACGTGTTTCGCTGATCCCAAGCACCTCTAGGTTGTAACTCCTCATTTCTGTAGCAAATTGGAAGACTCTTCAGATCTCCCACATTGTACGAGTATTCCATCTACCTAAATAAATGGTTGCTCTGGTTGTAAGAAGAGCCATCGGCCTCGTGACATTCAAAGAAACTCGGCTTTTATCATGAGGCGGCATAACTCTTCTAAATGAAGACTTTCAGACTCACAGGGCAAAGTTTAAGTGGTTTGAATAAATTTTTCCGGTTGGCGTTTTTTAAGCGAGTAAGTTTTCTACGGTATGGGGTCAGTAGCCCGACTACGACACTTCTCCTTTATCTTTGCTTGAGACCGGCAGCAGCCCCAGAGGGGCTCCAGATGGAATTGACTGACTGACTCACTAAAGAACAATTGTCCAAGTTCCACTTTATATTTATTTACTCACTCTTAGCAAATACAAACGATTCTACTTTAACCACTAATTCCATAGATTCATTCGATTGTCAGTTTTTTGTTTGGTGAGGAGATAATTGTCCATACTAAATATCTGTTTCATATATTTACCACTTTTCTTCAGTCCCTATTGTCTTGATATCCTGTGTTTTTCTTTGCAGTGCATTGCCTCTTACAGGAACTGCACTCCCCTTGTCTGCGCTCAGAGGTAGTATGCCGATTAACGGCATTCAACAAATTCCAGCATCGTAAGTCATAATTCATTGATTTTTTTCTTTGAAGTGTTAGACGTTTCGGTACGTCTATAGTTTATGGACGAGCTAATCGGATTTAGGGTAACGGGTCTCAGATTTTGGCACAAACTGCATTCACTTCATTTATTTAAAAAGAATTTCGGCATTATGACTGATGTCAGTTTGTGATGAAAACCATTAAATCTAATTCCCAACCCAAATCACCTGACACGGTCGAACTCCACTTTTCATGGCTTCTCACGAGAACTCATCTCGAAACTAGTCACCAATGAGTACATGATTGTTGGATTCATATTTTTATGAATTTACGATTTATTTTTTTTCAACAGGCCAATTCCACTAACAGGCTTACCAATGCCACTTACTCCAACAGCGAGTAACATGATTGACGGTCTTCCACAAAGAGTTGGAAGGTAAGTCACACAGTTTTTGTCAAAACATTTCGTTACTATGGAAACACAAAATAATTCTTTCTTTCACCTTCTTTTTCTAATGAAGAATGATCCATGTTTGTAGTATACATTCATCTATGGATTAACATAATGCATATTTTTTTGGATTAACACAGATGCAGTAAGGAAATTTTGTTGTAATATTGTATACTGTCCTAACACTTATAATCGCATTAACCCAGTTAATACTTGATTACCTAAGACAATTCTTCTTGTCCCTAAACTACCGATCAGAACACTTAAAATCGTCCTCAAGTAACTTGTATTATTTAGACTATTGTGATTATATAAACTGGAATGGAGCAGAATATATGATGAATTAGAACTAAGTGACAAGTTTAGAATTTTGAAGAGAGTCAGAATTCAGATTTGGTCAAAACAACATGAATTCATTATTATTTGATTAGCTTCTCCTCAGATACTAACAACTTGTAATATATGTATACACATATATTCACTAAAAGTGTACCTCAGTAGTACATAAATCTTGTGAGGGCTTTTCACTCGAACACTACTATTCGGATGAGAGCTTATGGGGAATCGTTCCAAGATAAATGAAGTTGTCAACGCATTCGACTACTTCACTCCGTATCCTTAGTTCAAGTGTTGACGCAGACCAGTCCTGAAGCAACAACTTGCATTTCGAGAGAGAGAGAGAGAGAGAGAGAGAAACGCATTCCAAACATTCTGGCATTATTGCATAGTGCTATCAAAAGTTTCTGAATTTTATCAGCATCTTCACCAAACAGCACTATATCATCTGCGTATTCTAATTTGATAAATCAACCTCCAGGTAGCAGATCGATACCCGAAGATTCAGTCGGTGAGAATGTTATTTGCATCAGTAGGTCTGTGACGACGTTAAACAAAAATGGAGAAAGTGGACAGCCTTGACGGACACCACATGGGTAGGTGTCTGTCGAAATCTCAGCACGGATTCGAAAAGCTCGTCTGGCTTTCGACAACTTACGTGACCTATGACGAAGGCGAGATATCCGCCTATCAGTTAAGGGATGAGTATACTTCGCGGCAGTTCGTTCTGTTCTACTTTACGACTGCGAAACGTCACCATTAACAGTAGAAAATATTCGTAAGATACTAGTATTTGACCGCAGATGTCTTAGAAATAATGCTCGGATTGGCTGGGATCACTGGGTAAGTAAAAGTGAGGTTAGATGTAGGGTATTAGGGAATGATGTATATCAGTTGAAGGGGTTGTAAATATTCATCGACTGAGATCGTTGAGCCGCGTGTTACGTATGCTTGAACACCGATAACCATGACGCACAACACTGACTAGTGTGGTAGACATGTGGCAGAAAGATTGGCGCGGACACACTAAAACGCGAAATCAATACTTCAAGTCACTAACTCCTAGTCTGACTCATGTCAGTAGATAAAGACTAGTTGGTTGGGGTCCATGTGACAATCGTAACCAATGGTTGGAGATTCTGTGTGACATGGTTGAGAATCGATCACAATGGTATAGATGTGTACACTAGTTGTCTACCCTTAAATTTAGAGATGAAAATTGATTTATATCTTTCTTTCTACGAACTAATTCTTTCTTCCTGCATCATAACCTTGTATACAATCTTTCTTTTAGGCATTACTACCATTGAAGTGACTAATTTTATGAATCGGTGTTCATCTTGTTGTGCTAATGAAGTGTGCCAACTTGGACCGTTTCGTAAATGTGCCTGTTCCTAGGTTGTATCTGATTGACTGAATGACTCACTAAAGAACAATTGTCCAAGTTCCACTTTATATTTATTTACTCACTCTTAGCAAATACAAACGATTCTACTTTAACCACTAATTCCATAGATTCATTCGATTGTCAGTTTTTTGTTTGATGAGAAGATAATTGTCCATACTAAATATCTGTTTCATATATTTACCACTTTTCTTCAGTCCCTATTGTCTTGATATCCTGTGTTTTTCTTTGCAGTGCATTGCCTCTTACAGGAACTGCACCCCCCTTGTCTGCGCTCAGAGGTAGTATGCCGATTATCGGCATTCAACAAATTCCAGCATCGTAAGTTACAATTCATTGATACGTACAGTATGCATATATACCAATAAAATAATGATCAATTTAAATCCTAAACATCAATAGGAAGATTCAAGTAAACAATACCTTCTGATCATTTGTTAATAATTCTCACTAAAATTTTATTCTTTAAATAAAACCTATCTAAGTGATCATATTTTGTGAAACTCTCCTGTCAAATAAGAAGTTAGTTATGAACTGTAATTAGAAGATTCATTTTACATACAAACCTCTTCAATTATTAATAGAGAATTGGAGTCTGTATGAATCTAGACATGAAACATATTAAATTTCAATAGTCCAGATCATGAGTAAATTGAATTTAGACCACCGCAAAAAACCTGGGGACACTGGGCGGCCATTTCGTCCTTTCGTTGGACTCCTCAATGGCAGTACGCATCCACGAATTCGCCTCACGAAGTTCGAACCCAGGACCCTCACTTACAGGTTTATTGTATTGCAAATACTAAAAATTAACCTATTGTAATGAACTGACCAGTTTAATAGAGATTAATCTCAGGCGGAAGAGTGTTGTAAGTCAGGAGGAAATAAACAGTTGTTTCGTCCTGATATAACACTCTTCCTCAACGGGCACCATCGACTCCAGTTGGAATCTTGACCAAAACATTCAATTCTTAATCTGTAACGAATGTAACCAATAAATTAAATAAATACATTGTAGCAGTCTACTCACTAGTGACTTACTTCAATATCCTTTTGAAGCTCTAAGAAGACATTGTGAGTTGTGAAGCTCAAACATCTCGGGAATTAAACAGTTGTTGGCAGTGGGGTTAGATGATCATCACCATATATCTCAAAATGATTAGAGACGAAATCGCACTTTTCGATGATGACACAGTAATTTCACTGGTTTAGAGTTCTAGAAGAAACCTGAAGATAATAGATCCAACTCATGGAATAATAGAAAGTACTCGACAACAATTGGTTTTATATATGATAAAATAGCTTTTTATTGCTCCTTCGTTTTCAATAGTAGCACAAAATTGATTAGTTTGTGACAAATGAAAAGTACAAATTTAAAATACCAATTAAAAGCCCATATCATCTATATGGATAATACATCTTTACTGAATATTACTGTGAGGACGGTCCACGGGTGAACTCGAAGAAGCTCTAAGAAGCTCAGAAAGAGCCGAAGATATTCCATCCAGTCATCTTTTGGAAGAATACTCCAGAATCAGCACGTTTAGCTTCCCTATTGGACTATGCTAATAACTCCCCTATGTGCGGATTGGATAACTATAATGATCACTTTGTTTTTACTAAAAACTATAAATACCCGGCAGTTTTCTATCATAACTGACACTGTTTGGAATAACATTCCTTTCACTCGTGTTCTGTTTTCTTGTTTGCGACTTGAGAGGGTTCTAGCGCTCGAGTACTGAAGTTATACGTGGCATATCAGGAACATAAACATCTAGATAATAACAATCACTAAATCAATAGTTTGATTGTTTAGATGGCTGGTAAGATGATTTAGTTAAACTAAATATTCACATTAAATGTCCAGTATAGGCTAACATATCAAACTATGAATTACATAGTATTCAATAAACTACTTCAGATCAGTTGATGAACACAATCTCATATGGCTGATAATACTTAGTGCGTATAATTTAGTGATTAGTTAAAAATCGTCAATACAATAATCTTGACTTCTCAGTAGTTAAAATTCAAACGACTGGTCAAATTCCGCTTCTTCATCTATATATATATATATATATATATATATATATATATATATATATCACAGCGAGATTGTGGGTGCGCACTGCTGAAGAGTTCCACAGTAGGACGAAACGGCCGTCCAGTGCTTCCAGGTTTTCCATGGTGATCTAGCTTCAATTGACTTATGAATTCAACTATTAGAATTACTATAAGATTCACAAAACCCCTTCTGATATTAATAAAAGAATTAATTATATTATCGTATTGTACAATTTATATTTTTCAATAGGCCAATTCAACCAACAGGTTTACCAATGCCACTTACTCCAGTAGGAAGTAACATGACTGGTGGTCTTCAAAAAATAGTTGGAACGTAAGTTATATAACCTTCAGTCATTAGATTTTTCTCTACTATTGCCATCATATTTTCTTGTTACCAGCTTATTATGACATCTAGTCATTACAACCAATGTCAAGATAATAATAATACTCTGGAAAACGCTGATACATTTATATATAATTGAATTCATGAGTCAATGGTAGCTAGACCACTATGAAAAACCTGTGAGCACTGAACGGCCCTTTCATTCCAGTGTGGGACTCCTCACCAGTGCGCATCCACGATCCCGCAGCGCGATATATATAACATGAAGTGGAATTTGATCAGTCGTTAGAATTTTAACTACTGAGAAGTCGGGATTATTGTAATGTTTCCGTATATACAATTTGTAGGCGGATAATCAGACTCTTGGTTAACTATTTACAATTGATTGATCACTGAGTGGTGATCAATGTCATGTATATCAGGACCTTCTTAGTGCAGATCGGGTTCTATCGACCGGGTTGCAAGGTGGCCATCAGTCTAGGTGACTCGACATTGCGTGCACCATTTTTTTAGCACATCTTAGTTAACTAGGAGCAGAATTCACCATTTTTCAATAAGATGATGATAATAATAATACTATCAAATGGGAAAAAAAAGAATATAGATCATATTAGTCTATCATGATATTTATTTAAGAAATCCTTGTATTGATCGCATCAAACCACAATAACTTTTGCATTTGATTGAAAGATAAATAAAGTATCGAACGGTAAGTCGAACATGGGTAAATAAAGAGCGATTCGTAAATATGATATGAGACTGGTTATTTGGATTTCCGTTTGTAGGCCAGCTGGATTGGTAGGGTCAACACTGCCTCTCACCTCAATGAATAAGATGATGCCTAGTGATATGTCAAGATTGGCAACAGCAGTCCCTGCATCGTGAGTCATGCTCCCATTTTTGCTACCTTACACATGTAACACTCACATGGTTGTTTTCTAACACACTTTGGTTTTTTCTGAAAACCTCACGCTTTACTGAAGACGTATCGCAATGTATGGTTGTAATAATTAACATGATTACTGTTGTAAAAAGTAAGGTTGTCTAATGGAATCTAATGATGAATAAGAGATGTTTGTAAGAGCTGAGTAATTTGGCGTTGAATCCGACTGTGCTGTTGGGTGGTTCCGAATATTGTGAGTCAGTGGCCGGTTGTTTGTTCCACTGATTTGTAGATCAGCGTATGAATGAGAGCTCGGTATATAATTGAGTAATTGGTGACGACGATGGTGAGGGTGATGCTGTTGGTGTTAGTGGTTGTTTGTTTGTGTGTGTGCGTTTGGAAGTGAGGATCCGGATGAATGGAAACACGAATGCGTGTATGCATGTTGATTGACATCAGTTGACAAGTGGATTGGTTGAGGCTGATGAGACTGTAAGTGACCTTGGAAACCGTGGTACCTGTGTTGTGATGTTATCGGATCCACAATTCATAATGGGTTGGATCGATCGTTTGGCGAGACATTGAGCATGGCAGTATGGAGAGATGAAATGATCACATGTGAATACCTGAGAGCAGTATGAACACGAACGTATGCGTATTGGGTGTGTCACAGTTTTAACATAACGAATTACCGATTCGCAGTTTACATACATATTACCAATTGCACTGAGATTATATCTATGTCAATTCACCAAGTCAAGTTGGCGCCAACTCACACATACATACATATATACATAGGCACGTACACTCACACATGCACGCACAGCAGATTCCATATGGTGACATTGTGTGACAGTAACTATTAACTCGCATTCATTCATTGGTGGAGTAATAAGATCCATGTTGTGTTTGTTGGTTTGGAATCAGTGTACTTATGTGAGACTGGTCATTTGGATTTCCGTTTGTAGGCCAGCTGGATTGGTAGGGTCAACACTGCCTCTCACCTCAATGAATAAGATGATGCCTAGTGATATGTCAAGATTGGCAACAGCAGTCCCTGCAGCGTAAGTGAGATTCCTTATTTATTTTTGGATTTCTCTTTTTCACAGACGAATTTGCTATACATTACTTTCACGGATCGACATACTTTTATGTAATTGATCATTTAAGCAATGATGTTTATATTTTAATAATGAGAGTTTGATTGAGTATACTTGTAAGCCAACGCTCCATAGCAAATATACAATTAATGTCATACTAATATTTCTAGAACTCAGTGTTTTTGAATATTTTACAGCCTGAATAATATTTTCTCGACCACCGCTGAGAAGTAGTTGCCTCTGGAAAGCGCTCATTTTCTGGTATGTACCTCTTCGAAAATACGCATCCACAACAACAAATCAGGGTATACTGGGAACAAACATCTGTTACGTGTTTGCTATTTTCTAGCTAAGTTCAGTATGTGATTTATTCTATACGTATCCTTCAGTCTTAACCAACTATCTAATATCAATCATCTGCTCACTTGTCTCAAGATACAATTCCTAGAGCTCTAGTAATAATCTCTTATCAGTGAAGTTCAACGATGTCGAGTATGGAACAGTTATCTAAGATAGTCGATGAAAAACGTTCACGTAATATCATGATTTGATTGGATTCCTACTCAGTGCTTTTGTAATTAAGCGCTGACGGACAGAACTCATGGTCCTGAATTTCAGCCTCGGGGACTTTGTGGATACGCAGTGTTTTGGAATCTTGTAAGAGCAAGTAATGACTGTAGGTTCTTTCTTAATGGTGACTTATAAACTATGCAAATCCAATTAGGCTGACTTACCGGATTATTAGGTATGTTCATATAAATCACGGAATACTAGACAAGTGTTTTGATGTAATTTGAGACTCTTCAATAAAGCATACCATAGATCCAATGTTTAAACGAGTATAGATTTTATGAGTATAACTGATGGTTGTTAAATGAGCATAACCCAACTGCGTCACAAGACAAGCCCTCACATGGGATCCTCAAGGCCAAAGGAAAAGAGGAAGACCAAAGAACACATTACGCCGGGAAATGGAGATAGACATGAGAAAAATGGACAAGAATTGGATGGAACTAGAAAAGAAGGCCCAGAACAGAGTGGGTTGGAGAATGCTGGTCGGCGGCCTATGCTCCATTAGGAGTAACAGGCGTAAGTAATTAAGTAAATAAGCATAAAGAATCATTTCGCCGTTTACTTTTATAATACATCAAGAAGGTTTAGTTGATTGTTACATTGGTTCCCACAAACGAAAGTGACTATTGAATGTACACTGTTCAACTGTTTTAACACTTTAATAATATATTGATCCATAATGATAAATGTGTTGTTACTGCAATTCAGAAGAAATTTAGATCATTGACAACTTTTTTGAGGGATCCATTTTCTGATCTCTCTAGAAAGAAATCAACTAACATTGAGCTTGATGGTAAACCATATTACTATTCCATAAACTTGTATAGAATAGGTATTATGCAAGACAAAATGACCATTTACCGTTTACCTTAACAGTAACTGTTTAAGATTGATTTCGTTGTGGTTAGTGCTGAGATTTTTTTTATTGCTATTTGTTTGGATATAAATTCGACTGTTTAGACTAACGATAAATTCATGAATAATGATACGATATCTAAAGAAATCTAATCAACTATCGTTCTTTTTTTAGTTCTCAAAGAGAATTGGTCAGTTGTTTCTTTACTCTTCCATTGATGCCTTTATTATCAATACTTACTTCAATTAATTGTTACTCTAGTTGTCAGAAGGGGCATCAACTTCATGACTTCTAAACGAACTCGGCTTTCTCCAAGAGGTGTCATAACTCTTCTAAATGAAAACTTTCTAACTCCCAGGGTACAATTTAAATGGTTTGAATTATTTTTTCTGATTAGTGTTCTACGGGATGGGGTCGCTAATCCCATGCCAAACCCTCCTCCTTTATCCGGGCTTGAGACTGGCAGTAGACCCAGAAGGGTTATTCAATAAACCTCACCTTACCCCCTATCTAACTTACTTATAATCGTGGTATTCTCTTCTGTAAGATTTATTAGAATGTTCAAATGCTTCTTGATCAGTTATACATATATAAAGTACTTTTGTATAGCTGGCAGCTATCAGTTAAGATTATCTTAAACCTACCTAGTTCTTAAATTAAAACAAAACACTTTTCGTGTATATAATTATTTGGATCAACTCCTAAACTTAGGTAATCAATGAAATCTACATATGTATTGGTTTTCTGTTTTGTATTCTTTTCTTAAATATGTAATTCCTTTCATAACTAGAATTCAACTGTAGTGTGTGCTACTGATGTCGACAGATATAAGTAGTATGTAACATCGATCGAAAATGAAATACCTGGTGACAGAAGGTTAAGAAGATCGAAGAAAAGAGAATAAGCACAGAGAATGATTGATGTGAAAATGAAGGAACACTCAATTCAGAGACGATTGATTGACATTTTACAAATGAAGTATTCATTGTATGATTCTCAGATTGTACTAAGGAGATTCTGTAGTTTTGTATTCAAATTACATTCAATTGTCCCCATTTGTGTTCTTATTCACTAAATAACTTGTTACTTTAACTAGTAAATTTGAATATATTCCATTCATATATGTGTATACATTAAGGTACTTAGTGTACTCTTAAGACAATTCAAACATCTTACTCTTATTTTTGAAATGGTTTCTAATGATTTTGCCTAGTTGAACAACAGAAACTATTTAGCTGTTGATGAGAATGGAACGATTGTTAATATCATTCTATCTGAAATAGTATTTACTTCTATATGAACTAGACGATTATCATATTCTCCAAAGTTACAATGAAAGCTCAACAAATCAACTATTTAGCTCTAAGAATTCAACACTACCAAAACGATAAGTTATGTTATTTAATAAAATACCAACATGCATGTACAAAGAGATTATTATGTAAACAACTTCAAGTACTCATCAGTAATTTCGTAGGATACTTACTTACGCCTGTTACCCTTCATAGAGGAGCATAGGTCACTCACCAGCATTCTACATTCAACTCCGTCCTGGACAATCCTTTCCAGTTCTTTCCACTTGTTATTCATCCTTTTCATATCTGCTTCCGATTCTCGATGCCGTGCATTCTTCAGTCTTCCTATTTTTCGTTTCCCTTCAGGATTCCATATTAGCATTGCCTCGTGATGCAGTATGATGATTTTCTCAATGTATATCCTATTCACTTCTAACGTATTTACCTAATTTCCTCTTCAACTGGAAGTTGGTTTATTCCATTCTCACAGTAGGTGGTTGCTGATTGTATCTGACCAACGAACATCGAGTATATTACGTAGACAATTGCTTATATATACTTGTACCTTTTTGATGGTAATAGTTAGTAGAATTATCATTCAAAATTTTAAGATGATAATATAATAACTTTTGTTATATGATTTCAGTCAAATGTTAACAACAAACATGCAAATTCCTAAATCTCCAGTTATAACCAACATGTTAACCAACGCATCAGGAAGTTTACCACAGAATTCTATGATGTAAGTTATAATTTAATGGTCATCCTTGTATTTACATTCAAATAACATTGTTGGCTTTTCTATTGAAATGTTCTTTCTACTCATTCTCAGTGTTATGTTACTTACTTACATACTTTACCTTACTTCCTTACGCCTGTTACTCACAATGGAGAATAGGCCACCGATCACCATTCTACAACTCACTCTATCCTTAGACTTCCTTTCCAGTTCTATACAATTGTTGTTCATTATTCTCATGTCTGTCTCCATTTCTCGACTTAATGTGTTCTTTGGTCTTCCTCTTCTCCTTTGGCCCTGAGGATTCCATATGAGGGTTTGCCTTGTGACGCAGTTCGGTGCTTTCTTCAATGTGTGTTTTATCCACCTCCAGCGCTTCTTCCTGATTTCTCCCTCCGCTGGGATCTGATCTGTTCTCTCCCATAGTAGGTTATTGCTGATAGTGTCTGACCAACGGATCTGAAGTATTTTGCGTATACGGGTGTTAATATTGAAGCTTTCTTGTGGTCAATGAAGTTGATGTAGAGTCATTAACTCCATTCAACTGATTGTTCCACAATGATCCGTAGCGTTGCAATTTGGTCTGTACACGATCGATCCTTACGGAATCCAGCCTGTTGGTCTCACAGTTGGGCGTCTACACAGTCCTTCATCCTGTTTAACAATACGCTATTGAAGAATTTTGCTGGTATTGAGAGAAGAGTGATGCCTCTGTAGTTATCACACTTGCTGAGATCGCCTTTCTTTGGTATCTTGATCAGGTGTCCTTCTTTCCAGTCTCTTGTTACATTTTTAAATAAATAAATAAGAATTTAATGGTAGAAAATAATTAAATTTACTTGGTATTGTTTACATGTATTTTCCCATTGATGTTTGGGACTGATAAATCTCTTATTGGCATATCTGATTTGTTTAAACAAAGATGATCATTTACAATGGAAATGAATTGCTTTAATTTTTATATTCTAATTGGATTATTACCAGAATGGGGTTTTGTTAATAATGTACTAATTTTTAGTGGTTAAGTTGATGAGTTGAATAAAGCTAAACCACCATGGAACACCTCGAAGCACTAGATGGCCGTTTCGTTCTAGTATGGGACTATTCAATGATAGTGATCATCCACGATCCCGCTAGCGGGACTCGAACTCAGGATCTACATGGGGTATTTCTTGGAGTTCTAGTGAGAAGCCGTGATCAATGGAGTTCAACCGTATCTGTTTTTGAGGCCACTGAAGACAATGGTTGACGGTCGCGCAATATCCTGGATTGGTTAAACGTAGATATTAACAACGTTGGTTCCCGGCTAGCTCAGTTGTCTAGAGGTTAAACATTCGCCCGAGGAACCAAAGTTCCTCTACCCAAAACCAGCGAGTGGGATCGTAGATGCGGACTACTACTGAGAAGTCCCATACTAGGATGAAACGGCCATCCAGTGCTTCTAGACTCTACATGGTGGTCTAGCTTTAATCGACCCGTGAATCCAACTAATTAGATTAGTTGATTTGTTCCTGTCAATGAGAAAACTTTGCACTACGAATAGATATCATAAGTCGTAAATCTAGTAATGATAGGAGTTATTCTAATCACTTATATTCTAGTTAATTTCAAGCATAAAGTATATAATAACTATAAAGCTTATAAATCTAAATATCAGATAATAAACTAATTTTTAAGCAAATATAGATAGTGGCTAGCAGTAGAATCCAGGACGTGCATTTCGTCCTATTTTGGGACTCATCAGCTGAACCTATCTGCATATCAGAGTTGATAATCACTCTGAGACTTGAACCCAATACCATCACGTTATTCACTTAGTTACTAAGTTCTGATAAACCTTTATATATTACTATGATTGTTAAACAAACCTTCCTTTTCTATGATATTTTTTTTATTATTTTAGTCCTTCAACAACAATTCCACAGAATAATCTATCAACCAATTTGAATATTTTCAATTTTGAAAATTTAGATAAAATTTGAAATGATGATAATGTAATAAGAATATTCATCTTATTGTTTAGTATTCAAAGTTCAATGACACTTTCTATTGACTCTTTAACAGTAAACATTAAACACAGATACGATGATAAGTTTATTTTTATATACATACATATACACATTATATATATTACATTTTATTAAAAGCATGAGTATAACTATCAGTGTGCTTGTGCGTGCGTGTGTGTGTGTGTGTGCGCGCATGATTACCCATTTATTGTTACACATTCATTTTATGTTATCTATGATAATAAAAACTAACAATAATAATAGTTGCTAATGCATCTTGTCATTTGAAAGTGATGATACCTTGAATCAGTTTCAAGTTTTATCTCATTTGAATGATAATTTCAGTGTAAAATATATCGAATGTATATGTGCACCATCCAAGTCACTTGATTTGTATGTGAGCTGTGATACTGTTCGAGGGCCGAAAACAGAAGCAGATAGTCTACTTAAGGGGTCAAACCTGGAGTCTTCGACCTAAAGATCTAATCCATAAGGTAGTGGAGCAACCTCAGGAGATGAAGTCTCAATGTAACCAGTGATCAACGATTGGTTCATACGTCATTTATACACTCAGGATATTGGAGCCCATATGTGCCATTGGTTTGGAATCAGGGTCTTCCAACTTCCTTAGGTGAACTGTCCGTGTCTACCAACCTGGTTAAAGCGCAGGACATTCGCTTTTTGTCCTCTAAATTTCGTAAACAACACCCTAACCGAACGAAATTAAAAAGTTATTCATATGATAAACAAGAATATGGTAAATTAATTTTGATTTATTGTAAGGCAAAGTTAGAATTGATTGAATTTATAAAATAAGTAGGTTTGCTAACTTACGTGATATTTAAGACAAATGAAATGTTTATTGATCTATCTATCTTTAGATGTCGTCCAGAAATTGATTGTACTCAGCGGGAATACGAATCAAGTAATATTGAAGTATGTTATTGAGATTAAATGACACACTTTGACAAACATGATGATTTCTAAGTATGATAGAAATAAGAAAAAAAGGACTTATTTGATGTTATGATTCATGGTGGATTCCCGCAAAAGACTAAGTTTCATAACCAAAGTTCATATAACAGCTAAAACTCTAGTCAGTAGAATATTTCGAGAGTGAGATGAGAAGATGAAGCTGATCTGATTTTCAGTCATAAATTAAGTAAAAAGAAGTCAATATTGGTGAGACGTTTACATTTAATTAATCAGTTTAAATCGAACATTATTAGGATGAATAGAATTATAAGATGGATAACGATCTGTATTCCTCATCTACATGAATGGGACGCTAAATTGCCTTACACATATATCTATACTAGATACCATTCCAGTGTCTACTCTACAGGACTTCAATACAATTCAGATCAAGAACACTTGATTGGCCGAACTAGAACATAAGTAAATTTTAACACCAAAAACCGACAACAATCACAATAATAATAAGGGTAGGGAAATATCGAACTCATCTAATAAATATTAGACTATCTCTACTGGTCTGATTAAGCAAATAACCAATTGTTATCTAATGACAAATTGTTTCAAAGATTGTTTTTAATAATTTCATCAGGTGAGATCAATTGAGTCAATTGAAGCTAGACCACTATGGAAAACCTGGAACCACTGGACGGCCGTTTCATCCTAGTATGTGACTCTTCAGCAGTGCGCACCCATGATCCCGCCACGCACATATATGCGTTGGTCAAAGTTGCCATACCTCATTAGCCCAACAAGATGAAAACCGGATTCATATAAGTAGTCACTTCAATGGTAGTAATAATTAAAAGAAAAATTGTGTATAAGGATGTAGTACAAGAAGAAAGAATTAGTTCGTAGAAAGAAAAATATAAAGTAGTTTTAATCCCACGGTTTAAGGAAAGATAGAGAGTGTATACACCTACACCATTGTTATCTATTCTGAACCATGTCACCCACAGTCTCCAACCATTGATTATTATAGTTGCGCGTACCCTAACCAAGTAGTCTGCATCTACCAACATGAGTCAGACTAGAAGTTAGTGACTTCAACGACTGATGCCATGTTTTGGTTTGGCCACCCCTAACTTTCTTACGACCATCTCCTACACTAGTCAGCATTGAGTGTTATGGTAATCGGTGTTCAGGCATACGTAGCACGTGGCCCAACCATCTCAGTCGATGAAGACTTGCAACATCATCAACTGATTTACCATCATTCCCTAATACCCTACGTCTAACCTCACTTTTACTTACCTGGTAATACCAGCAGATGAGAGCAATACTTCTAAGACATCTGTGATCAAATACTAGTAGCTTACGAGTGTCTTCTACTCTTAATGGCCATGTTTCACTGCCGTAAATTAAAACACAACGGACTGCCGCACAGTATACTCGTCCTTTTATTGATAGACGGATATCTCGCCTTCGCCATAGGTCACGTAAGTTGTCGAAAGCCAGACGAGCTTTTCGAATCCGTGCTGAGATTTCGTTAGACACCAACCCATTAGGGTTGATCAGAGTTCCAAGATAAATGAAGTTGTCAACGCATTCGACTACTTCACTCCGTATCCTTAGTTCAAGTGTTGACGCAGACCAGTCCTGAAGCAACAACTTGCATTTAGAGAGAGAGAGAGAAACACATCTCAAACATTGTGACATTATTGCATAGTGCTATCAAAAGACTGTGCATTTTATCAGCGTCTTCACCAAACAGGACTATATCATCTGCGTATTTTAATTCGATAAGTGAACCTCATTTTTGGAGAACAATACCTGAAAATTCAGTCGGTGAGAGTGTTATTTCCATCAGTAGGTCTATAACGACGTTAAACAAAGATGGGAAAGTGGACAGCCTTGACGGACACCACTTGAGGTTGTAAAAGCAGATGACAATTCGCCATATGCTCTGACTCGACTAGTAGTGTCCGAGTAAAAAGCCCTCACAAGTTTTATGTATTTCTGAGGTATACCTTTCAATGACAGACAATGCCACATAATCTCGTGGTCAACAGAGTCGAATGCTGCTTTTAAGTCAAGAAAAACCATCATTGTCGACGCCGGTAAGCATGCATTTGTTCTAGAACCTGACGAACGGTGAACATGTGGTTGATGCAGTCAATGCCAGGTTTGAAGCCAGCCTGATTTTCACGTGTTTGCAGTTCACGAGTCTTAGTTAGGCGTCAGATAATTATTGAGGCCAGTATTTTAGATGCTATGTTAGTCAAACTAACCCCTCTACGGTTATCACAAGATGATTTTGACCCTTTCTTATATATCGGACAAATTAGTGATTACGACCAATCAGATGAAATTACGTCTAACTCCCAGATTTTAGATAAAATATTAGTTAACCTAATCGCTAAAACTAGACCACCATTCTTAAGGGCATCTGAACCAGCTGCTCATCCTCGTTTCAGATTAGCTATAGCTTTCTGAACCTCAGCTAGCGTTGAGAGACCTACTTCTATGTCCCATTCACACTGTCTGGGAATGGTAGGTAGTTGTTGAGTAGCTGAAGGCCAGATGAACTGCCCCTTAAAATATTCCACCCATCGTTCTAAACGTCTGGACTTGGAGCAGATAAGTGTCGTTTCTTTCCTAAATAGTCTCACACTTGACTTCTTAATTCGTTTCTTTTATCAGTCTGTAGAGCTGTCGTGTGCTACCTACAGCCGCCGCCTTTTCCATCTCTTTTGCTATCATTGCTCACCACTGCTCACGGTAGTTCCTTAGACTCTTGCTTAACCTAGATCTGATTTGTTTTCGCTTTTCATCGTGTTCAGAGCCTGATGGGATGAATTTACGAGGAATACCTAAGTATGACTTCAGTTGTTCCTGAAACCTACTTTTGGTTTTCTCATTACTCAATTCAATTTTAATGGATCTTTTTGGTATGGCTTTTCTGCATCCAGTGAGGTGCAAGCAGATGTGTGCTCGCATTAGAACATGGTCGGAGTCCAAGCGGGTATTCCAGAATGAGTGGCAATCTTCTACCGAACCTCTCCAACGATGATTGATGGCAATATGGTCTATTTGAGTCCATCGTTGGTTTGGCGTAGGGGGTCGCCATGTTAGACGATGTCTCTCCTTATGCTTAAAATTTGTGTTTGCTAAAAAATAAACGACTGTCTGAGCACAGTTGCAGCAGACGATCACTATTATCTGTTCGTTGTGCCAGAATACTAAAATACCCACCTAAATGCCTTTCTGTTTGGTTTAAACTACCTATCTGGGCATTAAAGTCACCGCCTACGAGTACTATGTCTGAACGTTCAGCTTTCTGAAGAAGTTCGGACAGCTTTCTGTAAAATTCATCTTTCATTTCATCTGAGCTGCTGTCGGTGGGAGCGTAGGCAGAAACGACAAAAATGCAACGACATGTGTCCCTATCCTACCACAATCATACGGAGCCGTTTAGCCGAACAGCACATAAACGACCGTTAACGGGGATCCACTATAGCAGTGCTTGTCGCGTCCTCGTACTTAGTGCTATGCCTTACCTGCCAGTCAACGAGAACTAGCCATCGGGTCGTCAGATACACGGAGGGCTCTCCTATTGCCGATGTGAGGTCAAGTGAATAACCACACTAGGATCCTGTATGCGTGTTTCGGAGACACAGCATACATCAGTGGTACGAGATTCTAGGGTTCTAGCCAAGGAGGCCTCCTGAGCGATTTGACATAAGGTGCGTACGTTGAAGACTCCAATGTGTAGTTTGGAGCCAGGTTTCAGTACACCTGGGATAGTGATTTGCGCACTAGAATCGTTGGCTATGGTGACAATTGAGAAGGAAGCAAAAAGAGGAAGTTTAGAGTTGAAAGTCGATGTAAGAGGAATAATAAGAACTAAAAAAGAGGTTGATTATGAATATAATGGTCTCGAGTGCTGTTGGAAGTGTGAGGGCGGTTATCACTTCCCGGTTGCCCACACCGTGGAAGATTCCTTCCGGAGGCACCGGAAAAGGAAATTGGATTAAATGTGAACTTAAAGAGCTGAAGTCGGTCACACGCGACCTTTCTATGAGTAATTCTTGTGTTTGCTTCGTACTTGTTGAGACCTTATCGCCGAGGACGGATATCCGTGGGATAAGGCGTTTTTTGCATTTTGGGGTCGACTTTTCTAACCCCACCCCTTCTTGTGGGAAGACAGCATCACTGTCATGCTGGTTGTCTGAGGGAAACACCTTACTGCTGTCACACCTCTGTACAGTCAGAATTACGACTTCGCCATCAGACCTTTGGTTTGCTGCTTTTAATCTTACCGTTCTCTGGCATGGTAGGACCCTGGAGAACGATTGTTCCAGCTAATATAGCTCGATTGGTTCGTCACAATAGGCAACCCCAACCACCACATCAAGGTAGTAACAACGGTTACATAACTAAGAATCCATGTTCTAATTTAATTGATATGTCGATTAGCGACAAGAACTAGATGAACACCAATCTGTTTTACTTCGTAGCTGAGTTTTACAAATTAAATGCTTTTTTCAATAAAAAAAGTACAAACGACAAAATATCACACATTTGAACATTGAACTCATCAAAAAAATAATGTCGAAAGAAAATTATAATTAGCAAAAACAAGAAAAGCATATGCTTAAATGCAGAGATAGAGAGAAGAACAAATAAATAAATTATTGCACAACAACGATGGCAACAATGACGACAACAACAACTGAGATGATAACGGTTGAAGATATATCGACATCAATAATAATAATAAAAAGAAAGACACAAAAAGATCCTTCACTGAAATTGTGCTCTTTTATCACAAATATTAAATTGTTTTATCAAATTGATTTATCATTGACAATTGATGTTTAAGTCAAATCAGTACTAATCTGATTAGTAATAGACAAAGTGATAGGAAATAATCTATGCACAACAGATGAATATACTTTAGATAGTGTAAGTTCGTGAATACTCAATGTTAAAATGTTTTATTTGAATGTATTGAGAAGATTTACTATCATATCATGATAGTAAAGTACGTTAAACTACTCTTTAGTTTTTTAAGTAGTATAAAGCTGAGAGATAAAGAAAGTGTTTTGATCAAGATAAATTGAGAACAATGATAATTTGAAATATTCCCATATTGTAAATTTAGAACAACATATATAAGCGAACAATATTGTTTTCGATTAGATCCTCATCAGGCTTTACTTCTAATATTCAGTAATGTATTTATATGCATATATTAAATTATTAAAACAATCAAGGTAGTTTATGATAACCGGTGCACTTGTTATCACACTATCAATTTACACTTTTCACTTATTATGTAATCTATTCCATTATTATCATTGACTCATAAACTACCTTGATTGGTTTAATAATTTCGTATTTGCATATAAATACATTACTGTATATTAGAGTAAAGCCTGATGAAGATCTAATCGAAAACAATATTGTTCGCTTATATATGTTGTTCTGAACAATGATTATTTAGATAATTTAATGGGATAAATCGGTTAGTCTCCAAACAATAGCATGAGCACCTGAACCCATTTGACGTGAACGATTAACATGAATCCTCATGCTAGAAACTGTATAAATATAGAAAATAAATAAGAAATGGTGTTTGGTTAACAAGATAGATTGGTTAGAAACAAAACTATAAAACTATAAACTATCAGTCTGATCAGATGTAGTTATGAAATAAGTCATAGTTACACATTATCCTTTACTGAATCATCTTGAATGATACTTTATAACGTAAAAAGAAATGTTTCTCGATAAGCCACTTGTATAACTACCTACCTAACTGCACAAGAACAAGAGAACATGTATATATTGATCAATCAAAGTAACGTGTTCTCTCCAAAGGATGGGCAACATGCAGAAGATAGTTTAAAATGTCTGTAGAGGTGTTACGTATAGTGTTTGGTATGGTTATTTAGCAGCTTTACTTCTTATGATTTTGTCGAAGTCATCACCGTTGCATTTAAGTCTATGTAGTATCTTATTTAGTATATTCGTGACGTTCATACCATTTCCTTCGGTAAACCATTAAGGATAGTCATTATCCATGAAATCAACTGTAATATACAGAATTTGCTGTTCTATTTTGTTTCCCGTGAATATTTATGTGATTCGTCGAATGAGCAGTTTTTTTAATGCAGTAATAGTCTTTGTGTAGTACATACCACCCAAAACTCATAATAATTATGGTGATTCGAAGTCTCAATGAGTTAGATTTATCTAAAGTGTCATTATATTTGGCGTGCGCCTAACTGTGTAATAGAAACCGACCGTTTCGTCCTGTCTGGGATTCATCAGTGAGATGTAATGAATTTCAGAGTTGATATTCATATTGAAATACATACCCAGTGCATTCCATTTCAAACACCCTCATACTCGTTAAGCACATAAGTGACTATCTGGACTTAATAGCTCTGTAGATAATGAGTTGGGACTTTGAAGCGAAGGGCGATGGTTTCGAATCGCAATGTGAACATTAAAGTTAGGGTACAGGTACATCCAACAGAAAAGTTTCAAATAGCATAAGAGCTTGCGAAGGATGCGCATAGCTTAACAAAGATGGTTCACAACGAGTTTATTGTATCCCGAACCACGGGACATATTTTCGCTAATTTAGTAGACAAATGTTGCACATTAAAGTGTAATTTCGATGACAGACTTCATTTCAAGTAATGAATTTCACTGGGGTTTTTTTTGTTTCATCATACATATTGGCTTAAGATACACTAACTTATTCATAATAGGGAACTACGAGTAAATTCAGACATGCTACATTCACTCACAAAATGAACAAATTGGCAGAAAGTCCTGGATACAGAAAAATATAGTTATTGAACATTGAAGTCTCATCAGCCCTTGTGGTTTAGTGTGTGACGAAATCTCAGCACGGATACAGAAGGCTCGACTAGCTTTTGCCAACTTGCGTCATTTATGGCGTAGGCGAGATATCCGTCTATCAATCAAAGGACGTGTTTACTGCACAGCAGTTCGTTCCGTCCTACTTTATGGCAGTGAAACATGGCCGGTAAGAGTAGAGGATATCTGTAGGCTACTAGTATTTGATCATAGGTGTCTTCGAAATATTGCTCGTATATCATTGGACCATCAAGTAAGTAACGCAGTTATAAGGAAATGAGTACTAAGTAAGGATGGCAAATTAATTGATGAAGTAGTGAAACTCCATCAGTTGAGATGGCTGGGACACGTGTTACGTATGCCCAACGACCGACTGCCTCGACGTGCTATGTTCAGTGGTATAGGAGTAGGTTGGAAGAAAGCTAGGGGCGGCCAAACCGAAACATGGCACAAGTCCATGAAGTCACTGACAAGTGAACTGAGTCATGTTGGTAGGTGTAGACTACCTGGTTGGGGACCGCGAGATGACAGCAACCGATGGTTAGAGACCCTGAATGACATGGCTCAAAATCGTTTGCAATGGCGCAGGTGCATCCACTCTCTGTGTTCTCCCAAATTCTAATCTTCTGAATTCTTCATGTCCCTTTTTTCCTCTTTCCAAATTTCTTTCACTGGATTATACTCTTTAAATAACATCTCCAAACCTTAATCTTCCCGATTACTGCTTATACTCTTATTACCTCTACCACTACGGGATTTGAATCGACAAGTGCATCTCTGTGCTAATGTGGTGTGGCAACTCGAACTGATGTACGTACGTACGAAGTTCTACGTTGTTACTGACTGACTGAACATTGAAAATGATATAAAGAATTTTAAGACAGGAAATTAAAAGTACATTAATACAACGTTACAAAATTGAAAAAAATAAACTTCATAAAAGAATTACTTTGATCAACTGGAAGATGAGTTTGTTGTTCATCTTTTTGTTCATATTGTTCTTGAAATTGTCTCAGATCAACATAATCATGTCCAACTGATACAATTAAATAACTCAAGTCTTCATTGTTAATTGCTTTTTGACAAACTTGAAAATGATTTGAATATTGAAAACAAGAAAATATTTAAACAGTTAAGAAGATATTCTCTATTGTATAACCTAATCTTTCAATCAATAGGTTTTTAACCCCACTACATCGAATTGAGTAACCAACTAGAGCTACTCAATATTACATATACAAACAGTGAGGCTCATAGTTAGATAAATAAACTTGCAACTAATGAATTAATTGTATTGCAACGATTCAACATCTTGCTCTTTAACAAAAGTACACCTATCTAGGGGCTGAACAAGAACAATAGTATCACAAAACATTACTAGGTTTCATAAACAACGAAATTTCAAGTTTCATTAGAGGTGCGTAGATGGTTCTTACATCCGGATTACTCACATCATAAAAGAGTACTTAATCTTTAAGTGACTGAGAAGGAAAGTGGGCTATGAATGTTCTAACATGAGAACGGCCAGTTACACACGTTCACTTTGTCACTTTGGATATATGCGTTTTATACTTCCAAGTTATTGCTGACAGATACGAAAATAAATAAGATGAAGTAAAGTGTGTTAAGTCAAGCCACAAGCTTTTCTAATTATCTCTATCCTTTATGAATACTTGTCTCAGAGAAACAAATTATTGCACAACTGAGCGCTTAGATTCTACATTTACTGCTTTTAATCTTTCCCCCTTCTAACTGATCTACCTATCATGGAAGGACCTAAAAAAACGAATGTCCCGGTCAATATAACTCGATTAAGTCATCAAGACAAGCTATACTCCAACGTGAAACGCCTAGGCAGTAGTTATGATCAAATTTCAAAGGATCAATATTTGTTTTTTTAGTAAAAATCAAAATAATATTGATCATTATTTTCATTAAATAGTGTAAGTAGTACATACTTTGATGAATTAATAGTAAATTGCATACAGGACGTCGATAACCATGACAACTGATTGTTATTGAAGAAGTTTTGGACAATTCAACCTCATTTGATGAATGTTTATACTCTACATAATTATAAAATTATGAAAGAAAATTTATTAGTTTATACTTAAATATCATATTCATGATGTTAATTATTAAAATGTGAAAAGAGTTAACCATAGTAACTGGCTATTCAAAATAACTGAATCATCAATATCCAAGAAACAAGCTTCTAAACTTTTAAAGGTAAAACAATTGACTCGCACTAATTATAGAATGGGCATGAATACAGATTGTGTGTTTGTTTTAATTTCACTAGTATTTTTAAATATGAAAAATAACTAATCAAGAATAGAAATGTACTGATATAACCCTTGTGATGAAATAAATGAAAAGCCAACTTCTACATGAAGTAATAAAATGAAGTTGTCAAGACTGGTTAGTAAAGTTGCTCAAGTAAACAATTGCTTATCCCAGATTTAGTACAATACCGTATTAGAAAAAAAAACTAGATTTCAATTCTTTGTAAAGTTACATAGTAGTGTCGGTTACTATGTTAAGCCCAGATACCATATCCTAGTTTACGGACAGGCCAACTTATCCATTCTGCCTGAGTTACGCTTTGATTCTGTTAATTATTCACTTATCAACCTTGACTGTTTTTCTATGAGCGCATATGTTTGTACACTTCTTATTCTATTCATTACATGTCTGTAGCTTATTTTTATCTGGCTATAAATATAGTTTAACGACTTGATTAAATGGAGTTGGTTCACACGCCTTTCCTGTGTGTCATTTCGCTTCGTTCCTCTGAATGTCTGTCCAGGCCAATAATTGTACAAAATATACGTATTCGAAATCCATTCTCGTCTTTGATTTATTTAATTCTGTTATTTACTATCGCGGTTTAAGTCGATGAAATATACGAGAAATTATGATCAACCATACAATCTATTTGGAATCAGATCCCGGGCCACTAAAGCATCACTGGAACCTATTCTAGCTTTAAAATGTAATGTCTGTCCAAGAATAAGCATTCGACAATAAATAGTTGTCGAACAAAAATCGGATCAATACAAAATGTTGATATTCGTTCATATATTCATATAAAGTTGAGAAATATTATAACATGCACCTTGATAGATTTCAAGAATGACAAACATAGAAAAGACATTTCCGAAATTCTGGTGAAAATCTGTGACTAATGGAGTTCAACCAAGTTGAGTGTGACAAAAATACTCGCTGAAGATAGTGGAAAGTAGTCGTGTAATATTCCAGATAGAGTGAATTCAGATTTGTGCACCAATGGATCCCCATTCAGAGTTCTACAGGTTAAGTGTCAAAGCATAGGAATTGTGGCCTTGATTCAGTTCCCGGTTGTTGGTCATAGGTGTGTATTACTAAGACGCAACGAGCGTTTAGTTCTCCCAGCTTTCTAATGGCTCTATAATCTAGATAGGTTTGTAGTCGTAATAAAATTTGAAGTTTTATTTTGTTATAAAATCCTTATGAGATCAAAGATACTACTGTCAGTTCGCTAATGCAACTTAGTATATCGAGTGTACTAAAGTAAACAATTAAGTTGCAATATGACGAAGACTAGGAAAGCATGACCTTGATCACTACACAACCAAATGTAAATATCCCAGTCATACAGAAGGCCAGAATAATTTAGCGATACAATCTCAGGTTGTGAAGCTAGTCAACTCATGTGTTATTCATAAAAACAGCACCAGTTCCTTTAAGGTAGTAGATAAACTTAGCTGATGGCAGCCACGAAAACCAAGTTTATACAGGGTTTCCTGCCAAACGCCATTAATCACTTAATAAACGATTAACTACTTATAGAACAGGCATGAATAGTTGTGTTATTGCTCGCTTAATAATTTTATTAATTATTCAACTCTGTTAACATGATTCATCGATAAATAAAAAGCCAATAAATGATTACTGGAGTAATCCAAATGTAAACGAGCAATAAGACCAGAACGAGTAGCAAACCATATTTCATGATCACTAGTCAGTGGTATAATAAGTAAACGACATATAGTTAAATCAATCGGATCTGTAACATTTTCCATATCTATAAAGAATTAAGAAAAAACGCATTATAAACAGATAATAGTGAGAATTATATTAACATATACATATAATTCAAACTTTTATTTGATTGAGATCATGAACCGATTGATGTTAGACCACCTTTTGGAAACCTGGAACCACTAGACGGCCGTTTCGTCCTATTGTGGGATTCCTCAGCAGTGCGCTGAGCCGGCATCCAATGGTGATAGTGTCTAACATCAACCAATCCACGAAATTTCGCGTCCATCTTCCATTGTACTGAGGTAGATACCTGTCTCTACCGGACATGGATTAGCCCCACTGGGAAATATAATACTACTTATAAGTATCTAGTATTTCATAAAACAATTTGTCATGAACATCTCATTGGTTGATTCTTAAACTAACAACTGATTCATTTTCTTACTGATTGATGCATAAACTTTATCACCGTTGTCTGTATTGAGTGTTGACTACTGTTGTCAGTTTGAATATGAGTTATTTTTTTACTTGAGTTAACTGTTATTTACTTTAGTAATAAGTTTACATTAATACAGAAAACAACTATCTAAGTTTAACCGACCTAAAATGCAATCATTCACATAAATCTCAATAACAAGTGAATTACTTTATGCTCATCGATGATATTAATCAATAAACTTTTCCAGCTTCCAATCACTAACGGTTGAAAGCTCTAATCCTGACCCATATACAAACCAATCTATTCATTCATCTACAGTACTACCAACTTTTAAGTAAATAAAGTATGTTGCTCATGTTTGGCAACATATATTTGTACTTTATTATTGAATTACAATATGACAATAAAAGAAACGTATGACCGAACCACTTGACCAAATGTTGCACATAATGAGAACGACTAAACCTTTAGAATATGGTATAAAATAACACAATGGAAACGGATGTATGAAAGAATACAGAAATTCAAGATTGAGAGGAAGAAAAAAGTTAATCTATCTGCATCATTCTGAACGATTCTAAGCCATAGTATCCAGCATCACAAACAGTCAATGATTATGATTATCAGTTTAACCACAACCAGATATGTCTGCATCTACAAAACATGGCTTAAATCTACAATGCAATGATAGTTAAACTATGTACAGAATAATAATTAATAATTTACCCCAAGCTTACCTAACATTGAAGACAATGAATTGGTTAAATCAATTTGACGTAGAATACACTTTTGTTTAGGACAACATCCTAATAGACGTGCCATTCCAACACTTACTCCACTATTTACATTATGTTGACACTTTTTCTGATCAACGATAACATCATCATCAATGTCTTTATTATCAATATTACTACGATTACTATCGGTTGTAGATGTTGAAATTTTCTCACATGATGCACAAATTGTAGGATTGCCAGATACAGCTAACCAAACAATGTCGGCCAATCCTGTTGTAGACGGTTTAATGCATATTGCATGTAGACATGGAGTTTCATTTGGTAATGCTAAACTGTACATGTTAAAAATATTTATGAAATAATAATAACAATACATATATTTCTGTAAATTAAGAGTAGAATAAAGAAAAATGTAAAATATCACCAATAAAAAGGAACTCTGAACTGCGTTACTCCGATATAAGGTGGGTATCTTTTCTCAATGCGATAAATTATATGAAGAGTAAGATGGAAAAGTATAATATAGTGAGTAAAAAGATTATTCACTGAGTCAGTCAGTCATTTAGCTACAACGTAGGACCAGACATATATGTACATCAGTCTAAGTTGCCACACCTCATTAGCACAACAACATAAACACCGGATTCATAGAAGTAGTAACTTCAATGGTAGTAATATTTAAAAGAAAAATTCTGTATAAGGAAGAAAGAATTAGTTCGTAGAAAGAAAAATATAAAGTAGTTTTAATCTCACGGTATAAGGGAAGACAAGAGTGTATACACCTACGCCATAATGATCTATTCTCAACCATGTCACCCACACTCTCCAACCTTTGGTAACGATAGACACCTGGACCCCAACCAAGTAGTCTGCATCTACCAACATGGTTCAGTATAGAAGTTAGTGACTTCAAGCACTGATGCCATGTTTTGGTCTGGCCACCCCTAACTTTCTTACAACCATCCCCTACACTAGTCAGCATTGCGTGTTATGGTAATCGGTGTTCAGGCATACGTAGCACGTGGCCCAACCATCTCAGTCGATGAAGACTTGCAACATCATCAACTGATTTACCATCATTCCCTAATACCCTACGTCTAACCTTACTATTACTTACCCGGTGATCCCAGCAGATGCGAGAAATACTTTTAAGGCATCTGTGGTCAAATACGAGTAGTTTACTGTCGATATGCGTCTATCATGTAGTAATCTCTCCATATATATACAGAATCGTCTGACAGAATTTTTTCATTAAAATAAGATTAAAATGTAAAAATGAGAATTTGCACATGCAATGAAATCAGTTTATGCTACAAGGATGAACAAATTATTACAGGCAACAAAATGTTTATTCATTATCATATGAGCACAAACTTTCAAAAGCAGGTTAACTAACCACTTATTTGAAATCATGAGTCAATTGAAGCAAGACCACTATGGAAAACCTGGGAGTACTGGACGGCCGTCTCATCCTAGTATGGGACTCCTCAATAGTGTGCATCCACGACCACCCCCCCCCGCGAGTTTAGGGCCCAGGACCCATCGGTCTCGTGCACGAGCGCTCAAACATTAGACCACTGAGGCGGCATCCAACGGTGTCAATGTCTAACTTCAACCAATCCACTTAATTTCTAAAATCTCCACAAAACCCTTTCTGATAATAATCACTTATTTCTCAATTTTTTTAACCATACCGAGAAAGTTTTTATCAATAAGGACGTTAGGAAACCCAATAACCGTGCAATGATGGCCACACTATAATTACTTACAGTAAAAGTAGAAACTAAAATATGATTTGGAAAGCAAGAGGTAAACCAATACAGATCTACACTGATAGTAAACTTGAAGAATTATTTCATTTAGCGTACATCACAAGTAAAAAGAATACGAAAAGGCAAAACTATAATGTATAGACGAACCAGTCGTATTTAAAATTGAACTTTGGAGTTTAGGTGTGAAATTCATTCATCCATATGACTAAATTACACTTGAGCATTATAGCTGATATCAATTCGAGATGTAAAGCTCTAATTCTAATTCTTAACCGCAAATCAATTCCTTACACTAATTTGTAATCTCAATAAGTGATAAAATTTTCTTAAAACCACTACTTAAGTGTTGCTCAAACGTCATCCATAAATTATAGTCTCGCAGGGAGAGACGATATAAAAAAAACAAATACACATACACAACTAACCTTGTTATAAAATCACCAGATTGGACGTCTAAACAATAACAATGACCACCACCAGCTGTACCAAGCCAAATATAGTCATTTATTGAAGAAATATTATTCTCATTCACAGTAGAACAAGGATTAGAAGAAGACAAAGTGGAGGATGAAAACGAAGAAGCCATAATTAACGGACCAGTTGATAAAGATTCATACGGTAAATTAATGAGTTTATGTTTTGTTTGTACTTTGTTGGATGTAGAAGTAATCATTGAAGATGATGTATTTACGGTATTATTATGTTGATTTTGCATAAATGTTAATGGCCATTGAAAGCAAACAATATGAGTTGTACCAAGTGAATTGAATAGACCAATACACACATAATTATCACGTGAACTATAGAAGAATAATGTGAATGTACAGAGTGAATAAACGTGTTGGGATAAAGAAGGAAGATGAATACAAAACAATTCGATCAACCATGATAAGAATAACAGTAAACAAGAATCAATCAAAAGTGAAGAAATACAAATAGCATAGCATAATGGATGAACCCTTATATGCAAATCTGACTTATTATAAAAATATGCTAACATTCATGACCGGATTAAATATCCGAATTATACAGAAAAAAGCCTTCGTTAGAGTTCAACAATTGATTCATCTGAAAATATTTATCTATTTATTTTAGCACAAACAGTGGCACAATGGAGCACAAAATATATATGAGCCGCACAACATCTATGAGGTTGTGAAATGACAGAGAAGGTGAAGTGCGTAATATAAAAAGAACAACAACGGACAGAAATTAGTGCACGAGAATAAAATAAAAATAATGGGAAAAAACGGTTCAGTTAACAAAAATATAATCAGAAAGAATCCTTTCAGTTAAAAAAAGTTACTGATTGAGATTATGAATCGATAAATTTTAGACAACCATTGAAAACCTAGAAACAATGGACGGACGTTTCTTCCTAGTATGGGACTCCTGAGTAGTGCGCATCCACGATCCTGCAGGAGGGATTCGGACCCAGGACCTTCAGTATCGCGCTGGCACAGTGGTCTCGAAGTAAGTGTTCCTGAGGTGATGGGAGGTTTACAACTCATATCCTGAATATAAAAACTTTAGAAGAGATCTTGAACAAATTGTATCAACATGGACATTTACTCCATGTATTAGCATCGGTTATAGAGTAGATACAAACCTTTAACTCTCGTTTATCTTCATGATATCAAGAAATTGGATCGAAAGTTTTCTAAAGTTTATTTATGTTACTTATTTAAACACATAAAAACGGGCACAAAAGGGCATCAAATATAAATGCGCCACACTTTATCATTCGATTCTTGTAAAGGCTAGGATACTGTTCGAACGCCCAAACTGAAGCAGGTGGTTTCCTTAGGGTGTCACACTCCGAGACTTTGACCTAAAGGTCTAATCAACAAGACAGTGGAGCAACGTAAGGAGAAATAGTCTCATCGAAGCCGGTAACCACCAATAAGTTCATATGTCATCTGTTCCCTCACAATCCTCGAGCCAATGTGCACAATTCGTTTGGAATCAGAGTTTTACAACTATTCTAGATGGCTCCTCCATACCCACCAACACGGTTAAAGCGCCGAACATTCGTTTTTCGTCCTCTCAATTCCATAAACAACACCCTCGCCATGAGAAGGCAGTGAGTAAGATTTCCTTGGCAGTGGCTATGTACGCGTGACTGTGGGGAAGCATTTCGAGAGAGAGAGCGGTCTCTTCTCACTCTCGGCCGTGCCAGGGCATTTGAGGGTTTAGTGTAAGATCGTTTAATCAGTAATGTACGTTGAGTACACACATATCGAAGTTTATTGTTGCCTTGATATTTAGATTTATGCACATAGAACGTGTCATCAGAAAGCCAGATTCGTTCGATTTCGTATTTTCTAAAATAAGTAACAATAATTATCAGTAAATTTCGATAAAACGTAGATAATCACAGGTACTCATTGGACATCACTTCATCGATTTCAAAGAAGTCTAAAACAAACACCATTTTTGTGTGAATCACGTACATTAATTTTGATTCAACTGTAGATCAAGTGATTTCATGACAAACTTTTCTTTCGACCGAGTGAGGTTACCTTATCATTATTACCAGTTTAGATCATAATACTAGAAAATATTCCATTCAATATGTTATATAGATTCCTTTACGATGATTCTTACCAGTTTTAGTCAAACGGTTGTATTTCTGAATATCCTTGATCAGTGTTGAACTAACATATAAATGTATGAAAGAATAAAATTGTGACTTATTTTGTAAGTTAGATGAAGTTATGTTGGATTCATTTTGTATTAAATTATTTCTGTAACAAATGGCTTGTGGAAGTAAAAAGATAGATAGGTTGAGGGCTTTTTGATCATACATAACTTTGAAGCATGGCCCGTTTTTCGTGGAACAACTGAGTGAGTAATATTGAGGTTAAGCATAATGTACTAGGCAAAGGTGGGAAGTCGGTTTATGAAATTTTATATTTTCATCAACTTAGGCGGATAGGATATGGTGTTATGTTTTCCAGAACACAATATACGTCGAAGAGTGAAGTTGACTGAAGTAGAAGCAGGTTGGAAGAATTTGTAGGGTAGCCGAAACTAAACATAGTTTCAGTCTATAAAGTCAATGAATGTTGATGCTGACTATTCCGGTAAATGCAGAATACCTGGTTAGGATCAGTGCAATAACCGCGATTAGTAGTTGGAGACTTTAGGCGAAAATGCACAAAATTGTTTACAATGGAGTAGATGTATTCACCATTTATCTGGCTTCTGATCTAAAATTTCAATATGCTTTCATAGATTCTTATTCACTATGTCTTTTAAAAACATACTCCCGATATCTAGTCTCTTTTATTACCATTGCAACTTTGATCTCTTTTATTCTTTATCTTGTTATTTTCATCTCATGATTCTTATTTAATATTGGCAATTCGAACCAACATCCATTGATAACAGGCATTACGCTGAGAGAAGACTGTAATCATAATTTAACACTCTTAATCGTAACATTAATTATTAATTGAAAATAAAACAAGCAACTCATCATCAAATTAACATAACTTACATCATCCCATTAGCCACTAAACCTTGACTATTTGTTTTAAATCGATATATTAATTGTGGTAAGCCAACAACATTGAAATGACTTGAAACAATTTGCTCACTATAATTACTATTATTATCGTCATTATTTCCGGCCACATCAGACGAACTGGTTGACTTCATGCTATAACATAATCTATAAACTAGAAATCGTCCATCATTTGATGCTACAATTACGCAACCATCTGAGAAAAAACAAGTTTTTAAAAATGTAGAAATTGATAGAAGGAACTTGTTCAATGAAAGAGAAGAATTACAGAAACATGAAAAAGCAACGTCAAACTAACAAAGATTAAATGTGACTGAAATTGTTTTTGTGTACATTGTTTTAGTTTAAAGATTGTATTCATCAAAGCAAAATTTCAATTGGGGTCGTCCCATTAAAGTGCATAAGGCACCAGACAACTGTTTCATCTTAGTATGAAGACTCTCTACCTTAGTAGCATGCACACACGACCCTGCTAAACATCAAAAGTAAGATTCATCAATCTTATTCACTATTATTCTAATTGTTACTTGCCATCAAATCCTACAATCATTTAAAATGACTGTTTATTTACCCACTACAGGTAAAAATCAAAATCTAATCTGTCATACTGTAATAGTGCCTTTAACTATCATTACAGAGATTTGTGGAGATTATTGAATATTATTAATAATGCGAACTAACCTAAGTTAACATTCATTGAAACCTTGAAAGAACTGGGCAGCTGTTTCATCCTAGTAAGAGACTACTTGGCAGTGCGTACACATGACCCCATCATAGGAGGTCGAACCGAGGATCTTCGGTCTCGTGCACGGACGTTCAACCTCCAGATCACTGAGTCAGAATTCAATAGTGTACATGTCCAACGTCTATCAATTCACGATATTAAGCGACCATCTCCCATTGTCTACACTCTTTAATTTTTCCATGTTCCAGTTAGTCTGCTTTCTTCTCTTCACTACTAGAAACTACACATTCCAAGGAATTCAGTACATTATAAACAAACAAACAACAGAATGCATCTATACTGCTAATCATTTATTTGATTGATTGTAAAGTGATTGAAAAAATGTAGCCATTGTCACAGGTGAAACATTTTCATCCTAGAAATATTCATTCTGATTTTCTTTTCAAAGTCTAAATTTATCGACACTTTTTTTTCTTTTGCCAATAATTCTCAGTTCTGATGAATGATTAAGTCAATCAAAACACCAACATTATAGTTACCACGCTGACTTTTGAAATTATTCTCGGATTGGTCACTTTCACTTTGAATATATTATCTTCTTATATGCTTATAAAGTCATCATTGTTCTTGTATAGGCAGTATTGTTGACTGCTTGAATTGGAACAATAAAATTTCTCTTTTTTTCAGTAACTGTCTTTCCTATCACTCTTACTGAAATGTCGAGGAAATTATCACTGAACCAATGTTACTATGTAGTTGTAGTTGTTAGTGGACGTGAAAAATAAGAGCTAAATTTCACCCTCATCATGAATTATCCTACAAGTATGGATAATTGAATTTGAAAATAGGGATAATTAATTGGTATCAAAAGGGGTTTTGCGGAGATTGTAGTTGTAGCTAGATCACCATGGAAAGCCTGGAAGCACTGGACGGCTGTTTCGTCCTACTGCGAGACCTCTCAGTAGTGCGCATCCACGACGGGATTCGGACACAGGACCTATCAGTCTGATAAAAATTTAAAAAAAACGATACAACTACTGACTAGTTAAAATAAATTATTAGCTTAAATTAACCAAGAAAGAATATTGACATACCATTATTCTTATTACAAATTGTCTCATTCATATTACTACTACTGTTATTATCATAAGATTCATCGATATCCCATGTAAATTCAGTGTATTCATGATTTGAGGTTAATTCAATTGAGGATGGATCAGTTGATGCAGCTGTAAAAAAATTTTATTTTCATGAATAAATAAATAAAATTATGAATAGGAATTGCTTAGAACAGAAGTTAAATGTTAAAATCTTGAGAACAAGAGAATAGTAGTTGAATAGCCAGTTTATAACAATGTTGAAGTTGATCGGTACGGTCTAGTCAACTATGAACTTCAAGATAACCATCAAGGGACCTTGAGCAATCACAAGTGAATCACTTATTCAAAACATAAAGATGTATCAATGGATAGTTAACAACGGTTGATACAATTGGTCCCAATTTTGAAACCTGTTCAATTTATTTCAGAATGCGTCGCTGGGTAGTAGAAGGCAAACGTGTTAACTCCGCTTCTCACCACCTCTCAATGTCAGCACCCATTAGTGGATGCATAAAATATACTCCGAAACAGTATTAGTATTCCGACTTTTGATATATCACTCTAAAAATAAATAAAATATACATGAGCTCCACGTAGTTCATGTGTATCATACAGGTCTTTTGATACCAATAAATGAATATATCAAGAATTAAGGGTTGTTCCTTTTATCCCCATGGTAGGTTCACTGTTTATGGGTTAACGCCGTCGAAGATTAACTGGTAAATCGAAGTTTTGCAAGAAATCGATACTGACTATAGGTACTGGTACGTGTACCAAAACAAATTCCCGGAGGAATAAAGTTCAACATCAGTTCGCGATCTCCATGCGTCTTTACATCGAACGCACTTGCTATTTGTAGCACTGCAAAGGAAGTCACAAGGATAGTCAAGGTGTGTTAGAAATGCTAAAATCTCTCTCGGGACGATACCTGCACGCACAATTTCTGACTATTCGATTTTCCGCATGACCCTTGCCCTTTGATTGGTTGTAATTGCTGCTTGTTTGAAGGTCATACTCTGCTACGATAGTAACAACTTTTGTACCGATTCCAGTTGTGTTATTTGTCCTATTACAAATATCAAGTTATCTGCGGTTCCGTCTTCTTCCTGTGTTAGCCGTTGAGGTTTGATACGTTGTGTAAGTGGCTGCTGTCCATTGTGAAAATAAAAGGTCGCGTTAAGGTAGTTCAATCGTTTTTGTTCCCAAATCTGTAACATCGTAGGTGTATTAAACCATAATAACAAAACACAAGTGCCAAAAGTATATCAGTGTCTCGTCTCTCTTCACCTAAGGGTGGCAGAATACTTATTGCCGCTCTGGCGTTTATTAGAAACCTAATAAATAATAAAACCTAACGAACTCGCCTCACAAGTGTCTAGCCTTCAGACTGTTAAGTAAGTATTTTATGTGCCCATTTCAAAAGAGTTCACCACTAAGACAAAACGGTAATCCGATTCCTCTTGGCATTCAATGTTTTTTAGTTAAAATCAGTCTGTGATGTAACGATGAATCTAATAAATTACAATAATAGTAGTAAAAATAATAATAACAACACAAAATACCTTCATTGTATTTTACATAAACAGCTGCTGTCGGCAAGAAACCATTATCTAAATCAAAACTATTAATAGGTTGAGTGAATTTTGTTGGTTCAAATATGTGCACTTGTCCAAGATAACCACGATTTACTGATAATGAAGAATCATTGGAATTTAAATAATCTCCTGAACCACCACGACCAATCAGCCATATATGATACTATATATATATTTCAAAAAGAGAAGAAAAGAACTACCACACTAACGACAATATGAAATTGTCAAGAATGAATTTATGGGATAGAAAAAGTTAAAAATAATTTTGAAACCGGAAATTCATGGGTAGATAAACAGTGAATGCATCTGCACCCCGAGCCTTTGACCTAAAGGTCTAGTCAACAAGACAGTGGAGCAACGTAAGGAGAAATAGTCTCATCGAAGCCGATAACCACCAATAGGTTCATACGTCATCTGTTCCCTCACAATCCTCGAGCCAATGTGCACAATTCGTTTGGAATCAGAGTTTTACAACTATTCTAGATGGCTCCTTCAAACTCAACAACCCGGTTAAAGCGCCGGATATTCGCTTTTCGTCCTCTCAATTTCATAAACAACACCCTCGCCACGAGAAGGCAGTGAGTAAGATTTCCTTGGCAGTGGCTATGTACGCGTGACTGTGTGAAAGCATTTCGAGAGAGAGGGCGTTCTCTTTTTACTCTCGGCCATGCCAGGGCATTTGAGGTTAATAGATTTGATCTGTTGAGAAGAGATTATATACAATGACTGTCGGGAAGTCTCTATACCAAGATAGAACAGCTATATAATTAACAACACAATGCCGAATAGTATGAATATGATACGATAGTAAGATTGAGAACATTTTGTTGCAGTCAAACTCATAAGTGTTGGTTTTTGAAATAACCATAATGTAAACAGATGAGAACACCTGACAATCGAAATTTCTAGAACTTTGATAGATACTGTAGTAATTACAACATCGTTGAACATATTAGACAAAAGATTAATTAAACTTGATAAATAATCCATAGTCAAATGATGTTCTCACTATCATTCCACATATTTAGATCGTTAACATTAATTATCATGCAATTTCCACTAGCATAAGAATGATTGTAAACAAACGAAAATGATATGCTGTATACAGAATGAGAACTAATAAAATCCGAGATGGTATCTGTCCTAGTTATATTAAAAAGAATTTAAGGTGACTAGATTGATCAGATGATAATTTACAGATTAAAAAACAACCACGATCAATAAGAGAATAAAAGATGGATCTTTTATACAAGAGATTAATCAAACAGAGGAAAACATTAATGTGTATATGTGTATCAGCCTTAAGTTACATAGGAACATCATTTTATCTCGTGTACTTGTGTAATGTTTTACAGCCATTCACTCTTACGCCTTTATGAACAATGAATTATCGCATGGTCGATCATATTGGCCGTAAGATGGTCTGTAGTTAGCGTTGTAATTTTCATTCATTATCTATGATCTTGAAGTCTTTATCACAAATCTAGTTGATTTGTTGCTACAGTATTGTTTTTTCTATACATTACTATTTTGTGTCACCTGTGTTCTGAGTGGCTAATAACAAAGAGCCAACTTCCACAATATTATTCATGGGATCTCTAGGTAGTTCAAGGTTTGTAGATAATCAATTACAAAATTCTCTAATTGAAATTTCACTTCACCTAATCAATGAATAGTAGGCATGTTGTCTTAGTTATACTCTATCAGTTTGAAATCTCCTTCTTGTGAACACTGTATTAATCTCTATATTAGCTTCATCAAGTTTAGTGAAAGAATCTCAGTCAGTCAGTCAGTAACAACGTCGAACTTCGTACCTACGTACGTACATCAGTTCAAGTTGCCATACTACATTAGCACAGAGACGCAGTTGTCGATTCAAATCCCATAGTGGTAGATGCAGTAAGAATATAAGCAGTAATCGGAAACACTAGGGTTTGAAGATTTTATTCAAGAAGTATAATCCAGTAAAATTTGAATAGCAAAAAAAAGGACAAGAAAGATCCATTGAAATGAAGGTGTGGCATTCACTCAATGCATATTACAAATTATAACAATATTATTGAAATTAGTGTTTTGTAGTTAACTCTCATAAACAGAAATCCACACCAGTACTTCAAGGTGAGTAGTAGTAGTACTTGTGATACGCTAGTAGTAAGTAGTGGGTGAGGTAATAACTTACTTTAGGTTTGGAATTACAATCCAAAGATCCGGTTGGAACAGTGAGTGCTGTACATATCTGTGTAAATAATAATTTAGAAAAAAAATTCAAAAAACGGTGTTAGGAATATTCAATGTTCAATGTAAAATTATATTCGCCACTGAAAAAGTAAACAAACGAGTAGTTGCCTGTACAAGATTTATGCTAATGGTTTTTTTGTAATAACCATAAAAGAAGTTAGTTTGACTTGTAGATAGAGTGTTTAAGATTTCGAATTCAATAAACATTTGATACCATCTAACTGGAGCTCGTGAAACAAAAAAAAACAGCGAGGGACGAGAGAGGATTGAAAACGAGCACACATCCACTAGTCATCTTGCATTGCCTTGTTGTTTAATGTAAGCAGAAAACTGTTTTGATTAGCTCAGTCGATGATAAACAACATCGAATCTGGTACACATATATGCACCGGTTCAAGTAACCGTACTATGTAAACATAGTAAAATGAAATTATCCAAACATATGATCAAGTTGTAGATGTAGCAACAGTATCAGTGATACTCATGGAAAAGATGAGTATAGTGAATCATGATCTACATATTCAGATACCCAGGAAGCGGAAATAAATAGTTTGTAATTTAATTATAATCACTTCTACTCTCTCTTAAATATCAAACACTAAGCACAGTTTCATACATTATTAGTTTTTTTGAATTTATTGCTTCATTTCTCTAAAAGTGTTTTCCATATCAGCCAATATTGGTATTTCCTAATGATGGTTAATTAATTACTTCCCTTTTTCCAAAATAATGATGTGAAATGTTGTAACTTGGGTATATTCATTTAGATTTTTGCCATGTCTAATGTTGTTTACAATATATGTTTAGGGACATTGATTATATATAATATACACATATCAAAAGACAAACAGAAATAACTAATCCCCGATAATATACACTTTATTATGTTGCTATCATGTTAACACATTTGAAATGCCATCATTCAGTTGTTATTCAAAAACAAAAGTCCGTGACACAATGGCTGTTAAACAATTGAACTTACCTCTAAGTTTTTTTTATGCAAACCACCAATTGTTCTACATTGAATGGGGACTGGTACATTAGAATGTGCATTATCATCAACAAAATCATTGTTACTTTGAATAACACCACCATTATTATTGTTATTATTATTATTACTACTACTGAATTTACAGTCCGATTGTTTTCCAGTTGCCCACCCATAAATTGGGGAATTAGCACATGTTGTTGACAATGTAATCCATGATAGGGAATTATCTGTGCTGTGTTTTTATTACATCATTTCAAGAAATCGAAGAGAAACAAACATATAAGTACTTGGTAATTAACTGTTTAAAAATAATAAAACAATAGTATTTATGCTATGTTATCTAAGTAAACTACACAATTTTCCGAAAGTGTATTTTATTGATTAAATTAAAAATATATAGTCTATATTCGTCACAGATTGGTTTCAGTTGTGGTATCATGAAAAACTGAGGAGCATTGGACAACTGTTTTGTTTACGTATAAGTCTCGTCAGACGTGCACACAAACACAAGGCGTTAACTGATGAATCCAAGACCCCGTTGACATAGTAAATAAGATTTAGTTTGCGAATATCTTTTTGCTAACCATCGTTTTTTAGTGATTCCCACCTAATATTCATAGATATTATTATTAACTATAAAGTGTTGTTTAAGTCATTATTTTTACGTCCTTGATCTGTCCACCCACTAATATGCAGAGGATAACTTGTCTTAATCTAGATTAAAACCCTGACGCGATAAAGCTGATTTATTTAACCTTGAGGCTAGCATGCGTGGTTTCGAATTGCGACTAACTGCTTGGGGTAGAGAGAAGAAAACTATTCTATCACCTGATTGACTGACAAGCGTACAAGAAAGGGAAGGCGATTTAACTGGAACAGTACTCGATTTATTCCCAATTCCGACTCACAATCCGATATATATCCATTCCCTTGATGTCTGCTTCCAAATATCAAAATCAAATAGGTTTCAACCTGTAACTTCACAAACCTCACAGATTAAATTAAACACATAACAAAATGAAATTACCCATGAATTGACAACCCATTTCCAACATTGTGAATTAATTCATTTGAATTTTCAGAACGTTGACCAGAAGTAAATGATGAGAAGCTTTTTAAAAAAAAAAAAAGTAGTGCGAAAATGTATACTAGTTACACACCATAAACAAAACATCGCCTTCAAACTTTTAATGAAAGTATTACACTACTCAAAAAAATATAAGTAGCAAGAAAGAGGTGCCTAAAAATATAAAATATATATTCAAATAGATGTTAGGTTTTTAAAAATAAAAGTTTATTTCAGCATAAATACTTATAAATCTTTATTCATTTACTCTTTTTTTAACTGTATAGCCAAATGAAATTTTGAAAGTGAAATAATATCAACAGTTATTTGTGAGCAAATCGACTGCCAGTTGTGTACACGCTTACACACACACACACACACACACAACTAGTGATAACATTCAACTGATTAAAATTCTATTTAAGTACTCAACATTAGTAAGTTAATTGAATTGTAAAATACAAAGTATACGATTCCACAGCTAATCCACAAAGAATATAATCATAAAACTATGAATTATTACAGACTCAAACTTCAAAACAAGAAATTTTAACAAATTGTCATGTAAAGAGTTTCTAGTTGTTTCATTACGTTATTAGATCGAATACAACTGAGGTTAACTTTTAACAAAATTTGTCTGATAAAAGAATCCGTCAGGTATTAATATTATAGATGTGTTAGTGTAAAATTATCGAGTATCAAACACAAAAAGCACAAATACAAAATCTCTTGAGACTACAATAGTGCAAAATGGTTTATTGACTACCGACCCCATCATAGGTTCACCTTAAGAAAAATCTGTTTGTATTACTTGAGATTATCCCTATTCTAAAATAAAACTTATTGTTATTCCTTCCGTAATTTATGTTGTATTAACACGTCAATCGAAAATATTAACCAAAGGAATCAAGTGAATGCGTCTTCGTAAAGCTAGTGTATGCAAATCAATAAAAAATTGGGATTTCAACGCTTATTGACATAGATAGTTATTTTTTTATACCAAGAAATCCCCAATAATTTTTTCTAATTATCGTGTGCAAGATGAAAATAGCAGAAAATCATCCATTATCTCAACAAATCTTGTGAGAAAAATTTGTACAAACAAATTACTAAATATTTACCCAAGAAAAACCAAGATATAGTTACAAAAAACAAAAGTTCGAAATATGAGTTGGCCATGAAAAGATGATATACAGTTTAGTGTTTACCTATTCCAATCCATAACACTGTCTGCTTTTACACATTTATCTAACAATGTCGTAGAAACATTTTTAACTTGTCAGTTATCAAATTCCTGTAGATTACCAATAATGACAACAAGAAGCGATAACAGTTTTTCCAGCCAGATAGGCTGGTAACGCCTTTTCTGAGAAGCTTGTGTATTCACTTCTAGAATAGATTCCGTATTTTTACGGCTCACGAGTCCACCATGTGGATGTGATTTTGTGGGGAACCTCGTCCCCACAGGCCATCGCGTGTATCTCGGTGTCGTAAGGAGAGAAAGTACAGGATTTCTGAAGTGTTTACTTACCCTCGATAGGTATAGTCTACATGCATACTAGTTAACACACGGACTTTCATCCCAATATTCCTTGGTATATATACAGGTATACCTACCCTGTGAGAAAATATACGTTACATGCACACCAATAACACACAGGTTTTATCCTATGCATCCCATAGCACAGATATAAGTATATTCACCCACCAAGGGGGTAGATGTTCACCACTTCCTTAGAAACATATTTGCTACACCAGACGATTTCTTACACATTACGTGCATATAATTAGGCCCATGGCTACTGCCTCAGTAATTCCGGACACACATATAAGCATAACCATTCTCTCAACAGAGGTTGCTGACTGCCTTTCCCTAGTACTTTTTAACCGTATTTTTTTATTGTCTTCGATCTAATAGATCGAGTCGCTAATTTTATTAGACATAAGGAAGACACTGCCTTCGTACGACGCACACACGTACATACATGAAGTAAACATGCCCGAACACTTCTGCAATCCTTATACATAAGTAAACACATCAGGTGACCAGGTGAGATTAAGCGAACCTCGAGTCAATTCGAGTTGATCAAGGATACAACAAAGTGGGTGATCAGTTTGAAAACCGTCGTCCGCCCAAGTTCGCTAGCAAGGTTATTCCTACTATCCAGCAGTGCTGCGAGGAGGCCGTAGGTCGAATTTCGTTGAAACAAGTTTCTATACAACTGAGCTGTATTTTCAAAAACAAATTATTTCAACAATACACTGAAATTTACTCTATTATGAGGAGATATATATAGAAAAATCGATTGAGAAGACAGCATCACACAAATCGTAGGTTCAAACATCCTGATTCCTATCTAATCAATCAATGTCGAAAAAGATATTATTATTACTAATATGCATGCAAGTTGATAACATAATCCTTTGTATTTATCACAATTATGTTAAATATCATAACATAATAAACGATCAACTTTTTGATACACTTTAGTAAAAATTTCAGGATAAAAATTAATATCACTGGTCAAAATTACAGAAATGATAACAACAATTTATCTTGCTAAAAGGAGAAAATATGAAATTCATTGTCGATTAAGACAAGAAAACAATTACGTAGATGCCAACCACGACAACGAAGAGTGAACGCTAACAAAACAAGGAGAAAAGTTGTCACTATCAGTAAATATTAGCAAGAGCGATCTGAAAATACACCTATCGTAAAAAAAGCAACACCATTGTGGTTCGGTCAGTAGAACCAAAAGAAAAGACAATACAAAACGAAAGTAGTACACATATCAATAACAGTCTGAACACCTTGAAAATGGAACAGATCCATCACGTTTGTTTCGATCCTGTAGAAAAAAATCAGAAAACTACGTAGTCTGATAAAAAAGCATTTTCCAAAGTGGCCAAGCCCTTTTTCTATTAAAATAATAATGGCAAAAACTCTTGAAGCATCAATACACAACAAAAATGGCATTTAAAAAATAAATACACTTGGTTCAACAGTGTATATATTCAATGTGTAATGTGAGCACTGAATTAACCGCGTAACAAAAATGCACCTGTTAATTACATAAAAACGAAAAAACTCTCGAAAACAATTCATGTACCGAATTTACACTACTCACTCAATGATTAAGTAGTATAAAAATAAAACTATCAGTAACGAAGACTGTAGATTTGAGGATGCTCAAGAATAACATAATGCTTTAAAAACGAAAGCATAATTCGAAAGAGGTAATTCCCAATTAATTAGATTAATTATATTAATAATAATGATACCCTTACTTTATTATTTATGGTTAGATGAATAAGTTAGTTAGCAAAATCTCAGTCAATTATGTGCATGTATGAGGATATTTTTTTAGTGCAAAGATTATGGTAAAGATCAAACTAAAAATACGAAGTCAAAAACGAAAAAAAAACAAGAAAGTATTACAAAAATAAACGAACATAATAGTAATAATAAACCAGTTAAATACAAGTACAGAAGATTAAAAAAATTATGGTCTCAAAAAGTCAATCAATCAATAAATGCGATGTTACAGATCCCAAATAGGTGCTGTCTTCAATTGAAGACGTTTTTCTTGAAGTCTTTTGTAACTAAATAAAAATAGAATTTAAAAATATTAAAGAGAAAATGAAAGATGTAACAAATAGAAATAGAGAGAATGGCAAAATTATTGTGTTTTTTTCTTCAAGACAGAAAAAAAGGAACAAGAACACTTATAACAGAAAGGGTTTTGTGAACATTATAGTAATTTCAGTGTTTCCAGGTTTTCCATAGTGGTCTAGCTTCAACTGACACATGATCTCAACTAATGAAATTATTAAAATATCCACAAAACCGCTTCTGATATTAATCAAAATATGCTCACTGGTGACTGTCTCCAAGAGTAATTTACTGGAGTTCTAGTGATAAGCAGTGACTAAGGGAGTACAATTGGGTCTGTTGTGAGATGATAACTCACTGATAACAATAATGAATGTGTCGCCCGATTTCGTGGATTAGTTGAAGTTAGACATTAGCACCGTTGGATGCCGCCTCAGTAGTCTAGTGGTTAAGTGCTCGCGTTCGAGATTGATAGGTCCCGGGTTCGAATCCCGCGGAGGGTGGGATCGTGGGTGCGCACTGCTGAGAAGTCCCATAATGGGACGAAATGGCCGTCCAGGGCTTCCAGGTTTCCCATAGTGGTCTAGCTTCAACTGACTCATGATTTCAACCATTTTAAAAAAATATTTAAATCAAGAAACTTATATTCATTCTCTTCTTCGTATATGAAAAACTACTGTGCTTTTGAAGTGTTTAAAGTTTGGGTCAAGTGAAAACATACTACGTCAGTTTTATTGTAAAATGACCATGATGTTATCCATGTACTATTTATAAAAATATTTATGTCCAACTCAGTCGTCAGCTATTCTGGTTAGAGTCTTTTTTAGAAAGGTTATTTTCTACGAAATGGGGGTTTGCTGACTTCATGCCCAACGTACCCCTTTTTTACCCGGGCCTGGGACCGGCATTAGCCTAACGACAGCTACAGGTGGAAAAGAGTAAAACTAAAGAACACACTACAATGAAAAGTGAAAGCATACATCAAAAGAATGAATAAAAACTGGAAAGAATTGTCCGGAACAGAGTTCGATGGAGAATGTTGGTGGGCAGCCTATGTTACTCTACGAGGGATAACAGGCGTAATAACTAAGAGTCTTCAGTTAAACTTTAAACATATAACATGAACATATTGTTGGAAATTTGGTTCCAAACTCAGTTAGACATAATAAGTATCTTTATAATTGATATGTGGATGACATATAGTCATTTGTGACAAATCTAAAAAAGCAAACGGTCTTCTAAAAAACATTAACGTATTTTAAAAGTACATTAAACTTTCCTATGAAAAAGAGATGAATATATAATGAATTACAATCGTTTTCATTGCTACACATTTAGTTGAGACAGTTCATATCTAACTGATTATACTTTAAAACGGAAACTCCTTCAATTACCACAACGCCAAGTAAGAACACAAAAGACTGGTGCGATGAATATTTATTGACTTTCCAAGAACACATCCTCAAATAATTAAGAGTGAAACACGTTTACCCGAAGGGTTTTACAGGGTTCTTATAATACAGCTGATCTCACTTCGTGAGCAAAATACTAACCCTAACTCCTCACCTTATTCACTAACACTAATTCCGAAACATATCTTGAATTAGAGAGATAATTTGGATTTAGCAAGATTATTAGACAATCGCCTAATGTTGTTCCTATACTTTAGTTTTACTTCAACTTCCTTAAAATTTGTCTAAATACAGTTATTTTTACAAGTTATCACGACTTTAAAACTTCAAAGAATGGATAATCGATGAAATCTCCATCAGAGAATAAACAAAATATACTTCAAAACTACTTAAAATATATCAGAGAATGGAACGCAGAAAGTTGTAAAATACTTGAATTTGACACTTAACACAGTATTAGTTAAAATGGATACCCAAAGTAAAATTCATCAAACTTAAAGATAATAATAATAATGCGAATCCCACAAGCCAATTTCCTAACTAGTTATTTAATTTATACTCAATTCATATCTTTACATTCTACTTTTTTGAAATATATTCTCAATGTTTAGTGTTTCTTATTATTACCGAAACTATAATTATTTCAGCTCTTTTTCTATTGATCTTGTCAATTTTATCTCATCGTTTTAGTGTCAGTAATGACGACCTGACCCAACGTATATTTATGCCATGCGGTGTCGATTACCACGAACTGATAGAATGCTGGACGAATTGCTTTAAAACATATATTTACATATATCAAATAACTGACAGGAATACAATTCAATCATTCCTTTTCACCCCTTTTGATAGTATAATATCAATTATGGATAGGGGCTAGCAGTGGAATCCAGGACGCGCGTTTCGTCCTGTTTGGGACTCGTCAGCTGGATGTACCTGCTTATATTGCTTGTAAATTAAGGCAATATCGAGGCATACGCACAGTATGAACATATGCCAATAAGAGACTGATCAATTTCAGTCCTAAAACATCAATGGGAAGATCCAAGTAAAACAATACCAAGTGAATATAACATCAATTGTTTTCTAACTATTCGAAAAAAAAGGAAGAATTACGATGGGCATCACAATAACAATTGAGATCGACATTCAATTAACGCAAAAGAAAAAAACAAAAATAGAAATTGTGATGTTGTGGAAATTGTTGAGTCTTAATTGAGATCATGAACCAGTCAGTGTTAGACCACCATTGGAAACCTGGAAGCACTGAACGGTCATTTCGTTCCAGTATGGAAGTCCTCAGCTGTGTGCAACCACGATCCCATGTGTGAGACTCGAGCCCAGAACCTTCGGTCTCGCGCATGAACGCTTAATCTCCATATCACTGAGCTGGCATCCAAGGGTGTTACTGTCTAACTTCAATCAATCCACGATATTGTGCGACCATCTTTCATTGTCTTCAATGAGTAACTGTCTCACACCCGACACGGATAAACTCCACTGGTCACGGCTTCTCACTAGAACTCTAAGAATTACCTCTAAAAACTAGTCACTAGTGAGCACATGATAATTATTAGTATAGGGTTTTCAATAGTGGTTTAACATTGGTCGGTTCATGATCTCAATTAAAAATAGAAAGACTGTTTCTAGACCGTTGATTATTCACATTCATTTGATAAATGAAGATAAATTTGTTGAAGAACAAGAATATCAATCAAACAAATATCTGTAAAGTTCAATGCTTTCTATAATTTTGTCCAAGATTAAACACTACATCGGTAGGATGTTATAAATTCAAAATAACAATATCATTTAAATAGAATATTTTGGTAAATGATTTATGAAAGTTGAAATACAAAGGAAATTTATCATCTTTTAAATTAAGAACTTACAACTTTTGTAGACTTTGTAATGGACCACTAACTGGACTATTTGAATCAAATTTATATTGCTGTATTGTCGGTGTTTTAGTCATGAATAGTTCACGATGTCCTTTTTGACTGACACGTAAAGTTTCTGTAAAACGTACAGCATCTTGTAATTCTAATAAACGTTCTTTATAATGATTACGTTCAGCTAGAATACGTGCCATTTCGGATCGTGTAAAACGTTTAACTTGAGCGGAATTAGTTGATTCCTATAATAAATTATAACCAAAAAGTTAGTTTTATTTTTCCATTCGATTACAGAAAGTACAACAATTCACATGAACAATAAATCTGTGTTATTTCCGGTTTTCTTTTAAACTCATCTCGATTAATGTTGCTATGTTCAAGGGATTAAGATATCACCTAGGACCAGTGAACTGAACGGAAGTCAGCAACGCAACAACACAACAAGCTAAGCTATTGCTCTGAGCCTCAGCTCTGCTAACTAGAGGGAGAAGACCAGATTTAGACGGGGAAAAAAATATATATATATTCCACAAGCAACCCGGAAGAGCAAATGAACAAGCATAGAACTCATGCGTATTTATACAACACAAAAACGTCACAAAATAGCACACTAAAAAAGAAAACGAACCAATGATATTTAAGGTCTTTCCAGGTGATGAAAATGGGAACTTTGGAGCAGAAATGTGAGATACTAATAAATATAATTAACCTACAAAAATGAGTCTACCAAGTGCTTTCTACGGACATAGCATCTCCAAACAAATTTACCTACACTTGGCATTGCAAACCAAATACACATTACTTAGCCAATAATATAAGGAGGAATTCAATTTCTTTTAAGCAAACAAATACATCTTAACAGGTAAATCTTTCTCATTTAACTGTTCTCTAGTCCAAGCCTATTCCTAAAAATGACCATTATATATTGTAAATCTATTGGAACGATATTACATGAATAATTCCAAATGAGTTGACAACTGTTTCAAGGTAATTTTATGATGAACATGAAATCAGGTCAAAAATTAGATTTATTAGCCCAAAACGTTAAATGTTTTTCGACGCAGTAAAAAAACAGAAGAATGATCCCGGTGATTATTTTTGACAAGGGTGAAAACAGAGAAATAAAAAAAACATTCATTTATTTGATGATTAGAAAGGATTTAAATTATTCTATTTTTGATAATCTTGACTAAATTTTGATCCATATTTGATAGCACATATACATTATGAGGTGATTGTCTCGATATAACCAATTAGCCACAAGTTTTACACTAAATAGATTAATTTATGGCTAGCAGTGACATCTATGAAACGCGTTTCATTCTATTCAGGACTCCATATAAGGATGTACCTGTATCCTAGTGTTGATCTGCATAATGGGACACAGACATATCTCACTGAAGAGTATTAAATAGAGAGAAATGTGCGTCTTCAATTACACTGGTAGCCACAAATCTATCTGTTCCATAAAAACAATGATTAGCAGAAAAAAAGCTCAACATCAGTATTTTATTTTTAATCTTCTTAACTCGTGGTAGGTAGATAGAACTTTAAAACTAACGTTCGAATTACATATATGAGATACTAACAACCAGTTATTCGAACTGCAGTCGATGAAATACAGGATTCAAACATCCACTTCCCTAATCCAATAGAGTGATTAAAAGTAGTTTGAAATACGCTTACTTTGTTTGATCTTTAATGTAGTGGCATTCACCTTTCAGCCACTAAATTCTAATTTAAAACCTTACCTCAACTACTTTGGTTTAGGCGACCAGATATTAAGTATCACTAGCTTTCATTCAGGCCCCCAAATGCTCTCATATGATCACGCGTATACAGCCACTGCTAGGGAACTCCTACTCACTTCCTTCTTGTGGCGAGTGTGTTGTTTACAAAATTGAGAGGACGAAAAGCGAATGTCCAGCGCTTTAATCAGGCCGGGAGACACGGAGAGTTCACCTAGGGAAGTTGGAAAACCCTCATTCCAAACCGATAATGTACATGGGCTCCAGGACCCTAAAGGAACAAATAATATATGAACCAATTGTTGGTCACCGGATACCATGGGATCGCATCTCCTGACGTTACTCTACTGCCTTGTGGATCAGATATTTAGGTCTAAGACTCCGGGTGTGACTCCCTAAGAAAACCACCTGCTTCGGTTTGGGCATCCGAACAGTATCATAGCCCACACACAAATCAAGTGACTTGTATTCAGTGCTCCTTTGTAATAATATTTATGTGTTCAAATAAATAAATAATAAATAAGCTTTCATAGGTGAGACTATAATTTATGGACGAATCAATCAGGTATAAACCAAACACGTTTCGGATTCCTTCATCCACTTAATTAAATAGAGTCTTGACATTATGGCTGATATCAGTTCATGATGAAAACCCTAAATCTAATTTCAAATCTTAACTATCAACTGTAAATCATCATTCAAATTCCTTACACTAATTTATAATTCTCATTTGATCTTAGTTATTAGATGGACACTCTAAAGTTCAATCTAACATCATTCAAAAGTTGTCCATAAATTATAGTAGCCTACGATAAATTATCCTGATCCAGAAGTTAAAAATAAAGTAATATGAGCTTAACATTATCAACCGATATTACATACTAAATAAAATAAAAGAACTTACTACATTTGTTTTATCTTCATATAATGATAATTTTTCAGTTAATTGACTTAATTCTGAACGTGCATCATTTAATAATTGATCAGTATTAGTTAATTCATTTTGTAAACGAATACGTGAATCAGTTAACATATCTACTGATTCACGTAATGATATATTCTCACTAATAATAATAATTCAATATTGAATAAATAATTATTACTATAGTGATTAATTCATTATTATTATTATTATTATTATTATTATTATTATTATTATTATTATTATTATTATTATTATTATTATTATTATTGTAAATCAATATTGAACGATAAAATACAGAAATAATTAAATTAATCAAATAATAATTATAAAATAGAATTTAATTATATAGATTTCATTATCACAAATATTAATTGATATTAATTTTGAAAATAGAGAATAAGTGATGTGAGGAATTGAGATCAGTATAGGATTATGGAGATTATTACGTTTTTTGTATTAAGATCAAGAACCGATTGATGTTAGATCACCATTAGAAACCTTGAAGCACTGAACGGCCGTTTCGTCCTATTGTGGGACTTCTCAGCAGTGCTCATCGACAACCTTGCTCGTACGACTCGAATCCACGGCCCTCAATCTCGCGCGCGGACGCTTAACTGAGCCGGCATCCAATAGTGTTAATGTCTAACCTAGTGATGTAGTGAATCAATAATTAACTATGTATTGTTTTGAAAAGCATTGATAGTGTTTGATGTAAAAGTTAAACAAATAATCCTAAAGTTAAGCGTAAGGTAGTTTTATGTTAGATGATGAGTCTAGTGAATATTTACTAACTACTGAATTGAGTGTATTAAGTGTATACCCAACCACTGTCTACATCGATACACAGCGGGATCATTGATATAGGAGTAGGTTGAAAGAGATGTACGAACTCCCAAAGTAGGAATCGATATCGGCCCATGAAAACATTGGCTTTTAAATAATTCAGATTGGTTTTATTCAGGTAACTACTGAAAATTAAGTGATTGATTTGATGAATGTGATCATTAAAGCGTCTGGTATTTTCCTGAGGGGACAAATGATGTATGAACCTATTGTTAGTCATTGGGTACCATGGGACTGCATCTCCTAACGTCGCTTCACTGCCTTGTACATTAAACCTTTAGTCAAAGGCTCAGAGAATATCTCCCTAAGAAAACCACTTGTTTCGGTTTGGGCGCCCGGGGCAGTATTTTAACCCTCGCACAAATTGAATGATGAAGTCAGGCGCGTTTATATTTGGTGCCTCCTCGTACTAATGTTTGTGTTTAAATAAATAAATACAGTAAGTTCGTGATTTACTTGACAAAACAGAACAATCTCAGAAAACGCGTTACACTACTAATCCACTGCAAGTCATTCATTCTTAAAATAATGTGCATCATTGTGATGGCTTGAGACAATCAGACATATCACATCGAGAACGAATGATAAGTGAAATATGTTGACGGTTGCACACTCAACTGGTCAACATTCAATTTAGTTTTCCAAGGGAGATAAACATACGATATTGTTTGATAAGCTCGTTTACATTTACCGAGGACGCATGTTCATATTAAGTCATGAGATTATGCGCACATTTCGATTTGGTTAACCAATAGAGCTTCATGTTCCCCTTTCGTTTTCCTATTCAATTAGTTGATTAGGCTACAGTATAGGAAGTGTGTATAACAGTAATAGAAATGGGACAACCGCCAAACACAATTTTCTGACAATAGGTCAACTCAACACATTTTTATGTGGAGTAGTGTGAGCGTAGAATAAACAGAATTCATTTAGTTTGAACAGACTAAAGAGGCGGGTATATAAATAGATATTATTAGAGTGCCTTTTACATATAAAAAGAAGTTAGCATCGGTCATCGATTCCAAATGTCATTGTAGTTGTAAGCTAATAAAGTTTCATACAGTAGAGAAAAGAATATGTCCAGTTACTCAGTTAACAAAATCCAACATCAGCAACAACAAAGATAGTAGAACAATAGTCACAAATACTTTGTAGATTAAAAATAAGACCGAAAAAATCTGTTAAACTTACGATGTTAAATGGTCAATTCTGGCTAGTAGGTCGTCTTTCACAACATTGAGAGCATTTCTTTACACACACACACACAAACGCAAGCATCATAGAAAGTTTAATATGATGAAAACAAAAGAAGAAATGACAAAGAATATGAAATGTTATCTCTGAAAAAGTTATTTACAAGTTTATAATTCTCATTGTAGTTAATTAATAATCTTGAGGACATGATCTCTATTTCAAGGTAAGTTAGAAAAGACTACAAAATTAATCGATCAATAGATTCGTCCACATGTGATGGATTTGTGTACTCTCATACAAACCAAATTTAGTGGAGAAAAAACACCGTTGTAAGTTGGAGTGCACTGGTCATCAAACCAATAATTTAACTTTCAGTCAATGATTACAAAACACTTAAGGATGTTTGAAATTTAAAAGATAGATTCCCGAAACGTATTTGTCATTATAACCGATTTGGACATATTCAGCATAGCGTTAACCAGAGACCTGGTACTTGATTGCATGATTCATATTTTCCACGGAATGACCTGATGTTCCAGTCTAACCAACATAAGACTTTTCAATTCCCATTTTTATTTAGACTACATAGGTTTATGTCAATGTAAAGAACCATCTAGCTATCATAGGTGATAGAACCTTGTAAATTTACTATATAATTTGTCAATTTACCTGGTACTTTAAATTTTAAATATGTACTCTTTAAGAGATGGTTTCACTACAGGTAAGTGTTATATTAAGATGGAATATATATACAACCCAAAACCTGTAGAGTATTGATACCTACATTCCGCTTATAAGACGGCATCCTATACCAGATGATAATACGTAGTCCGTCCAATGAATACGCGGATTCAAGTCATAAAATTTTTAATTTACAAAATTTATAGTAAACTAATCTTATCGTCTTCAAAGTATTCCCTTTTGTGGCAGTAAGCTCATCCTTTCTTCGTTTTCCCTGTTTGAAATATAAATGAAAGTCCTCAAAAGCTGGACTTTACAACTACTTCGTTATTTCTTAAACACGGACGTTTACCAAAAATAGTTTAACACAGACAATTTCCTTTAAATCGGCGACAAATGATGTCGAATGTTGATCTAAACTCATATCGTCCTTCCAGTTTTCATCACGATTTTCATTAAAAGACTTGGTATAATTTATAAAGAGCTGTTTTTTCAAATGTGTTGTCGCTATTAACAGTCCTTAATATTTCATGAAGTCACTTGGAGATTTTTCGAATTTTCATTAAAGCATCGATGTGAGGTGTTCACGTATTGATAGGATAGACCACTTACTAATTATCCATCTACATCATATCAAACAATAGTGTATTTGAGTCTTAAATAGAAATGGACAATAACCAAATACCATACTTCTTTGGGACGAGCATTAACAAGCGCCCATTCACCACCTACTTTGATGGGAGATGTTAAATGATGGAGCGGTAAGTAGGCATAAAGTTAGGGGCAGCTAAACTAAAATGTGAAATGAAAACTACTCGACTTGGTTTTCACATGTTTATTCATGGATTTATGAATACTTTCGTAATATACACCTCAATATTCACTCTCTCATTGAACAACTTTGCGTTATACATTATTAAGGTGGTAAACAAAAGTATGAGAACTATCTGGGACCCTTCCATACACATAATGAGTTATAAGAACCAAATGAAATGAGTTACAACGAGTTATATCTTCACATTCTGATATTTAATGCCTTAGTTAGACAAACATAGGAAGTCAGGGAATACTGAAAAGCAGTCAATAATTCCAACAATATGCCATATGGACAATTATTATGTTCTTACCAGTGACTAACTTCGAGGTATAATTCTTGAAGTCATAGTCAGCAGCATTCATCAATCTAAGTACAACCATGTCAGACGTGAGATAAATATAAATAATGACAATTGATGATGGACTGCATAATATTAGAAACGAAATTTAAGTATATCAACCGGGTGATCCAAAGATTAAACTGTCATCTCGAGCACTGAAAAACTTGGGTTTGATCCCAGTAGGAAGATTCATGAATGTACACAACTGATAAGTCGAACGCTATCTAGTGCCTCCCGTGTTTATATGATAGTCAGAATTAAATCAGTTGGCGAAATAAAATTATAAACAATACAATTGTTGAACAAATACTAATCACAAGTACTAAAAATTAGAGTGTATAATTGTCATGACAATTATCAGAAATAATATTTCATTCATTAATTCGACAAAAATAACTTAAACAATAGTGTGGTGTATGCTACTTATGTCTGTCGACATAAGTAGTAGGTAACACCAATGGAAAACCTTGCAGCAGAAGGCTAAAAAGATAGAACTGAAAGGAACAGAAAGAAATTGCGAATAAGAAGAATCATACAGAATGTGAAAGGGAAATGATGGAAATTTGTAAATAAAGTATTCAGTGTATGATTCTTATATTTTACCAAGGTACCCTGTAATTTTGTACTAAATACATTGGTTGTCCTAACTTGTATTTTCGTTTACTGATATGATGAGTCCTTGTCGTGTTTTGGGGATCAATAAATCTTCACTTATACCAGTCTTTGTGTTTTTACTTTCGCGTCGTGGGAATCGCAGTGGTCCCTCGTTTCGAACATAGGTGATAAAAGTTTCCGACATAACAATCAGCGACGAACAGATATAACAAATAGCATTCAATTGACAAGTTATAACATTTACAATAATAATAGACGAATTAACTTACTTCATTTCAACAAGTTCCATATTCTCTTTGATCAACACATCAATCTCTTTACGCATACCAGCTAAATGAATGAACAAGAAAGCGTAAAATTGAAAACATTTCATTTCAACATGCAAAAATCAAATATTAAATTAAAACTAATTCTATGATTGATTACTAATTGACTGGATCAACAATAAAAACAAATCAATTATATCATAAATTAAAATCTAATGACTATTTAGCAGTGAATAAGCATTTCTTTTCAACAACATCATCTTTCCTGTAGTTATACAAATGTATTTAGCATTCATGGTAATAGTAGGTCTTATCTACCGTAGATTGATTTTAGTTAATGTGTCATTAAAAAAAGGTAGCACCGGACCACTATCTCAGCAAAGTGGAGAGTGGTAGTAGTTCTTTGTCTATTGATAATTTTAAACGCGCACATAATATCGACGGTATGCCCGGTGTCAAGTAGATGCCGAGCTATTGCACTGTTAAAAGCTTTAGTCCCTCGCAGCGTCAAGTTCTTCGGAATATGCTCAGAAATGCGAACCTGTACTCTTCTCTCAGTTCTTCCAATGTATGTGCTACGGCATGTACCACTCTCAACTTTGCTGAAACCATTGCAATTAAGAAACTGAAACCGGACTTATGCATCCAAAAAGAGACTTTAATAAACTTATCACTACCCTGGTAATCTTTTTGTTTCTGTTTGTTTTGTGTTTTGGTTATTTTATTCATTTACTTATTCTAAGATAATTTATACTCCCCCCCCCTATTACCTAATTCTTAAAATAAATTTTATTCACACATTTCCATCACCTGATCCTCTTAAATCGTCTTAACTTTCCAAATCCTATTTAATTATTATTACGTAATCTACCTTATCATTATTTAATTCCATTAATCTCTACAATCAGCACACAATTTATGAACTTCACTAAATTATTACACCACCCACCCTGGATTAACCCCCCTCTTTTGACCTCTGACCTGTTTCTGGCATATATATATATATATAGTTATTATTGTAACCCAGTTATTTACACTCATTTATGTCAATTGTTTTCACTCTATCTCCATGTAAAAAAAATTCTATCACAATTTTGGTTTGTAAGCAGCTGACGAGAAACCTCGAAATAATATGAATTCATACTATTCTGCATCAATGTTTGTTCTTGCTCTATTTAAATTCATAAAGAGAACCAATTGCATGAAATAATAAAAACAGTTGACTATTATTAATATTATTATTATCAACAATGGAAGACAAAGGAAAAACAAAAAAGACATACGATATGAACTAAGAAGAGAAAACAAGAGGGTTAAGGCAACTATTCATTAATTCAATATGTACATAAAATTAAACTACGATAGTGATAACCCATGAAATACATAATTCACTACTATTATGATGTGTATTACTAATGTCGACAGATATAGGTAGTATGCATCATCAATCGAAAGTGAAGGTTAAGATAATTGAAAAGACGAGAAAGAGAGCATATAGTGATTGGTGTGGAAACGAAGAAACAGTCAATTCTGAGAAAATGGATTCCATCAGAGCTGAGAAGGACCTGACGTAAAGGACATTCAGTTAATATCCAATGATCAATCAATTGTAAAGCCAATTTATGTATTAACTATTTATTTTGATAACGTGATGCGTGATAAACTTTGTCGCAATAAACATCTACACTAATGATAGTGATGATAATTTTTAATAATCTGAAAGAATTCTGTAATATAGATTACACACTGATCTGTCAAATCTTCAAGATTAATACACTTTAATGAATTACTGAACACGATTAATTATCCCAACTGGTCTTATATAATATATTTCAAGATTTTATTGATAGTTGACACCAATAAAATAGATGAATTAGACAAGTATAATATATGCAAATATAAATATGAAACACATTTCGGTTATTGTTTAAAAAAAAACAGAACAAAAAGAAGTGTTGTAGTGCATATTTATTTGTATGTGTGTGTATGTGGGGGGAGGGGGTTTGTTGGGATATACAATAAGTACATAGAAAGTGTAACATAATAAGTACACAAACAGTGAACTAGATCACACATGTACATAGTGTAACTATTTTTTCTCTTGTCCATAAGACAGCATGTGAATGAAGTATTTCACACATTGATACACATTTAAACACTAAACTAAGATAAAAGAAGAGAAGTGCTAAACACTTTTTTTGTGCAGAAAGTGAATGAATGTGAGACAATACAAAAAACAGATAGAATACAACCATTATCCATTTACTAGAATTAATTTTACAACAGTAGAAATATCACCTACCAAATTCAATCATTTCAAATTCTGGATTAATTGTATTAGGATAATTGTCTAAATATGAAGTCATTAATTTAACAAGGGGGACGAATGAGATAGATGTGTACAAAAGAAAGTAAAAACATATATATATATATATGAAAGGTAATTAACTTTATACAATGTGTATGTGCAAGAGAAGGGTTATTCAATATCTACTCATCATCTCTTTTTTCTCTTCCCAAATTTATTTCACTGGATTATACTCTTTAAATAACATCTTCAAACCCTAATCTTCCCGATTACTGCTTATACTCTTACTACCTCTACCACTACGGTATTTGAATCGACAACTGCATCTCTGTGCTAATGTGGTATGGCAACTCGAACTGATGTACGTACGTATGAAGTTCTACGTTGTTAATGACTGACTGACTGACAATAGAAATCAATTAAGAATAGTTTACAATGTATGTTGACATGATTTGAAAGTAGTATGGGCAATCGAAAAAATAGTGGAATATTTTCTTTCTATTTATATTCTAAGATATTAACAAGTACAATGGTTCATCAGTATTATATTATTCATAGTTCTTGGGGTCTTTAGATTATATATTACTGACACAGTTTATCGCAAGTTCAAACAATACAGTTTCATAAGTACTGTTTTTCATCTTAAACATTATGAATGTGATGTCAGATGAAAATTCATTACTCACCAAAGTAGATAGAATGAAATTCGAACATAAGACACAGCAACTAACCACTAAATCTCTGAGGAACCGATCTCTCTATTGTTACATTCATTCTATCTTACTATCAACCATTACAACAGTTCCTAAAACTGGTACAGTTTAATTAGTCTCGCATTTGCAAAATATCAACAAATGAAACGGGCGTCCTGGATTCCACTGCTAGCTATATTTCATCTATTCTATATTAACATTTTTTACCGGTTATCTTTCACACCCATGTAATAGAACAGTAAAACATTACCTTATCATATATTCATTCATTAGAGAGACAAGATATTTTGAAAACAATATTACTTAGTGTAAGTCAGTTAAATCTACAAAGTATAAAATCTCTCTTATGACGAAAACAAAACGATACTACGATCAGTTTATTGAATACAACTAATAGATTGACAGGTTAATCAATAAAAGATATCACAATGTTATATGATGTATACACTTTTAATTCTCAAATAACATCAACAAAATACCGAAAAAAGTTAACAACATCTTCACATAAACAAGAAATAATCAATTAAATAGACATAGAAGAACACTAACAATAACGTACTTAAACGATATTTTAATATCTAGAAATTGAAATAGAATGTTAGCGACTTGTATTTAGCCTAACTTTTTGATGACATTATTTGTATATCTGATTACAGAATATCTATTTCGAGTTGATTGTCAATATTACCATTCTTTAGTAAATAGTTCAACTGTGTCCAATTTACTTATATTGAAGATTTAATAGTGTTCTGGAATCTGAAGAATTGCTTAATCAAAACCAACTGTTAGAGTTTAACTGACAATGTTTTACATAGTTTACATCACAGACTGAGTTAAGTTAGATAAACACTGAAAGCCAAGAAGCAATGGATAGAGGTTTTGTTCTAGTATGAGACTTCTCGGCAGAGTGAATGCATGACTATAAAGGTTAATTGAACCGAATACTTCTGAGTATAGCGAGTACTTAACAACCTTATTGATAAGTTGGTATTCAACAGTTCACATCAACAATTTTAATCAATACGGAATAATGTCCAACCAACTTCTAATGCAAATGATTAGGTACCTCATACGCGAAATAGTTGGGCTCCACCGATCACAGTTACTCACCACAACTTGAACAATAGCCTCTTGAAATTATTCACTTGTAAGTATATGATTATTATCAGTGTAACACAAATGACATACACACATTGGCTACTCCTAAGAGATGATACATAATACATAGTGTAGATATAATACAACTAATTGATTGCAATTTTATTCAACACTACATTACTCATTATATATATAATACAAAAAACAATGTATAATTATAAAGGCGTGGCAGCTAATATAATTTGGATTAAACTTGTGATTGTCACATCACAAGCTGAATACATATTGATATAAGTAAGAATGAGAAAAAGTAACATGACGAAAGCTTAAGGACGAAAAAGGAAAGTACGCAAATATGTAGTGAAATAAATGCGTGTTGTTACTGTTACGCCTTTCACTTGATTAAGGTAAATACGGTATACAACGCGTAGAACCCCACAGTCGCAAATCAAAAGACGGGAAAAACAGGGGAAGCAATCATTAAGTAAGAATAAAAAATGTACAGAAAAAGAAGGATATTTATAGTTTTCAGTATAGGTTATAACGTGATTATCATACACCTCATCCGTAATGAGGAAGTTATGCAATTGTCCAACAACTGAATGTCACGTTGATATTCTAAAAGGTTCTACCGTACTCCGATGGAATGGAAATTCTTCGTCTCCCATAGAGCCTCCATAGGCTCCGTCGTGCTTTATTGGGAACTGTTTCCAAGAGATATTAAGTTATCCATTGTATAGTAGAGTAGTATTAGAAAGTGTAATTTAAACATAACATATTGACTAGTAGTGTATTTTGGTTGAAATTGAGCAACAAAAAATAAGGTTTATGAAGAGTGAAGAGTCCCTACTCAAGTACTATGGGTTAATTCATATCTTATAGAGAATTGTCATCAGAATAGTAAACTTCAAGTGTTATTCGTTATGGTTACTCCCTAACTCACTTTCTATTTAGTTGCGTCGCAGATGTTCTTCTAGACATCACACTTCATCTAACTCTTCAAAGACTGACTTCCCACTAAGAGATTAGTCAAACAAATTGGAATGGGTAGATAATATGATCTAATTTGATGATGATAAAGGGGTCCAGGGTTTCCTAAGCATTTAGGACGCATTCCCCTACCTTTAAATGCAAATTTTCTCTGTAGGTCTAATCTGAATAATCTTCTAGACTGGTCGCAGTGAATGGAACAATTGAGTGACTTGACTAATGGTGGAATGTACTAGGCAATTGTTCGTTTTGCATTACTCTACGACTGTGAAGGATGGTTTATTTAACCGGCTTACGATAGTATGAGTCTTCGAAATAATGTTCGAGTATCGCAAAACGACCGAGTTAGTTATATTAATGCCCATACATAGAGTACTAGGAAAATATAGCAAATCAATTGATGCGGTAATAAATATTCCACAAATGAAGTGGTTGACAAATGTGTTGCAGTATTACCAACTACAATCTACCTAGACGTGCAGTCTTTGTCGGTGTAAGAGTAAGAATTTTAATGCTGGTCAAATCAAAATTTGGCACCAGGCTGTGAACTCATTGACAGCGAATCTGAGCCATCATAGTTAAAGCGAAATAAACAAGTATGCATTAGTGAAGTCTCGTTAAATATTTTTCAACCGAAAATTGCATGGAGGAAGTACAATCTATTCCTTAAAAAATATCATATTGAGCTTCTGCATAATAACTATATATATATATATATATATATGCTTAATTTGTATAATGATTAACACGTAAATAAAACGAATTATTTAAGTCTTTATACAAATACATATGAAATTAAAGTATTTCTTATGATCAGAATGAAATGTGATCAATTGTTAGTAGAATGAAATTCATTGATTTCACAATTATCAACACACATTGCATAATTATTCCAAATAAAAAAATACCAAAGTTACGTGTAACATACAATTGAAAACCTGGATCTCACTCGCGGAATCGTGTATGCACACTGCTGATGAGTCCCATAATAGGACGAAACAACCGTCCGGTGCTTCCAGGTTTTTAATGGTGGTCTAACATCAATCGGTTCAAGACCTCAATCAATAACTTAATAATCTCCACAACCCTATACTGACATTTTCCAAGTGTTGAAAGCTATTTATAGAAGTGCAATATTGCCCAACATGTTTCTGAGATAAAACAAGTACTTCAGTGACAACCGGTAAAGATTGAAAGGATTATACAAAATCATAATGACTGCAGACCTCGTGTTTTAATGAAAACATCAAAAGTGTACAGTATATTGTCTATTATAATCACCGATCCATTATTTGAATGGTTTATAAATTTAGAAAACATCCGTGGACAACATCAAAGCAATGCAATTTATATTTATATTTATATTTATATAGTCTCTTATTCACAGTGAAATGTCAACGTATTGTATTTTTAACCGAGATCATATTAATAGCTTTATATAGTTGTTATATCCTAGCGAATGATGGGTAACTTCTGAGGACTATTTATGAACTAATATTATATATATATTCCTATTGTATAACTATTCAGTATATTCATATTTCTCTTATTATAAGCTTTATTTTGACTAGTATCAGAAGTGGTTTTGTTGAGGTTGTAGTAATTTCAATAGTTCAGATCATGAGTCAATTGAAGCTAGACCACCATGGAAAACCTCGAAGCACTGGACGGCCGTTTCGCCCTATTATGGGACTCCTAAGCAGTGTGCACCCACGACACCGGATTCGAACCCAGGACCTATCAGTCTCATGTGCGAGCGCTTAACCACTAAACCTATAGATTATTATGATACGATTTACCATTCTTAAGTTATGCCCAGTTTATTAATTACAGTATCCCACAGTCACAACCACTTTTTGGCTTGAAGTTTTACAAATGTTGTTTCCTATTTTATTGTATGATGTAGTCTCTTTGGCTTGTATATAAACCAGGTATGTTTGAAATAAATTATTCGTATAGTGGGAGGTGGTTTTGGCGTTCTGTTCTCAACTAGCAGAGCTACGAGGAAAATAACCAATAAGGACGCTAGGCTGTTCATACCGGTCGATAAGCCATTAGTTTGGCACAATGCTAACATTGTATAAGTCGTATTCCGATTGGCGAATAAGTCACATGATAATTAGCCGGGCTAAAAGATATAACAGTAGAAAACTGCCAAAGAATTTGTAAGACGAATTAACTAAGAATTGCAAATGATAAATAATGCAAACAGTGAATCAGTTATACGATATATAAATGATATGTATTATTCTTACCAGGTAGATCATCGTCGACATTTAGACCACCACCTTCCGACTCCAGAGTATTTGGGAGTTCATCAAACTCAAATCCACCACTAAAAGGAGTAAGAAAACTATTTAACTTATAGATTTAATCCAATTAGATAGAAAGTTTACACTAACCTAAGCCTTTTGTAAAAATAAAAGAACCTATTTGAAGAAAATGATCAAAAATAATTAATCTAATTAGATTCTCCCCCTAAAAATGCAAAATGTTGATTCAGGATTTGGTTGCATCGACACCTGAACTAATGATAGGGAGCGAAGTAGTTGAGCGTGTCGACCGTCTCACTTATCTGGGAAGTCTCATCAGCCCCTGTGGTCTGGTGTGTGACGAAATCTCAGCACGGATACAGAACGCCCGATTAGCTTTTCCCAACTTGCGTCATTTATGGCGTATGTGAGATATCCGTCTACCAACTAAAGGACGGGTCTACTGCACAACAGTCCGTTCCGTCCTACTTTATGGCAGTGAAACATGGCTGGTAAGAGTAGAGTATATTCATAGGTTACTAGTATTTGATCATAGGTGTCTTCGAAATATTGTTCGTATATCCTCTGTCCACCGGATAGGTAACGCAGTTGTTAAGAAACGGGTACTAGGTAAGGATAACAAATCAATTGATGAAGTAGTGAAATTTCATCAGTTGAGATGGCTGAGACACGTGTTACGTGTGCCCAACCACCGACTGCTCCAACGTGCGATGTTGTATGGTGTAGGAGTAGGTTGGAAAGCGAGGGAAGGCCAGACCAAAACATGGCACAAATCCATTAAGTCATTGACAAGTGGACTGAGCTACGTTCGTAGGTGTAGACTACCTGGTTGGGGACAGCGAGATGATGGTGACCGATGTTTAGAGACCCTGAATGACAGGGTTCAAAATCGTTTGCAATGGCGCAGGTGCATCCACACTTTGTGTCCTCCCAAATTCTAATCTTCTGAATTCTTCATGTCTCTTTCTTTTTCCTCTTTCCAAATTTGCTTCACTGGATTATACTTCTTGAATAAAATCTTCAAACCCTAGTGTTTCCGATTACTGCTTATACTCTTACTGCATCTACCACTATGGGATTTGAATCGACAACGGCGTCTCTGTACTAATGTGGTATGGCAACTTGAACTGATGTACGTACGTAGGTACGACGTTCGACGTTGTTACTGACTGACTGAGATTCTATCACTAAAATTGATGAAGCTATTATAAAGATTAATTCAGTGTTCACAAGAAGGAGATTTCAAACTTATGGAGTATAACTACAACAACATGCCTACTATTCATTGATTAGGTGAAGTGAAATTTCAATTAGAGAATTTTGTAATTGATTATCTACAAACCTTGAACTACCTCGAAAAGCAACAACATACAGCTGTGAACAACAGATTGTGATGTTAGACTGTAAATAGATTCTAGGTGCTTCGGCATTTAAGTGGCGATCAAGAGATGAAATTGAACTAAAGCAATAATTTTAAGAGATTCCATGAATAATATTGTGGAAGTTGGCTCCTTGATATTAGCCACTCAGAACACAGGTGACACAAAATAGTAATGTATAGAAAAAACAATACTGTAGCAACAAATCAACTAGATTTGTGTTAGCGAATTCAAGATCACAGATAATGAAAATTACAACGCTAACTACAGACCATCTTACGGCCAATATGAACGACCATGCAATAATTCATTGTTCATAAAGGCGTAAGAGTGAATGGCTGTAAAATATTACACAAGTACACGAGATAAAATGATGTTCCTGTGTAACGTAAGGCTTCATAAAACAATAAAGGGCAGATTCCTCCTTCAGTGATTCGACGCTTAAACTTGAACCGATAGTGCAATTAGTACTTCAATGGACTATAGATACAGATATAATTACGGCTGCAGCTGTAACTGAGGTTTCTAGCAAGAGAAGCACATAGAATAACTAAATGCTTTATTGCATCTAATTGGTTGTTTCTTTGTACCCGTTATACAAGTCTACAGAAAAAGACAGTTTCAATGCTTTCCCAATATACTATCTTCCATAATGATCCCTTCGATTCAGTAAATATGATCGGCAGTCAGAAGAACAAATTTTTATACCGAATTTACTTTGATTTTAAAAAGTAAGAACCTATCAGTAAATTTGACAAGTTTAGTAATCATGCTCTATTTGCATCAAGTGACAAGAAGTTGAATAATTCATCGGTTCAGATGACTTAAAACAGAATCACATAAATTTGTATTATTATCAATTCGGCACTGACACATCACTATTTGACTTGTACGTTGTATTATTCTATGTTATACAAGCGTAATTCCAATTTTCTTTTAGTGTATGCATTTATCAAAGAACTATACAACTTTATTTCATTCTCAATGTGTACATGAATACTATAATGTAGTCACGACTTCCAAATAGAATTAAACACCAATCTTGAATTCTACAAATAGCTGATATTCATATTGGTTGTCTATGAAGGGATTAAGCTGTTTACAACATTGACAATACTCAATACGTTTGTCGTATCCAAAATTACATTATAATATAGAACACTCATTCATTAAATAGACGTAAAAATAACTAAAAGTGCTGGGTACATAATATTCTGATTAAATGTCATCATCAATTCCAAATATTCTCAAGATTTAATTTAGCTTACTGGAAAGATAATAAATAACATATTTTATGTGTACTTTAACAACTGATAATATTACATACAATTTAGTTATTATTATTATCATTATTATTATTATTAATGGCTTTATTTAACACTATAATTTTGGTACAATATAGAATTCTCAGCACAAAGTATTTCAACAAGTTTCTTTTTCTTATTTCATGATCGATCATGACAATAAATATTGATTGATCGCCAGCTAGATGTTCAGTCAGTCAGCTACAACGTAGAACCAGGTACATATATGCCATCAGTCTAAATTACCATACCTCATTAGCACAACAAGATGAACACCAAATTCATAGAAATAGTCATTTCAATGGTAGTAATATATAAGTGAAAGATTGTGCATAAGGATATAATACAGGAAGAAAGAATTAGTTCGTAAAAAGAAGGGTATAAAGCAACTTTCATCTCATGGGTTAAAGGAAAACAAAGAGTGTATACACGAACAGCATTGTGATCGATTCTGAGCCATGTTACAAAATGTCTCCAACTGTTAGTTACGATTATCGCGCGGACCAAACTAAGTAGTCTACATCTACCAAAATGGCTCAGACTAGAAGTTATTGACTTCAAGGATTGGTACCATGTTTTGGTTTGGCCGCCCCTAACTTTATTAGATGTTAGCAGCTGAGAAATCCATATTTGAATAATGATCATTCTTTTCAAGGCTCATAACCAGCCACCATGATGCCTCTGATTGTAATTTTTTGTACCTTGGACGTATATACGCGCCTGAATATGTTATGAGGCTAATAGATATAACAATGTGTTAAAACAAACAAGATCAGACTTATTGAAATATCTAAATAGATGACAGAAACAGGTAGCCCAGATATTCAAGCAGACCACCAAGATGTTTGAGGCCAACCATCGTTTTTTCAATGATCAATAAAAGTAAAATGTCTAGCATTATCTGCCACTTTTCCGTTTGTTTAGCTTGTGAATGTAGCATATAGGATTGTAATTCTCACTGAGTATTTCATTTCTGTCATCTAAAGCTATTTATGTATATCTTTTAGTAACATATCACAGTAGAATATCTCAAATATCTAGATGAAACAAACAAATTAAATGAAAGTTAGAGTTTGAAATGAAATTCTTAGTGAAAAAGTATACTTTCATATTCACCAAATGAACGGAAAAATGTCCGACAATACGCAATACATTTTGTATATTGATCAATGAAAAACGAATAAATTACAAATTCACAAACGTATATCCTGTCACTTCTCTATGAATGCTTTAAAACTAACTTATAAACTAACCAAAGAAGAAAGACAAACAATCTGTTTTGGTATGAAAACTGAAAAATTTAGTTTACAAGAGAGAAACAAATGAGAAATAATGACAACTATAATAAAAGAGATGATGTGAACATTATCATACAGAACAAATTCTAACCTGTAAGAATTATGCTTAAAATCATTTCAAAAGTTGAAATACAACTCTATTTCTCAAGAATTACTTCGACAAGTTTAATTTACTGACAAATGTGTACTATGTATATATATATATACCAAGATTTGAACCAGCCATCAAAAATAATTAACATGGTCAAGTTCAATAAGTAAACATGATTGAACAAGTGTGTTTAGTATGGATTTGCTTGTTAAAACCTTGTTTTATGTCTTTTATTTTCATGAAGTTAGCTCAGACTAGTCTACTGAGTGAGATATTGGAATTATTCGAAAATATCAATCGCTAAAATTATTTTATATAGATAACTTTTACATCTCTGGAATAACCTACCACAATCTATCCATACGATAAAATCACTCCCATTATTTGTTCGCTGCATCGATGCATACTGCTCCTCTAAAAATGTATTGAATGGTCTAGCACCTGGAAGTGTATCTCATTCCACAAGTTAGATTATAAGAACTTTGAATATTTAGCCATTTTTATTCGTGCATTTCCTAAGTAAAACCACCTACTTGCTGTCACTTTATGTTAACACTGTCCCTAGCAAGTTTAACTAATTTGAATAACATCAACAGTATATCACTGTGTCACATAACACACGCATTTAGGTAGACCTGATTCATATATTTTGGTAATTACTTTTTTGTTGTTCCGTGCTCTCTATTTTCGTTTTAATTTCTCTAGTTGTAGATAATTATCATTAATTCGATCTGGCACACGAAATGACCTTAATTACACCGTTCATAAATCAACGGGCTGTCCATTTAAGAAATATTAAAAATTCCCGTCTGATGCATTGGATCACTGTAAAACATGTACTGCCTAAACAATTACTGAACTAGTATACTTAAAACTTTCTTCTATCACATGTTTGTTCTGTACATCTAATGTTACTATTTATTTCAAATTGATCATGCCTGTAAACTGGCGTGAATTCTGTAATTATTATTTTCAGAATATAAATTATTATTATTATCTGTCTGTTACTGATTACCAGATAATTTGAATTTTACAACATTTATGGAAAAAACTCTTAAAAATATTAAAATGTATACGAGCAGACGAATAGACACAGAGAAAATAACCAGAAATACATCATTCGTTGAGATGTTAGATGGTTGGAAGAAATCCTGTTTGAAGTAGGTTCCGTGTTGGTTGGCATTTGTCGTGGCAAGGTATATCTCCAATATCGGGGAAACGGATGCTTCTCTTAGGCTTTTAATCCGAGTCACTTAGCTTCAAAGTTTGAGAAGTTATCGATGAGCTATTCAGGCAGTAACCGTAGTAGGAGTGAAATATTCACAACTAAATAATGACCGAGTAGTGACCACTGTCATGCTTATCCCCTGCCTTAGCATTGATCGAATCTTGTTGATTAAATAGCCACTCGATAAGTAGTACTGCTTTAGAATGTGAAGTTTGATGATGCAGGTTAGAAATCCATCCATTTCCTCGAAATCGCAGGCACGCCACGCTGGCTAGCGCCAACTAGCAGAAAACCAAAGTCAACCGAGGTCTCCTGTTCACTACCTCTGAACAACAAACACTTTAAAATAGTGAATGCGATGTTGGGTCACTTAAACTGGTTAACGGACACATAGCGATTTGGTCGATCGAATCCGATCAACACTTTAAGGACTAGATAGGCATGATAATGCTTACTCCTCAGTCCTTAATCAAAAATATACACATCATCCGAATAATTTTATCATTAATCACTCGATTTTATGTATTGTTTAATACATAACTGATGTACACTTACCCAGTAGTATCATAGCCAACACCAAGTGAATTCGAATGAACTGCTGAAATATTAATGTACAATAATTAAAGCTTATGTATATACATTGAAATAATGAAAATTAACCATCACGTTGAAATAACAGAGTGATATTTGATATTAACATTGTTTTTAGCATGCCCTATCCCAAGAATATGTTGCACAATTGAGGTCTTCGTTTGCTAAACAAGAGGTGGGTATATCATGTGTTGTAGTCTATTATGTTTTAATTTATGACTGTGAAATTAGGAGAAACTTCCACAGACTATAGTTATTTGATTATACAGAGATCCTTGGGACATGGTCCACATTCGATGGAATCCCTAAGTTAGTAACGCTGAGGTTACACGTAGTGTCAGGTAAAAAGACAAATCAATTGACGATGCTGTTGGGGCGTGTATTACGCACGTCTAGCCAGCCCCTACTCTGACCTTTGGGCACTAAATTTGCATTTAATAGTTTGTAGTTTTAACTTCAATTATATGACGAAAGATTAAAAGGAATCGATTCAGTAATAAAAACTTGCATATAGATAGTTTTTGAAACTAAAGTTGCTTAGATGATTTATAGGAAAAAATCAACACTGTTTGAAGTGAAAAGTGATAAATTCGAATCTCAAAGTGAACATCGACTCATTAGGATGCAGGTAAATTCAGCTGACAATCTACCAATAGATCGAAACTTGTGGTCTGTATTTTACTGCTACTAACAATTTATCTATTCTATAAAAGTGATATACATATGAAATCAAATAATCTATCTCTTAGCTAGATGATCTAAAAAGTTTCAAATACCACAAATTACGACAATATTAATTTTAACCTCCTAACAAATATCCCAATAAATCCAAAAAGGCAAAGAACAAATATAGTTGAATAACAAGGACAGAATATAGTCCCTTAGATATTAATATAAACGTTAAATGAGTGATAAAGAGTGAAAAACAGAATAATCAAAATAGGAAAGGATATGGTCTATGTTATAATAAGATCAAACACCACTTACTAGATGATCCATCTATTGTTGAGCCTTGATCATGATTAGTTGATCCAGTTAAATTATACTTAGATGAATTCATTGATAATTTACGTGGTGAATTTCTCTGAATAGAATTATTCAATGTATTTCTTGATTGTTCTTGACTATTGTTATTATGATTAATAAATTTGATTTGTTCACTTAATTCAACATTAGAACGTATTAATTCATTTAGATGTTCATGTAGACGATTCTCTTCTTTTTTCCATTCTTGTTCTTTCACCTCTAAACGTGAAACTGAAATTGAACCAATTCACAACAAAAATGTATCACCAGTAAAAGATTGTCTTAATGAACAAAAGAGACCAGAGCAAAGAAGATAAAATTAGATTTAAAAAAGACGAAGGCAATAAATCACAAATATAATGTCATATTATACGCTATCCGATTCTGATACTGACACACATACTTCTTATCGGCGAAAACTCGAACTAGCTACTAAGTGAGAAATCTGAGAGTGAGAGGAAAGCATTCTATTGGGTAATGAAATCGATAAATAACTGTAAACTCATTTATATATAATGTTCCGCAGAAATTTAAACTACACTTTCGTTTTACCTATAATGTGTTAAATTCCTTAGAAAAGGAAGCCAAATCTTGCTCAATAGCGTGTGCTTATCATCTGCATGACGTCTGACTGGTCCATTGTATCATATACAATGAGTTAGAAACTGTAATACAAGTGAGTGAGTGGAAAAACACCAGCTGAATTGATCTAGCTGAGTAGTGGCTCAGTCGTTAAAGCATTTGAATTTTAGCCGTTAGGTCACTGATCTCAACCATAGTCCACCTATTTAGATTTATGCAACTGGATAGTGTATCACTAGCCCATAGAGTAACAGTGTGGCTCGAAGGCGAGTATAGGAATATGTGCCTAGTGAGTGAGTTACATACAATTTAATTGACTATCAGTGAATATAACATAAACTGTATCAGTATAATCAATAATGTAAATAATTAGATATATAAGTACAAATTTATGTCAATAGGCTTTGAAGTACACTAGATGAAGGCTAACAGTATTATTACGCTGTTTAAAGCCAATATAAATGAACCACATTTCTGATCTGTAACTTAATGGTCGAAAAGCCACCTTCCCAGACAGTTTATTGGTTAATTCGTTTAGTTTTTAACTAAAAAAATTATAGGCTTACATCATGTTTCATTTATTTTAATTTAGATGTATGAATAGGATCCCCAGTCATCAAAAAAGCAATAAAGCCCACAAAAAAAATTACATGAAACAAAACTGAAGATCTAGTAAAACTGACAGAATAAAATATGAGCAATCAACTTGAATGATTGCAAATCGAATGTTTGAACTTATTATATCACAGCTTCACAAGATACGATATTCACAATGAAACCTGTAATATTTGTTTATTTGCTGCCATAAATAATGAACCCATCAACAATATGTTCATACGCCACTGATTCCCTCAGGATCGTGGAGTTCATGTGGAATCATGGTCTTTCAACTCCGCTAAGTGGATCCTTAGTACCCACCAACACAGTTTTAGCTTCTCATCCTCTCAATTACATCAATAACACCACCGCCGCCAGAAGTCAGTGAGTAGAATTTCCTTTGCAGCGAGTATATACACGTGGCCACATAGGCACTATATGTATATAAATTATATTCATTTGTAGCTATCATATTTCCTTTAACAATATACTTGAGGTGATCAGTAATAGTTATTACACGATTTCAAATAGTTTAACGGTCAAAAAACAAATCAAATGATTTCAACCATATATTTATAATACTAAATGTAAACAATGTGAGTTAACGTGGTCACAAGATGTAAGCTTGACAAAAAAAGACACTTTTCTATTTCATCAGACAATTATTGAATACCTAAAATCACATGTACACACTGGAACTGACATACAGTACGTAATGATATATTATCAAGTGTTATTTTTGTTGCTTATTATTCAATAGTAAATTTAAATTAATCTAAACTGATAATCAAGGATAAGTTTATGTACTTGGAGATTTGAAACAGATATTTATACTTAAGAAGCTAATGGAGTAGTGTATAATAAATAGTTAAAGCGCTCAAGTACGGGTTCGAATTCCGTTCCATTCACTTTGATTCCCAGGATATTGGTAATATCACTAACCTTCCATAAAACCACTATGGTTCAAAGCTGTGGATGTAAATATTTACTTCTTAAATGTTTTAATAACATTAACTGGTTACCTAAATTGAAGTAAACAGTTGAGATAAGATTCCATGTGTAGTTGAACAAATATTACCTTTAAACAGTAAAGGATGTATATCAATCCAATTAGTATGTACAGTCAAGTTTATAAATAATACTTTAGGTAAAATACACAAATCAATCAATGAGAACGTAAACTTAGTGGGATATGGTAGTACATGTATGTTCAGCAGTAAAAAAGTACTTAGTGCCCTACAAGATTCCGACTTCCACAAACTAGATCAATTTCCAGTTGTATCAGGTGACAGACAACAATCTAACTACTCAATCATATTCTACCCTGAAGACGTGAATAATGCACACATCAAGCGTAGATTGATTTAAACGATATTAAGTAATCTACAATAAAGACTGTCAAATTATTCCTTGTTTGTGATGAGATAACTCACTGAAGAATGAGAAGATTGAATCACTTTGTTAGTTATATCCATAACTAACCAATCAAATCGTTGCTTAGGCTCGCACCACGTCAATCTGGTCTGATGTATCTGCAGACTATCCCTAATACATGTAACCTGTCAATTGAAGGACATTATTATCCTGTTATATTATTGTGACTCAATTTTTATTCGTTTCGATAAAACAAGCAATACTGGTCGAAACGGATAAAGTTGTCCTTGTTCTGATTATAACTTTGACATAGACTCTGGGGTCGCCAGGATCGCGTTTACAGTCCTATTAGAATATCTGTAGAACAAATTGAATCCTACAACTTCACAGATTTGATAGAACTGTTGATTTAATGCAACTCATTCACTAAGCAGTGCACGTTTTTGGGATTGTTTTTCAGATACTATTCGTGTGTGTGAAGGTCAGTGATGCTATTCAATTATCCAGACCAGAAATAAACGGGACGAGATTCAAACCTGTAATCTACTGGTTGAGAACGGAATGTATTAATTACGAAGCTATCACTATGCATTATTGATTCCAGAATCTCAAATTGTATGTTCTTTGATATTGTAGAAAGAATCTATAAACACACGATGCTGAACCTCTCAATTACTAACATGGTGTTGCTGCAAGATGTCAGAAATCCTTCGGATACAATGATAATCAAACATAGAGTCATCTAACATTCACAATTCGGAGGCCAGATCTCACAACCATAGAGCAAAACTCGCACCGACGCGTTGTAGATCCGAACTTTTACAGCCAGACTAACATCACGAAGGCGTCAAAAATCGTCCATATTGGCCGCTCTAACCTTCACTATACCTAAATTGATCTCATTACTCACACCACCACAAGTACTTATGCAGCTACCCAGATACACGAACTTCTCGACTACTTCTGTCTACCCACTACCCAGGGTGAGTCCAAGATCAAGGTCCTGTGAGTCTTGTAGAAGTGCTTTGCACTTCGAAGGTGCAAAGCACATAACATACCTACGGACACTGATTGCCAACTGATTAAGTGCGGATTGCATGGCTTGGGCATTATCGCACAGTAAGACAATATCGTCCGCATACTCAAGGTCGAGAAGTCTTTCTCCAGGCAACAGATCCACACCACCATTACTTACATTCATCAGAGCTGTTTCCAGAATGTCATCGATGACAAACTTGAAGAAGAATGGTGAGATTCGGCAACCCTGCCTAACTCTACTGCTTGAATGGAACAATGGAGAGAGAGGTGGTTGTATGCCCTCACTCTACCTGACGTGTTTGTATAAAGGGCTTCTTCAAGATGTTAATGAATTTCTCAGACACACCCTTCTTCAATAGACAATCCCCGAGAACAGTCCTGTCCAACGAATCGAAGGCAGCCCTGATGTCAAGAAACACTACGATTGTTGGCAGGTGATAAGTATGACAATGTTCTAACATTTGGCGGAGGGTGAAGATATTATCAATACATCCTCGACCAGCACGAAAACCAGCCTGCTCCTCGTGAGTCAATCTTTCTCGGGTTTTGAACAATCTACCAAGTATGATGGAAGCCAGTAGTTTGGACGCGATCAGAATCAGACTTACCCTCCAGTAGTTGTCGTAGAAACGACGCGAAGATAGGACAACTGTCGGCTCGTTCCATGGTGTTGGAATACTCTCGAATTCACGGACCTTTGTAAACAACTCAGGCAGTTCCTTAACCAGAAAGTCACCATCGTCTTTAAAAAGGGTCAGAGTTCTTTGTAGACTGCTGCTTCATCAGGTGGATCAGTCCTCACCGGACATGGATGGTAGGATAGTGTGATCGATGTTGTCATGGTAGCAGACTAGTAGAACGGCTCCTCGAAAAACTCTGCTCATCGTCCAACACGTCAGTGGATGTTATCGTTTAGCATCCCGTCAGCTCCATGGATTGTTTCACTCACAACAGACTTCTTTATGCCAGTGACTTCGGTGAGTTGAAAGAGATTCTGGTAATTACCGAAGGCAGCTGTTGTTTCTATCTCACTAGCACGGTCCGACCACCAGGCTTCTCGGTCCCTACACAAGCTTTGCACAATTTCATTACGTAAACATCTTTGTTAATGGTCAACCTCACAGTCAACTGGAGTATACCGATGGTCTTTAATCAGTTGTAAGCAGCCTGGAGAAATCCAGTGCTTATGAGTGAGACGTTTCGCGAAGCGGCAAGCGACTTTACTCGCCATTTTCATGGCGTCATGTAATTGCGATAAATGCCCATCTACATTTTTCGGTGGATTGATAGCTAGCCTTGAACCTAGCTCGGTTTGACAATTAGTTGCAACATAAACTGCAACCAATTTTCTGACATCGATCCGTTTAGGATGACGAATTTGTTGTCCACTGAAACGTAATATCAGCGCAAACAAGGACATGACCACAATCCCGATAGGTACTACAAAGGGAGAGGCGGTTTTGTACACAACCACGTCAATGCTAGCTGACCGCGAGGTGATCAACCTGGGCCCAGATTCAAGATGCTGAGGAAGAACGCCAAGTAGCACATTCGCGATGACTGTGCCGAAAGTTAGTGCTAGCCAGAAACATGTTGTGGTCTGCGCACAGTTGCAGTAGACGGTCACCGTTATTTGACCTTTGACCACCAACAAGTACCCATCCGCCACCCAAATGACTCTCTTTTGTGCTTAGACGCCCGATCTGAGCATTCAAGTCTCCGGCTAGTACTACAACATCTTTCCGACACAATTTCTGTAGAAGAAATGTTAACTAGTGGTGAAACATTCTTGATCGCGCACCATAAATGTGAGGGCTAGTTGTCCAAGCCCAATCAGCTAGACTGAGGAGTTCGAATCCAAAAATTAGTGGCTAAACGTCAAAAGAATCAACAAGTAAGATCCTAAAGTAAACCTGAATGTAATATTATAGTTTAAGATTACAGGTAAGAAAATAAAGGTAACGCGATTTGACTCAATGCACTAATTCATCCCTTTTATTGATGGTACCACGTCCACGTAATTATTATTTACGTACTAGTCAGCTTAGTTTATACTGTTAGATAGTTAGTTAACAACCTTAACTGCAAAGTATAACTACTTGATCATAATTAAATGGTACCAATTTGCATCAGTCAGTAACAATACCACGACATAAAATGTCACCGAAAAGGTCGAACATATCTCGACAGATTTTATTGCCTAAATATAACTTCAATGTGATTATTTATGATTATTAAAAAGATGTATATAGAATGTGAAAGAATATAGGTATAGGGAATAAATGAAAAAAACAAACCTTGATCTTTAGCCAACTGAAGTCTCAATTCCGTTTGCCGACAAGATGTGGACAATGACTCATTTTTTGCCTCATTCACCTTTCTCTCTTCATCAAAAGCATCCTCTGCATTTAGTAAACGCTAAAGTTTTAAATTTGCATCAAAAGTAAGTTTAATGAGTTTAAAGTCGAGCAGAACCAAGTGAAAATTTTATCACAAAAATATGATATTTGAAATATGATACACTCTTTTAAGCCCCTACGAACGGTAATCATGCTACAGCTTACACGCAGTTCCGAGGTAAAAATAATGATGTATGATGTGACAGTATACGGTCAACCTTCCAACACCAGCTTTGTGATCATTGAATAGCACAGAAATCGTTTACTAACAAACCGTATACACTATATCAGTATACAATGCCCCCCAAATGCCCTCGTACGGCCGAGGGTCGAAATTCGCTCCCCTTCTCGAAATGCTCTCACATGGTCACACGTATACAGCCACTGCCAGCGAAGTCCTTGCAGCGGGAGTGTTGTTTATGAAATTGAGAGAACGGAAAGTGAATGTCCAGCGCGGAAACTGGGTTGGTGGGCACGGAGGACCCACCTAGAGGAGTCGGAAAACCACAATTTCAAACCAATGGTGTACATGGGCTCCAGGATCCTGAGGGAACAAATGGTGTATGGACCTACTGTTGGTCACCGGCTACCATGAGACTGCATCTCCTGACGTTACTCTACTGCCTTATGGATCAGACATTTAGGTCTAAGGCTCCGGGTGTGACTCCCTAAGAAAACCATCTGCTTCAGTTTGAACACCCGAGCAGAATCACAGACCACACACAAATTAATTGGCTTGTGTAGCACATATGTATTCGGTGCTCCTTTGTACTAATATTTATATGTTCAATAAATAAATAAATAAATAAATATTTTATAATATGAATGCATATATATATATATATATATTTGCAGAATGATTTTTCCAGTTTCTTTCGTGCACAGTGGGGACACGCGAACACAAGAAGATGGAGGACAATGTCGAACTTTAGCATGGAACTACGGATGACAAAGAACCCAGTTTTGAACCTGTGTTAAGTGGGGTGAATGTGTAACAGGCTACGTATATCCGAGATGCTGGCTGAGAAGTTTACACAAACCAAAAGCTGTGACATTATGCCGTAAAAGACCAAATAGATAACCTTTTCTGGTAGTAATATTTATTATCTGACTTAGTAATTATTAAAGTTCGAAACATCAATTGGACAAATTTTTTTCTTCAAAATTCACTCACCATTTCGGACTGTTTTCGAGCAGCCTTTTCAGCAGTAAGTTGGTCATAAATATGCTCATTCTCTTCACGTAACTGTCTGACTTCAGCGTGGTATGCAGATTGATCTTTATATAGGTCATCCAAATTTTCTAGTAGACTAATTATTAATGGCATTAAACGTTCAACAACGGGTAATCCATAAGCCTCAATCATAGTTTCAAACTCTTTGTATATACCAGAAGCTATACACTGAACTCGTTCCGACATAACCACTGAAACATGTGAGCTACGATCTAATTCGTTGAAATTTGAGGATAAATAAACATCGTCAATATCATTAAAAGGAGGCTTCAAGTTGAGTAATTTCTTTTCTAACTCAGTACCACCATTCGTAATATTTTCATGAACTATTGCACTTTCAGGAGAATGAGACATTCTAACTGGAAATATTCAAAAACAGTAATAATAAAGACTCGGCAAAGTGGTGATCTTCCAATTTAATATTGTCATGAGAAGAAAATTTGAAGTACAATTGCAAATGGCAAGAAAAAGATAAACCGTAATAATAAGAGCAGGTAGTTACCAACAGTGATTCGGCGCTGAGCACATTAACCTGAATTGGATAGAACAGATTACACAAAAGACAACGGAATTAACACGAATATATATCGGTTTAAACTCCCACACTTCACAGTAGGTATAGTAATGGAGTGAAAATAATACTCACGTTAGTCGCAAACTAAACACGGAAAAGATAAAACAAGAAACTCGTGTTAACATTACGCACTGCTGTGTCATTTAACACTGCATGTCCTTAATTTGTAGTCATCGTTCTAAATAAACAACCAGAATATATAGTAGACTGTAGTTATCTTCCCTTTACTTATGTTGACTATACATGAAAATAAGTATATGTGAACGATCAACGACTGTCTGGTGATATGGTAACAGTCAGTTTTACTCCACCCTAAGAGTTACTATATTATTGAAACTACTTTGCCATAAGTTATTATATATAATGAAATTCAACGGCTATTTGATCATTAATAGCTAATCTGCAAATAAAAATTGCAGCTTTCACTTTGTAGATAAAACTGTGTGTATTTAAGAAGCAAATCAAATTCACTTGTGCTTTTCAGGATATATACGTATATATACACGAATATATTCGTGTATTATGAAAGGATATACCTTTGCATAGTTAAAGGTGTACTCCATCAGTGTCAACCTAATAGACTATAAACTAAACCAAAGAATTCACTTATAGCTGCAGCTTTCCAAGTTGAGTTAGAAAAAAATAACGCCAAGTTTACCTTGGAACGACTAACACTGTACCGATGTATTATTGGCGTTTGTTTGAAAGCAGGAGAGATTTAAAAACAACATGCAGACCAGGGCCAGTGAATATCGGAGGTAAAACATGACGTGCCAGCAACAACGTATATATTTCAAAAATCGGATAAGGCGGTTATGTTACAAAAAAGAAAGCTTGTTTACAAAAGTTTCATAAATTATTTGCAAGTCCAGTTCACCCAGGCCTTGTTTTTCTTTCAGCACATATGTAAATATTTACCCTTTGTTGCCCTGTAATAAAAAAACAAACTCACATTAATAACATTGCACAATGATTTCGAATATTTCCACACAACCTCTCTCTCCGTGAGGCACTGTTCTCAGTGTCTGACTGTGGACATGGACATGCTATGTCTTCTTTCGATGGTACTTCGTAATAACTGGTGGCAGGTGAGGGTTTACAAACTGGGTACCTGAATGCACCATCTTTCGGTCTGGTTCCAAGTGGTTATAGTGTACTGTTATAACGTAGTCTTTAGGCCGATGACGTTTGTGTAAGATGAAGGTGGTGGGAGGTCGAATAAGCACAATTTTGTAAGGCCCTTCCCAAGGATGGTGGAAGTTGCTACGTGCTCTCGGTGGAGACAGGGAGGTGAGGCCAAACACGATCGCTAGTTTTTACACCAGCCCGTCAATTCCTCGGTCGCATAAGTCCTCCTGGTTTTGACCAGGCACTACGCGTCGACCAGACAGCTACGAAGATTATGAATGTATGATACGTGTTCTTGAGCCTCATATAGTAACGAGGGCATTTGTATCCCAACAGGCAGATGCAATTCATGCGCAAAAGTAGGGTGACGATTGAAAACCCTGTAGACCCATGCAATGGTGTGCGATAAGCTAAGAAGCATTGTAGTACCGTATTATCCCAACATCCAGTCGACTCACTGATGAACGATTGTAGAAGGGCCTTAATGGTCCTGTTTGTCCTTTCCAACAGTCCACTACCCTCTAATAGGTACGCAGTGGCATGTGCTTTTCAGATTTACAATATTTGTGATACTTGAAAGACGAGATGACTTCTAGAGTGCACGGAAAAGCAATCAACTTTCAAACTTCACCGCGCTTTCTTCTTCACGACCTTGAGCGTCCCAGATGATAGCATTCATTTCAAGTGTCGGTTGCTAGCATGGTTCTCAGATATTTGTATATTTACGTAGCCCGCTTATATCTGAAAACCACCAAAGTCGTTGTTAGCATCATAAACTATGTTCTTTTTCATTTTTAGCGTTTTTTACTGCTGTGTAACACTTTTGAAAAACCGGTCGGACAATTTTGTTGGAGAGTCTATTATAACCGGGTATTTAAATAACATAGCTGAAAATAATCACAAACTAATCTATAGACTGATAATCTGTGTGATAAATAGTTCTTTTTATTACTAAATAGAAGATGACTGACAGCCAGTGTGTCCAGATATGTTGTCGTCTACCATTAGTATTACCAGTACGTTCAGCCAGGAAAGTAAACCACAAGATTTTGGGACAAACAATAAACCGTGAGGACTACAAATCGAAAGTGACATTTCAGACCAAGTTTCTGAATGAACAGTCAGTATTCCGCGTGGTTCCACTACAGAATGAGTGTGTGATGTAGTCACGTAGGGTGATGTGTAATCATCCTTGTAAAAGTTCGTGGATGATTTGTGATCCATGAAGTAGACGATTGGCTTCAGAGGATAAGGAAAGTTGGAGGACAATACTGGTCCAGTCGTCACTCTTAGGTCGAGCGACCGGACGAGTTAGAAAAAAGACTGGCTATAAAGTCTTCATTACTGATTTGATCACATTGAATGCGCAAATATTTGCAGGTGAGTATGTGTTCTCATTCTTTCAAGCTGTGAAGTAAAGGTACATGACGTAAACCCTCCTTCGGAGATCTAGGATGGTTTTCCACCTGTCTGACTCAGTCACAAGGTTGATCATATAAGAGTAACCCTTCTTCAAACTGTGCTGTGGGGATGAAGAGAAGTTAACGGATAGTATATAACCGCGTAGTCCACCTTATGTCAGGGACCACATAATTTTTGAGGGTACCGGAAGAAGTGCTACTGGCTGGTAGCCTGAAGCTTCGCTACGTCTGGTCCATCTGAAAATTATTGGAATGTGAGCCTAATTCCAAATATCTGGTAATGTGACTCGGCTTAGAGAACGTGCGAACATCATGCCGAACGGTTTGCAAGGATTGAAGTCGCTTACCTCGACGGAATGAACTATATCGGAGCCAGGAAAAAATGCACTTGCATAGGTGCTACGGTTTCTGCTGCAAGTGAAGCCCTCGTCGACATAATTTGCATGTGACGGTTGAAATGATTGAAGGTTGACGGTGTCAACATCGTTTTTGGTTGGACCATTAGGACTTATAAATCGGAAAACTCTGGATTTAGCTCATCGTAGACCGGCGGTGCTAAACGGTTTATTAATTCTGATCGAAAGCCTCAGCTCACTGACACTATACAAGGACGTAGAGGTCGCTCGACGCTTAACACCCCCCCCTCCGATGTCGTGTAAGAAAATGTGAGGCGATAGGGTCGCAAATTAGTGTTATAGCAAGTAACCAACTAGAGACAAATTCAAATAACATTAAGAGTATCGAAGACATCTTGGGCATGATATGAATACTTAAACCGTTAATAATTCTATGGGTATAGACTGGTCCATAGACTAGGAATTTTCAAACAGGATACGAATTCCAACGACCACTAACGACGTCTACAATACTAATCCAGGCTTTTCTCATGGTAAACTGCTTGAATATGATCAATATGACGACACACAACCAACCAAACCTAATCAAGCAGAAACTAGTCCTCCTATGTTTATTACACAAGATGACCTGGATGAACATGAATTCACTTAACAGACCATCCCTAAAACACCAGGAATCTCTTTAGACCTGGCGACAAAGGGTGAACAGACTAAATCCTCGACGTCAACTAAAGAAACAAGTAAGCTGAACCCGATGTCTCTGTGGCTCTCCCAATAACAGTGAACAGACTCTCCCCCTTGACATTATGCGACCCACCCCCCAACCACTCTGTGGCAAAACAGGTGTTAAGCACAAGCGTAAATTACTTCTGAGCACTCATACTAATGAAAATTATCAAAGTGCTGGTCACTCTACTAACCCGCTAAAGCCTAGAACTAATAACTATAGTGACAATAGATTTATCACCACATACCCCATCTGTAATCTTTGGATCACAGGTGTAATTACTCTCAGAACGTAAACTTTCACATCCTACAGTACCAACTGACCCTATAACAATGGAAATCAAATATAAAAACGATCATAACAACCGCCAATTACAACACCAACTCCTCATCAAGCTCACATCACTGCAAATAGCTGTAACTACAATTGGCGGTACACAGCACAGTTGGCGTGCTCATGATTTTTTAGAATACAGCTCATAGTGATACACATATCATATATCCGAAGATAATAATAACTCAGTTACCTAAAATTCATTAACGTATTGGATCGTTTGGTTAATATACGTTTTATCAACGCTCTATTTTTTTAATAAACGGACAGATTTAATCCTGTTTCCATCCCTTTATCAACTGTCACTTATGATAATGTATGAAGCACTGATTATCATTAATATTTCCTATCTAATTATATCTGATTATGATTATTGTCTATATCGAAGTGGTAGATTACAAAGACCAGGTGGGGACTGCATTAACCAAGCACATTCTGGCTCAAACTCACTTTTGTAATATGCTGTAACTAAACAAACTACGATATTTTGTGTGATTTGTTCTGAATCTCTCAAATTCAGTCTTCCCACCGTCCAGATGCGTTTACCGCACACGTAATTTATCAACGGGTGAAATACTAATATCACTAAAAGTATTCATATAAAATATCCCCGATATTCATAGGCAAGCTTATTTCAAGGGACTTCAGTATGTCTGAAATTTATTTGTTTTCAGCCTGAACATCAAAAGGTTTAGAGCCATTAATTGAGACCTCAGAGATTAAACAGTGGACCCAGTTTATCAGTAGACCAATTAGACATCGAAATGTCTGAGATTTAATTACACTTGTAACCTCACCCACGACACAGTGCATATTAGAAAACGGCTTCAAGGTAGTGGCCATATTACTGTCATCCATGGTCTCAATACTAACATTCTATCCAGTTAACGTAAGGACACCAGAAATTCTCCCACAACACCAGTAATATATTCCGCAAAACCGCACTCTGAAGGTACTGGAACATTCTACTGAACCCACTGGAAGTCACCCTCGAAGCAACGCAAATATCTTCCAAAGGATATCACTCCACCAACAATCGAAGAAATCGGCATGCCCATCAGACAAATTAAGAGTGGGAAGGTAGCAGAACCAGAAAGCATACCAGTGGAAGCATTGAGTCCCGACATGTACGTAATTGAAAAGATGCCTCACGTTCTATTCAGGAAAATTTGAGAGAAAGAAACAGTTCCACCAAACGGAAAACAGTATAACTCGAGATACCGAGGAAAGGAGATCTCAGCAAATGTTATTCTATGGAAACATCACACTAACATCAGTACCAAGAGAATTTTTTAATAGATTGTTGTTGAACCGAATGAAAGATTCAGTAGACGCACAACTTCAAGGTCCATAGTCCGGATTCGCTAAGGAACGGCCGTGTGCAAAACAAGTGGCAACACTACGGATCATTGTTGAACTATCAATTGAATGGGACTCATCACTATACACCAACTCACTCAACCATGAGAAACTACTTAACAGTGTGAATAAGAAGAAGGACCCTATGGATCCTTCCTTGATACTATGATGTACCTAAGAAAGTCGTCAGCATCATATGGAACTCATGCGATAGACTACACAGCAAAGTCGTGCATGGAGGACAGCTGGCAGACGCACTCTAATTGAGGACAGGAGTCATGCACGACTGTTCACTTCCCCTCTTCCTATTTCTTCTGGTGGTTGACTGGAGGATTATGGAGACCTCTACATCACAAGGGAAGCACAAAATTCACTAGATGGCTTGTATGCAAATAGATTATTTGGACTTTGCAGATGACAGAGCTCTTCTGTCCCACTCACCTCAACAAATATAGGGGAAGACAGACAGTGTAATAGCAACCTCTACATTAGTGTGTTACGTCCAAATTTTGCTCGTTCCAGTTATTGAAGTACGGACTATCGATCTACTTGCAAATTACGAACCCAAATTAACAGCAGAACCAAACTCCAATTTAGATACCAAATTTATCCGCAATTCACAAATAGTCGACCAAATGTCGTTCTAACAACAATAATTATGACAATTAAAAAACAAACCTTCAATTTTGTAGGTCCCCGGAGCAAAACTACCAAATACCAAACCAACAACAGAGGGAAACCAAAATGTCCGAAATAATGATATAAACAAACAAGTTCAAAAGTTAAGTAAAACAAATACATCCAAAAACACAGTAAATTATTGATATACAATAAAAAGATTTTAATCCACCAAATGTCTTCGGTCCTCCTGTAACAAGTGGGCCTCAACATTCACAAGGGAAAAAGAAAGATCACGAAGTATAACGCAGGAAACGCCAAGATGATAAACTGGTGCTTCAAGAGGATATGCCTCGACTTCGAATTTTGGCAGATGACAACGGACACTCTGAAATGTATCAAACGGCGAGGACTCAAATGCGTATTATGAAGAGAACCTTCAATCACTAAATATTTACCCATCAGCGTACAGACATCTTAGAGGTGACCTTATAATGACTTACAGTATCCTTAACACTTCTGAACATCCCCTTAAACACCTACTTAAGTTTAGCTGCAACACAAACCCAAGGGGTAACACCCAGAAACTGGAGACACAACACATCTGAACGGATTGTAGACACACCTTCTACTCTTTAAGAGTGGTCAAATGCTGGAATTCACTGCCGACTTCCCAGGAGTCCTTTAAGATGAAACTTGACAAATTCTTAAGGACTAAGGATAGTATCTTACTATGATTTACCAATTTATTTTCCTCCTTTATCGTTACTATAACTAGGTTCCTGCCTGGATGTATTGGTGATCCACTGCTACTAGATACGGAAATTCTTTAAGTGAAAGCTTTTTCTATTCTATCCACAACCATTTGAATCATATTTTTGGCGAGATTGTAAAAGACACTGAAATCTGAGAATGCTTAAATAGAAAGTAAAGATTCTGAATATAATATGTAAATCTAATACCGATGAGAAAACGTTTTTACTATAGAACGAAAACTTTATGGTATAATATCAGCGCAAAAGATAAACGACCAACTGAACTACAAGTCCACTCACCTCAGAAATATCTTCTAGGTTAGTCGTTTGCTTTGTATTAACTGGAATGTCTACGGTACTTGATGAATTTTGCTAGAAACCAACGTACATGCATGATAGGCACCCTCTTCGCTAGAGAGTTGTTAAAAAGGCTAAGACTTTTGGCCATTGAGATTCTAACAATAAACGACGTAGATGGTCTTCTTTCTGAAATACGAGTAGTATTTGGACCTTCAAAACATCCTGTTTTAATATTAAAAGAGTTTCATAGAACTAAAAGATTTGAAAGAGAAAAGTCAGCTTCCTCAATCGGACGTCTTCAAGAGCTGGCAACTGCAGCATCCCCAAATTATTCGTCAACGGAACGCAAGGAAATTGTTCTTAACCAGTCTAGAGATGACATGAGCCAGTAACTACTGTAATAGGAGTTAATGAAATAAGCTTCTGGAAGCTCAAAATCTGCTCCTTAGGTAGGGACTTTAGAAGAATGAACTGCTATAGTAGTACAAAGGTTCCCAGGCTAACTGTCCACTACGTGAATTACCAGGAAATGAGAAGCTTTCGCTCAATAAGTATTCGGTATTCATACTGCGAATTCAGCGGATACCATACTAGATGGTACAAGGAGAATTCAAAGGCATGTATGTTAAATGTCCCGTTAGTTTCGTTTAGTGAATATGAATTGTTTGTCCCAACATTATGTTGAGAGTTATTTAGTCGTCCAACTAATATTTCACTAGATTTGGGTGCAGTATGTTCTCTAGTCAGAAGTGCCCTCATCCCTAACAATGTATACCTGTATGATATTGCGCTAATATGCCATTACATATTTCTGATAATATTCCTATTCTTATTACACTATTGAAAGTTATCAAAGGGACTATTTGCTTTAAACTGCAATATCCGTATTTCATATGATTTCAAGGGGTATGTTTCCCAATTACGTAATCAAGAAGAGTTTATCGATTCACATATATTGGATACTGTTCAGATTGATAAGTCATAAGATTGAGTGTATTTTTAAACATTAGTGATCTATTAAAATATAAAGCAAACTAATCGATCGGGGCATTACATTCACTTTTGATTATCGAACTAGTATATCATGACATTTTAGGATAGTGTAAAACGTATGTACATAATACAGATAGATGAATTATCGTACAAAAATATTAACTATATTTAATAATCTGTCTGATCAAGATATTAACAACTACTCATTCCAGTCTTCAGTCTTCAGTAATAAGGATAGTAGGTTGGTGAACCTGTGTTAATCCCGACAGATTGCCTTCTAGTGAAGGTCCAATTTCTCCTTAAAAATATTCACTGATGGGGCTGATACCACTTGTTCGGGTAAGGCGTTCCAATGATTGACTACTCGATGAGAAAAACGGGACCCCACCTTAAGAATATTAGATCGCGGTTTATGAACCTTCTTGCTATGACCTCGGAGATTATTAGTGCTGGAAGGAGCAAAAAGATAAGACATATTACCACCCAAATCATAATTAAAGATATGAAATGCCAGTATAAGGTCACCTCGCGTCCTACGATACGACAAGGGGAAAAGGTTTAGGCGTTTTAAACGCTCACCGTAAGGGAGTTTAGAAAGACTCCTCACTAATTTCGTTCCCACACACTGGACACGCTCAAGTGAGTTAGTAACAATAAAACAAACCTCAGTATTTTTATAATAACAATAATCAAACATAATTCATTAGAACATAATATTTAACTAGACAAAACTAATTGCATAATTCATTTCAATAATGAAATAACTTTCATCGTCATTTATATATTTTTATGAACAAATTCATGTTACTTAATAACATTAAGTAGTATATCGTAATTAGTTAAATTTATGCCAATATTTCATTCGTGCCCCCCCCCCCCAACACACACACACACCTCATAATCGAATGATAATGTGGACATTTTATTTTTATAACAAAGAAGGTAAACTGATAAAACAAATTGTTTTTTTATACATTCACAATCTAAGTAAAATAAAGGAACTTTGTGATGCTTTCAATTATTGATTAAATGGATACTCTATTTTCAATAGGTTAGTTGTTTTTTTATCTAAGATATGTATACAATAGCTACTAATTATTACAAATAGCAACAACAAAAAACAAAAAACAAAAGGAATTCATTGTCTTATATACTTCTTGGACATGATAATACAGGTATACAACAATTATCTACATTATCATTGAATTGATTAGTAGTTGTTGTTAAGGGATTATTATGTAACCAACGATTTAGTGTTTGATCAGTTGTAGATATTGAATTATTATTGTTGTTGTTAGGTAATTGATTATGTAATATATTATCATTACTATTATTATTATTATTATTATGATTTAAATATTGTTTATTAATAAATGAATGATGTAAATGAATTGGTAATTGTGATGGATTAATAATTGAATTTTTAATTTGATCATAATTTAATAGATTGATTTCATTCGATTGTATTGATTTCATTGAATTTATTGATTTTAAATGATTTGAAATAAATGTAGATGATTTTTTTAATGGAATCGATTTTATTGATTGATTATCAATATTATTATTATTATTATTATGAAATTGATTGAATGGATATTGATTATTTATATTAAAAGAAAAAATATTATTTTGATGTATATTTTCATTTTGTTCATTATCATCACTTAAACTTTCTTCATATGAACTATCATTATTATTATTATTATTTATTAAATCATTATGTGTATTATATAACTCTAATATAGTTTGATGATCTTCATTTGGAGACCATACTGTTGTATTATTATTACTATTAGGATTTGTATTCATAATACTATTCTGTGTTGAATGTGAAGTTATAATAGTAGGAATTAGTTGATTATTATTATTGTTATTATTATACATGGAATAATTTATCCAAGGATTGATTTGTTTATTTAAATCAATAATATTTACATTATTTTCAATGGTATTTTCAAAGTTTAATCTTGAAAAGGTTGATGGTGTTGTTGTTGTGTTGGTGGTGGTGGTGGTGGTTATTAATTTATCTGGATTTAAAGTATACAAAGAAGAAGAAGAAGAAGAACAAGAAGAAGGACAAGAAGAACAAGAATAACTAAGATTGTTCGTTAATGATTGTGTTTTAAGATTTAAAATATTTTTCTCAGATTGATTTAATGATGGAATATCTTGTATTAAATGTGGCTTATCATAAGTATTGGACATTGAATAGATAGATGGATAATTTAAATTAGAATGTTGTTTATTCATTACATTTATCATTTCATTGATATTATTCTTATTATCATTACTATTATTATTATTATTATTACTGTTATTAATATTGTTTAAATAAGATGAAGTGAATTCATGAAGATGGAGATAATTATTAACATTTTCTCGTATATAAGGATTGATTGAAGATTGTTGACCATAACAATATCCACTAGATGGAATATTAAATGAATATTTATTATTATTATTATTATTATTTGTTTGTTTTATCATATCTGACTCATTAACAATCATTAATCGATTCATTTTTGAATGATCAGTGATTATTTCATTATTTTGTTCATTATAAGAATTCAATGGAGAGATATATTGAATAGGATGATGATGGATGTATTGACTTTGAGTATGACCACTATTAACTATGTGATATGGATCAGATAAATAATCTCTTTCAGATTGTAAATCTATTCCATTGAATAATTCTCTAAAATGTTCGACAAAAATAGTTATTTAGATTTAAACTACTTAAAAGTTATATAAGTAGCATTAAAACTAAGTAAAAATATTTTGGTCCCGTAATACGTACCATGTATACAATTATTATTATCATTATTATTAGCATTAATAATAATCATAATAATAACAAAATTCATATCAAAATCTGATATCAGTGAATAACCAATGAAGACATAAAATTGCTTTATACCTAATTTGATCATTTCATAGATTTTATGACAGTTTATAATTGTACATAGGACTCAGTAGTTAAGTGAATAACGAGATGGTGTTTGAAGCGAACGATACTGAGTTCAAGTCCTGGAATGAACATCAATTCTAGGATGTATGTACATCTATCTGACGAATCCTAAATAGAACGAAACGCGCGTCCTCGATTCCATTGTTATCCACTTATAATTGTAGACCAAGACAAGACAACCTGAAACATCTGAATAGTGTACAGAGAACAGATTATTTTTAGGTCTTTAGGTTCATTTAAAATGAAGTTTTCTTCCATACATACAGTGTAGTTTGAAGCCAAGTGCATAGGTTTATTCTTCGTAAGTGAGCATTAATAATAGTAATAGTAATAGTAGTAGTAGTAGTAGTAGTAGTAGTAGTAGTAGTAGTAGTAGTAGTAGTAGTAGTAGTAGTAGTAGTAGTAGTAGTAGTAGTAGTAGTAGTAGTAGTAGTAGTAGTAGTAGTAGTAGTAGTAGTAGTAGTAGTAGTAGTAGTAGTAGTGTTGGTAGTAGTAGTAGTAGTAGTAGTAGTAGTAGTAGTAGTAGTAGTAGTAGTGTTGGTAGTAGTAGTAGTAGTAGTAGTAGTAGTAGTAGTAGTAGTAGTAGTAGTAGTAGTAGTAGCAGGAGGAGGAGGAGGAGGAGTGTAAAAACTAATTTAGGGTGACTACATAATTGATGACTTATGGATAGTGGGAATTATTCAATAAATTATTAGTAGTATCAGTTTGTCTAAATAGATAAATTATTATTCCCTTGAAAATATTCACCGTATTTTTTTGTTTTAGCTGAACGCTTATTCAAAGATCATTTTCATATTCAAAACATTCATGAAACTGAGAGAGAGAGAGAGAACGAGAGGAAGAGAGAGAGAGAGGAGAAGAGTTATTTTCATTATTCATGAAACTCTTCAGAAATTAGGTTCTTTAATTAACTCATTTATTTCTAAACATCAAAATAGATTCCATAGAATTATATGAATAAATGATTTTCCAAAATTCATTTTATAAGAAATTATCATGACAATCAATTAATTCATAAGTGTAATTTTATAATCACTATTGGGAGATCAACTACAGTATTGAGTATTCATTCATCAGTTTCTCCAGTAATTATACCCGTTTTTATGAAATACTTAATTGACTTGAAAATATCTGTCTTTCACAAATATCTCAAGGGGTTTTATTAAACATTTTCATAACTTAATAGTTGAATTCATGAGTCAATTGAAGGTAGACCATCATGAAAAATCTGAAAGAACTGGACAGCCGTATTGTTCCATTGTGGAACTTCTCAGCAGTGCACATCCACGATCCCGTCTCATGAGGTTCGAACCCAGGACCTATCGGTCTCGCGTGCGAATGCTTAACCACTATACAATTGAGTCAGTAGGCACCGAACGGTGTTAATGTCTAACTCCAACCAATTCACGAAATTTCACCACCGTCCACCGTGACTAGTACAGTTCAACCAGGTCTATTATGAAATTATAATTCACTGAAAACAATGGTGGAAGGTGTTGCGACTTCTTTGATTGGTTGAAGTTAAACATGAACATCATTGGATACCGGCCTATTCACTGGTCTATAGGTTAAGCGTTCGCGTTTGGGTTCGAATATCGCGAGACGGAGTTGTGGATGCTCACTGCCACTGAGGAGTTGCATGCAATCATGAAACGGCCATCCACTGCTTCCAGATATTTCACGGTGGTCTAGTTTCAATTGACTTATGAATTCAATTATTAGATTGTATATTGATAATGAATAAAGATGAAGTTTATTATTGTACACCTTTCAATCATTATGAGAAATCAAATCAAACCAATGACATCTTATCATGAAATATCCATCGTAATTGGTGGGAATGTTTATTATTTGCTTTAAGTAAACATATAAATAAATCTATATTAAGTAAATGTATAAATGAATCAGTAAGCGTATAAACTAAAAGCACAATCTATGAATCGGTATGTTTATTTTAATTATTCAAATGATTCAATCAAATTCAATTCAGATTTTTTTTTGTTTGTTTATATAAATCAACAAAACTTGTTGAAACCGGTTTAAAGTAAAAAAGAAAAGGAAAGAAAAAAAGAGAAAAAAAGAAGAAACTAGAAAATAAATAACTAAGAATAGAATAGTGTTTATTTACTCATTTGTTTAATCATTATTAGCGAAACTCAGAACAAATTACGACAGATAGACAGATGGATGTGAGGATAGATAGATAGATAGATAGATAGATAGATAGATAGATAGATAGATAGATAGATAGATAGATAGATAGATAGATAGATAGATAGATAGATAGATAGATAGATAGATAGATAGATAGATAGATAGATAGATAGATAGATAGATAGATAGATAGATAGATAGATAGATAGATAGATAGATAGATAGATAGATAGATAGATAGATAGATAGATAGATAGATAGATAGATAGATAGATAGATAGATAGATAGATAGATAGATGTGTGGATAGATAGATAGATAGATAGATAGATAGATAGATAGATAGATAGATAGATAGATAGATAGATAGATAGATAGATAGATAGATAGATAGATAGATAGATAGATAGATAGATAGATAGATAGATAGATAGATAGATAGATAGATAGATAGATAGATAGATAGATAGATAGATAGATAGATAGATAGATAGATAGATAGATAGATAGATAGATAGATAGATAGATAGATAGATAGATAGATAGATAGATAGATAGATGGATAGAGAGTCATCCAAGTTGCTACAAAAATGAAAAGATACAACCTTGAGGTGCTTGGAATCAGTGAAGCACATCGGACCACAAAGATTAGCTTCAGGGTGGCTTCTGTTATACTCCGGCTGTGATGAAGTAAATACTCCACCTATACACATCATGTTTAAATCGTGGACGTAATATCAATCCTAAGATTCAAATGATGAATTCTAAATAAGACAAAATATACACCTTAGATCCCATTGTTTTAATTGTAATCAATCTCTTCCATCGTAAATTGTATTTAACACAATTATTTGATTTGAAATTATCTATTTTTCACAAATATTTCATGAGATCTTTTTGAGGTTTTACTCAATATTTTCATAACTTAATAGTTGAATTCATGAGTCAATTGAAGCTAGACCACCATGGAAAACCTGAAATCACTGGACGTCTATTTTATCCTAGTATATGACTCCTCACAATTGCATATTCACGACTTTCTCTCATGTGATCCGAACTCAAGACCTATCGATCTTGCGCACAAACGCCTAATATCTAAACTACTGGGGGTGTGGCCCCCTAAGATAACCACCTGCTTCGGTCTGGACATCCGAGCAGTATCACAGCCCGCACACAAATATGATGAACTGTCGATAATTATGGAAAATACTTTTCTTGCTTCAACTATTAATCAAACGATTCACATTATTATTATTACTATTGTTATTATTTACTACGTCATTCACTCTCGTTTATTCCTACTCTGTCTATCCTTATTTTTCGACTCATACAGCAGCTCGTCTATGGTGGAAATTCGGTTCTATCTAAACGTTCCTAAGTAGAGACGTTATCAGATATGGCTCAGAATAGGAGCCAGTGGCGATCCTGCTGTAACCTTTTACTTTCTTCATAAAAAGTGTTTGCTTCTTCCTTAACTGAAAGATCTCTTCTGGGTGTATGTTTCTGTTTCCCCCATTAATATTATTACACTACCTTACACTAATCTGTTCGTTATCGTTTTTTACGCTCCTTACTTTTTTTTCCTTCTCTGCAAATTCTCATTGTTTTGTGTGGCGCATATATATTTGGTGCCTTCTTGTACCAATATTTATGTGTTTAATTAAATAAATAAATAATAAATAATCTAAACTACTGAGCCAGTCAGTATCCCACTATTATCTGTAATCAATCTCTTCCATTAAAAATTAATCCTCAGTATAGTAGTTGTGGAGATTGTTAAGTTTTTGATTGAGATCATGAATCGATTGATGTTAGTCCATCATTGAAAACCTGTAAGCACAGGACGGCCGTTTCGTCCTATTGTAGGACTCCTCAACAGTGCGCATCCACGATCCCACTCGCGGGATTCAAACAATCTCCACAACCACTATACTGATAATTACCATGTGCTCACTAGTGAGAAGCCGTGACCAGTGGAGCTAATCTGTGTCGGGTAGAAACAGGTGTCTACCTCAGTACAATGGAAGATGGTCGTGCAATTTCATGGATTGGTTGAGGCTAGAGATTAACACCATTGGATGCCGGCTCAGTGGTTCAGTAGGTTAAGCATTCGCGGGCGGAATCGTGGATGCGCAGAATAGGACGAAACGACCTTACAGTGCTTCCAAGTTTCCCATGGTGGTCTAACATCAATCGATTCATGATCTCAATCAAAAATTAATCCATCATTCTATAAAATATACACTGACATAAACTGGTTATACATACAATAGATGAGTTGTAATGATTACAAAAATAAACAAACAAAAAAAGAACATATTGATTAGTTACCATGGTGAAAAATACAAAAACAAAAAGATTGATCAACTTCTTTTTACAATATAAAGTATATATACTTGAATAATATTTTCTTTTGTCGTTAATTCATTTACTTTATTATTTACTCACGTTTTTGTTTTTCCTATTTGTAATACTTAAAGATTATGTAATCATATGTTATGTAATCATTCATAATGTAATAGTCTAATGGATGATTATCTTTCATGGTCATCATTTTCACATATATTCCCTCTATTTATTTTTTATTTTTTATTTTTTGCTTGTAAACAATCTAGTTCTGTTTATCCAATGCTTCCTAGTTTACCATGGTGATCTATCTTCAACTGATTCATAATCTTAACCATTACAAAATATTCTGTTGATGTTGATCATTTTAATTAACTTAGTTATTATTTTATTTTATAAATAAAGTGTGCGGAAGAGTAGAAAAGTATTATCCATTAAGTCATTAATTAGTATAGAGTGTTAATAAGGATATTAGTAAATAAATGATTAATTAAATCTATATTCTCCCTTTCTTATATTGTACACTATCACCCCCCTAACCATCACCCCCTAACCCCCACCTCTAGTTTCCGTTCAGTTTTAAATGGATGGAAACATAATCAAACATTTAATTAGTAAACATGGGTTATGCTAAATTTGTTTTTGTTTTTGCTTTTGTTGTTGAAACTTAAATCAATAAAAGTTAACTTAATAGTTTGTGTAAATAATGTTTAACCTAATGACAGTCTAGTTTGAAGTTGATGTATTTCAGATTTTGTAGTAATAATATGAGTAGTATTATTTATTATTTATTTTAATACATAGATATTGATACAAAGAGGCACCAAATACATATGCGCCACACAGATCTCGTTTGATATGTGTGAGGGCTGTCATATTAACCGGGTGTCCAAATCGAAGCAGGTGGTTTTCTTAGGGGGCCACACCCGGAGCCTTCGACCTGAAGGTCTGATCCACAAGGCAATGGAGCCTCGTAAGGAGATGCAGTCACATGGTAGCTGGTGACCAATAACTGCTTCATACGCCATTTGTTCCCTTAGGGTACTGGAACCAATGTGCACCTTTGGTTTGGAATCAGGGTTTTCCAACTCCCCTAGGTGAACTCTCCATGTCCACCAACCCAGTTGAAGC